TGTAATTCAGGAAATCACTGTATATATAACGTTAATCAGTGTGATTCACCAGTGGAAAATACGAAAAGGGGAAAATTTTAACTAATAATAATATATTTTTGCTCGGCTTGGGAGATACAAAATGAATAATTTATAAAAGTATAATTTAAAATATTTTCAATGATTTATTACATACAGCAAAATTTTTATTTTATGAAAAAGTGTAAATAATTTCGTACTTTAATTAAGACATAATTTTAATATCATTATCGCTATTGAACTATATATGTCAAAGACACAAACGATACGCAGGTGTTTGTGTCATTAGTTGCCTGTTAGAATAAACAGATTTAGAACCATTAGCATATACCACATTTTATTTTACATATGTATATAGGTATCTATGTATTACCTAATTATAAATAAAATATGAATCTGCGAACTATATCCCTACCACAAGTGGCATATCGTCACACTACAAACCTAGCGTTTCCACACTACCTTTCAGACATTCATGGATAAAAAACTAGAAACGCTAAGTATGTAGTGTGATTACATAATATCATGGTAGTAGATATTTATGTTATTCTAAATTAAATTACGTTATATAAAACAAACAACACCTTTAATTAATCAAACGAAGTTGTACGGGTACATTAACGTGATACAAAAAGCAATGTCAACAATTTTTATAGAACTGGTACGCATGACCTCAGTTGTAGTATTTTCAATGGCACGCAATAACCGATACATAATAGATAAACTTAGATATAGATTCTTAACTAACGAACGTGAGTTCCGGATGTTAACTACATACAGGATTTGCCATATAAAAACTATGCATATAAATTACTGGCATAAAGTAATATTATATCTACGATGATATTAATATAATTGTAAGGAATCATATTATTATACATGACAACAACATGTTTATATTTTAAGAAGAACAAAGTCTTTAATGTGAAATAAAATATAAGCCTACAGAAACATACTTCAATCAATAATCTAGTTTGTGGTTCGCCTATTGAGTTCTAATTTATACTGTTTGTTTATTAAGAACTAGTTATTAAATACATTTACATATTTACATTTTCCACTAAATAAGTTAATATCAAAATTGCAATTTTTATTACTCGAATCGAATGTTTTTGGAAAAATATTTAGTTGAATTCCTATGTTCGGAAACATTTTTTTCTCTCGCTTTGTTTTTTTATAAAACCACACAACACTTTTTTAATGTACCCAGTGACTCGATCAACAAAAACGAACATGATGATGGACAACATGTTAAAATTGTTCAAACAGTTTTTCAGTTGAAAATATTTAACTGCACTCGTATATATATGATATATGCTGGTTAAATACTGGAATAAAAAAGGAAGCGTATACGCGGCAAATACACTTTTGATTAAAAACATAATCATTTACTGCTTCCAGCATTCGGGTTAAAAAGGATAAAAACATTATAAATGAACTAGTTGTATTCAATTATGTAACATTGTTAGTGTGTAATACAATTATTTTATTAAGAAAAAATTTTTATTGCTGCAATAATGATTAATGTTTATAATGATAATTTTTAATGTTCATATTAATGAATAAATCAGTAAAATTATTAAATATAATGTTTTGTCTCAAATTCCTTTTATGGTCTTGGAATTACATTCAAAGCATGGATTACATTTAAACTCTTTCAAACTTATATGTAGGTTAGAGAAGGATTTTAAAAAATATATAGGTATATAAATCGTTGACATTACTTATTAAAATTTTAATTTGTTCTCGGTTTAAAATACTTGTTTAACTAGGAACTCGGTTCATATTGATATTTTTATATGTTGTTCATCCAAGACTTCCCAAATAAGTGTCCACATTGATAGACGAATAAAAAACTGGCAGCTATTTATGTTAATTTTTACCATGCAAACTAGTGGAAGGGTACAAGGAAACTAGTTAACTACTCATAAAACTTCATTATCAAGGCTAAATTCTTTTAATTTGGGTTTGTTTACATCTATGGCTTTTATTAATTAACTGATATGCCGGACCAACGACATCTTCTGTTTTTAGAAGTATTGAGAATCTAAAAAAAATTCTTGAAAATGACCGAAATACATTGCTTATACCTATCTAAAAAATACACAGATAGATAATATATAATGGAATAGGTCGTAAATACTTAGACTCCTTGCTTTTATAGTATATTGTTATAGTATATTATTATTATATAATACGTTTAAAAAATCATAAAAAATTATGTAATTATATAATTTTATATGTAACAATGTTTGATTCTTTGTATTTAATTTTATTTAATAATAAATCTTTTCGCTATCTTAATTTCTGTGGGAACCAATTATGAAACTTTTTTATTTTTTATTACCTCCTCAAACTACCTTCACCGATGTCAACTTCCTCCCTTCACTGCAATAAAAAGATTTTTGTAACTAAACCAAATGAAATTATTGCAATTCGATTGCAAACCATTAAAGCTATGTACCAACTTTTTAAACTACACTTCTTTCTACTTTATATATGAAATATTTTGATATATTTATTTAAATCGAAAATTTATAAGTTTGGTCCAATTTCTTCCGAAGCATTTTAAGCTCACACAATTTTCCAACCGCCATTTAGAATTGAGTGACGTTTAAAAAATATATACAAAAGAAACAATTATTAAAATGTTTTTATATTTTATACAAGAAAGACGGAGATAATGAGTCAGTCCCTGAGTAATAACTTCCACACATATCCTATATTTTTTTAATAATAAAAACAAAGAAGGAAAGTTAACAAAATTAATTTTAATAGTATTTAAATATGTGTGGAGCTACAACATGACAATTACTTCTGCACTGTTCGACTGATCTGTTTCTTTGCCACCTTGGAAGGCATTAAAGTATATAATATACAGGGTGACTGGTGAATTACTATCGATATTTGAGGACGTGATATTTGACGATCATATATGACAAAATAAAAATTAATATAACATAAATATTAATAAACTTCTAAGTAAAGTTAACCAAAAGTTATGTAATTAATTACGCATCGTATGAACACCCTACAGATTAGGTATACACACACACTCACACAGACGCGGCGGCGGCGTAGTGTTGTATCAGCACGCCGCCGCACGCGCCCACACTCGGAACACTTGGAACGTGTACACACTTTATTTATTTATACGGAAATTTGGTCAAAAATTAAGTACCTATTTTTTTTACATAATTCGAATGAGAATCATGTACCGAGTATGCTCCTTAAATATTGATAGTAATTCACCAGTCACCCTGTATAACATACGACTAATACACTATAAAAATTAGGTGATCGATTTTATACGAAATTTTATGAATTAATAGCAGTAAGTAACTTTCTTTATAAAAAAAAACAAGAAATATCAATTATTTTAATTAGTACAGTAAAATAATTAGAAATTATATGATAACATAATTAATTAATAAATTTTTTTATGCACCAATATATATGTACACCTCATAGTTTCATTTAAAAATTATCAAAATTGTCTCGATAAAGTACGATGAATTTAAATACCTAAAGCTCTACAAAAAGTTGAAATATTTAGTTTTTACTTTTCATTATGAATCGATATTATAATTACGTTATAGTAGCAATGTTAAAATGGAAATGAAACAGTCAGTTATTTATTACTTTACTAAGCACTGGACCATAGATGACGAATATATGGAGCGGCGGCTATGGACGAAGACATAATCCTGAAGCGCCGGAGACAATATTGTCGGTAGCTTTGTAGCAATAGCGATCTGAAGAAGCAGAAACTAGAGCTGGACTATGTGGACAGGAGCCGAATAGACTTCTACACGAAACTAAAGCCACCATGATTGCTCTGAAACTAGAAGCTTGCGGCAGCGATGGGATTACTGCTCAGATGATGATGAATGACAGCACCAATGGCATCAAAATTATGCATAACATTTAGATACTGGAAAGTCCAAAAGACTGATCAATGGCCGGAAGATTCGATTAAATTAAAGGAGGTTCCCTACCCAAGAAAGGTTCCACGAGGAAATGAGAAAACTATAGGAGCATATCTTTTATCTCGCATGCCAGCAAAGCAAAACAAATAATCTAACACCCACTGACCGTTTGGACGGAAAGAGCAATAGAGGATGTGTGCCCATGCGATACGCCAATTCAGCTGAGAACATCACAAGGAAGAAGTATACAGCAATATTTACCTGACTCAGAATCGAGCGGCCTGGAGATCTGTAATTACAAAAGCAACTCGCTATGATCGCGTCTCTCACCCATTAGGATACGACAGAAGAAAGTGAAAGAGAGAATTTGATAATTGTTTTCATAATACAAGGGATAAAGAGCAATATTCATGATAATCTCAACACAAAAATAATAGTATAATTTACGAAACATTCTTTCGTCTACTTCTTCACCACAATTAATTTCAACCATATATAACCATATTTAATAATTAAAAAAAGAACACACAATGACTTAAATACCAAAAAAAAAATTTTTCCAACACAGCCACCTTTACTTAAGAACTTCTCATAATAGGAATGTCAAAGGTTCCCATGATTGTGCAATGAAATACCTGGCAAAATATACAAAACTTATAAGAAATATTTGAAATCCAGAAGACTACATCCTACGAAATATCGCGATGGGCTATTATTATCATTTTAGAATTTAGTTGGCCTAGATTTGTTGCTCTATAACAAAAAAACTCATCCAATTGTTCACTATGAATTATTGTCTGTGTTTTGTTTGATTTCAATTGTCAATTGTCACTGTGAAGTGTGACAAAATAAATTTATAGTATATTCTGGTTTTGTGCTAGTTCAGTTCTAAATAATAATAATAAATACACGTATTTATTATTTATACCCTGATGTAGATCTTCAGGGATGATAGGGAATATAACAATAAGGCATTGTACGAAGAGTACCTTCAAGTGCGAAGTATAGAATCGATTTTTCCGGGGATGTAATATCATTTTACGTTTTGCAAGAATGACTTCAATCATAGTTTCTGCTTCTTTATTTCTATATTTTGCAATAAAATGTGACGCATCAGGTACAGATATAGCACTGGATGCGAAAGCTACACTTTTACATCGTATTGATAGCTTAAATCTACTTATTTATACATGCCTTTTGACACTAACCGTTTTAACTATTTGGGTATTCAAACATCGACGAGTGAGCTGGCTTCATGAAACTGGACTTGCAGTGATATATGGTAAGAACACCTTATTCTTAAATATCAAGATCAAATAGTCATTAGCTAGTTACTTCGGCCTTGAAACACTATCATTTGCTAAGTGTTAATTAAAAAATTATAATGCTTTAAAAGATAAGTGTTATATTATCATCTTTTTGTAACTGTACAAGAACTGTTGCTACCTCAAACATAATAAATGTATCATTTAAAGAAAAGGATGTGTATAAATATATTATTATTTAACAGGTCTTATAGTAGGAGCAATAATTAGATATGCTGGGAGTACAAATCAAGTCACACATATTGATGCCTTTCCAGCTCCAAATACTAAGTATAATCTATCAGTTCCACCAGACATTGTACGATTTCACTTTCCTGATACTATACCAATTGCTCCTGGAGGTAATTTCAAAAATTTATGAAAATATTTAGACATTTTTCATATGTCAAGTAATAAAATGCTTTTTGTATGGAGGATATTAATATTCCATTGTTTTAATATTTTATTATTTTAGAGGTACCAGTCCCCAATAAAACATATGCCTATAGCTTCCGTGGGGAGATTGTGAATTTGGAACAAAATGAAATAGATCTTAAAGCTACTTTTGATCCTGAAATATTCTTTAATATTATTCTTCCACCCATTATTTTCCATGCTGGTTACTGCTTAAAAAGGGTAAGTGCTTTGAAATAATGAAGCTTAAGATTCAGTTTGTTTAAATTAATTAAATAAAGACTTCCAGTTGTATTAGAAATGTAATAACACAGCTTATTGGGAAGTCTTTAAAGCCTTCTATAATAAATAAGACATTAGGCTTTATAATTTCAATAATAAATACATATTTACATTACATATTTACATTTATTATTCCTAAAATATATCTTTACTGGCTCATCAGTACACAAAACTTTGAGACAACTAGTTTGACTAGTAAGTTCAACATGTCAAATTTTCTCTGTATTTTTGTAGAAATATTTCTTCCGGAACCTTGGTGCGATATTAACATTTGCGATGGTAGGAACAGCATTATCGGCACTTGTGATTGGTGCTCTTATGTATGGCTGTGTTCAACTCATGCCAGCATCTTTAGCAGCAAGCTTCACATTTCTCGACACTCTGTATTTTGGAGCCCTAATTTCACCAACCGACCCATTGACTGTGCTTGCAATATTCTCTCAATTAAAGGTAAGTTGTTCATAGACATTTTTATTACTGAAATATAAAGTTTTACATGGCCAATTTTCTTTTTATAAATTTGTATGAATCTGCAACAGAATCATTTGTACAACTTTGTATATAATTAAAAATATATTAATTTATTTTCAATGATAATAAATATACTTCTTTGCATAAAAAATTATATTAAATTTTTAAATAAGGTTAATTTAAAAAAAATATTTATCAACAGTAAATGAATATAAAATTTTTCAACCAATAAAACCATACAAAATTTTAACTGTGTCATATTTCTTACACTGTAAAACATATTGAAATTCTACCTAACTCGTTTGTTATCTGAGTCTGTTCAATGTTAAAGTACTGTGCAAACAGTTTGAATGTTACAAAAAACTAAATGTATTATAAATATAAGGAAACATTAAAAACATTTTAAGGAAAATTAACAATTTGATAAGAGAATGAAAATATATTTAATTACTCCAATATTCCTGGATGCCTACAGAAGCGGTGATTTTTATTTATTTATAATATTAATAATTATTATTACACATTCACTGTTGCCTGCGGTTTCGCCCGCATATTAAATGAAATAAGATATGCGATAATAATGAGGTGTCATTCGATTTCTCGGAAACCCCCTCATCATATTCTTACTTGGTTTGACACTACTTCAGAATTATGACTTTGAGACCAAAAAAAAATGTGAAAATTAATCTCAATTTAAACTCAAATTGAGAACTAATTCGCCTTGGAATTCCCCTACAAAGCAGCCTAAGTTATTCCTTATGACTTTACCTACCTACAACTGAAACTCAACCGTGCTTAACTAGAACAAATAGACAAACAGACAGACTAAAATTTTAAAAGATAGCATCCTTATTGTAAGTATCGTATGTTTTTATTCACTTGGTGAAAAGCTGTTAATTTGTCATTACAATCGGAGACTTGAATTTTATTTCTTACTATAGACAATTATTTATTTGTTTCAGGTGGATGTTAACTTGTACGCTATGATATTCGGAGAGAGTGTTCTCAATGACGCTGTGGCTCTTGTACTTAGCGGGTATTTAATACTTCTAATTATAAGTATGAGTTTGTGAGGAAGATCGTATGAAAGAATTTAATGTATGTGCCTTAATGGCTCATATAAAAAAAACTCCGCCACTATAATATAATGCCTTTAGCTAGTCCTTTCTTCTTTGGTCTTGGTTGATAGGCTCTTTGAATGTACGAGTACATAGAACATCCATACTATTTTCTTCTATCATATGAATACAACTAAACTTTTTCTTCTTCTATCTGGCAATTTCCCAGCTATAGCCAGGGTCTAATACTACTACAAAACTTATTTCGATTATACTCTGAACTTTATATGATGATAGAAAACGATAATAATATTGTAAATTATTATTTAATCTACGTATCATCTGATATTCTGTTACAAGCAGCTGTCGTATTATAACAAACGTATAAAATCATTGTTTGTATAGTAATTTTCCTCATATGAATAAATATCTTTGTTTTTAGCTCACAAGCATGTAATAAAGATTACGACTACATTGGTTTATAAGTTTATTATTAAAGACAATATAATATTACTAACTAATTATGTAACTATACTGAATGCTTAGTTTAAGTTTCTATCTTGTAACTACATACGATGCGTTACCCGTTTCTCGTGCAATAACCTAAACTACTTTAACAACTTATAATACGCAAAAACTTAAGTATGATATAGGGTTAAAACTCCGTATGTTTCGTGAGAATAAGTATATCGATTACCGATATTCTAATCATTTATTTATTTTTACTAAGATTTTCGCGAGTACCTATTCATTGAGATGAAACTAAATTTTTCCTATTTACTAAAAGATTATTATTTTTTAAGAATCATTCTCATTACGGCTGCCCGTGATCGCGGTTTTTGAAAAGAAACCGAAACGTCGCCAGTATGTAGTTAAAATAATTGTAAACGCGTAGTAAATCCGTAGTTTTATTCTAATCATTCCTCAAACTATATCACGGTTCATCAAATCTTTCAATAAGTTTCCACTTCCTTCTTACTTCGCCTCTAAATGTCTCTAAATATCTTATTCTATATCACATGACATTTCATTTACTTTTTTTTGTAAATCATCTGTTAGCCATGCTTGTTAGATGCCCTTTTCAGAAACACAATTTAGTTCTTATTGATTTTTTTGTGATCTTTAATTAATTCTTACTCTCTTAGTCAGGACTTGAACAAATTAAATATTAAATTGTTAAAATAAAGGATGCTTTGCTTTCATACATGTAATTATAAAACACACAGGCGATAATAATAAAGTATTTATTTGGGTAATGTATTGTTGAAAATAATTGAACTCTGTATACGCATAAGTTAAATTATGCTTTACACTCTTAAACGAAGCCCCAATTACATTAGAATACAAAAATTCACATATGAAGACTAATTGCACATAATTTAGCTTAGGTATTTTTTTCTTTTAAAATAATAGTTCAGGTTATACATTGAAAATACAAATTACCTAATAATTTACATACATAATAATTTTTTTACTTCTTTGAAATTCTTATGATAACTAGTGCATTGTTATGTATGTATTTTCTTAGAAAAAATATTCAAGTAACATATATATTTTTTGTTTTCACATTCCAGAGCCATACAGAACTATGAGAAGCGGTATTCTGTTGATGGTGGTTTTGAAATAACAGCTTTTTTGGCAGCCATCGGTGATTTCATAGGAATCTTCAGCCTCTCACTTCTAGTCGGTGCTTTCATGGGATGCTTGACTGCTCTGATATCCTTTTCAATAAATCTTACACATTATTCGTATAGAAAATTTAGCCTCATTTAAAACATTATGTTCTAAATATAAATTTAAATGAATTCATACATATAATGAGACTTAACCAGTTAAAATTGCAAGTAATTTAGGAAAAGAATTTCGCTACAGATATTAAATTTTAATAATTTCGAATAGAACTAATAAATGAGGGCAATAAATGTCGAATAAATAATTATCTGTTAAATTTATGATGAATAAGTATTACATTAGTAGAATAATATATTAAAGCATATTTTTAGAACAATTATATAACAACTATTCTAAAATTATGCTTTAAAATTATTATTGTTCCCTCACCTTAACCTCTGCAGTAAAGAACGTCATTAATTTAATTTAATATATGTTAAATATAATATCAAAATTGAATAATAAAACAGCCAGACATTATATATGCAAAGAAGCAGATATTGTATGTTTAAATATGGTATATTTATTTTATTGCAGCGTTGCATTTTTATTGCCTTTTTTTTAGATAATTAGAGTGGCTTATATAATAATAGTATAAATAAATTCCTTAACGATCCACACATGACTAAGTTCACCCACGTCCGTGACTGGCCGTTGTTGGAGTCGGCTTTATTCGTGTTGATGTCGTACGCTGCCTTCCTTATCGCCGAAGTCTGCGAACTAACAGGTACAATAATAACTAGCATAAATTAAAAATGTAATAAAACGTCCGATCCAATAAGAAACATGAAGAGAACTTTAAGACAAATTCAGCGAGCCCAAACTCTATGGGTTTACTAAAAGGCAGTCCAGGGTCACGTTTCCTATCTTCGAGCCCTAACAGCAGACCAGCTCAATGATACCAGAAGACATAAATGTTTCAAATGTCAGATCCCGCTTATTTTACATTCCTATCACACCTAACAAACGACCTGATGACCGTAAGGACCTGAACCAATTTCCACCAAACAAAGCTAGGAACAAACACATTAAAATTCGATTATCCGTTTGGGACATACGTTGTATCAGACAAACATACCTACACACACACACACACACACAGAGTTATAATAACTCGTCGTTTTTGCGTCTGGTATTATAAGAACTATTTGCCACAAACATTTCGATAAAAAACTTTAAATATGGAACATTTTTTTAAATTCAATCTCCTTTTTTATTATCTATAATAGATTTACCTAGAAAAAGTTCGTTATGATCTTAATAATGCCGTTACATTATTTATTATTACGTTATACATTGAATTTTAATAATAAAACTCAATAATTTCACTAATATTTTTTTTATATAGTAAAACGAATCTTATTATTTCAAACTATTATATACCTATATTCTTTTATCTATTTTTCAGGTGTTGTAGCAGTATTGTTCTGTGGTATCTGCCAAGCTCACTACACCTACAACAATCTGTCTTCGGACTCTCGTAACAGAACCAAGCAGTTGTTTGAGTTGTTGAACTTCCTCGCTGAGAACTTCATATTCACATACATAGGAGTGTCGATGTTCACGTTCCCCAAACATCACTTCGATCCCTGGTTCATTATAGCTGGATTTGTATCCTTTAACAAAAAACAGACGTACAATTATAACTATATATTATAAGTAATAAATTGTTATTATTATTTTTGGACAATTACAATTATATATTACTAGCTTTCCGCCCGCAGCTTCGCCCGCGTGAAGTTCGGTTATATCTCGTTTCCAAGAGAACCTTTCAAAAGTCTGGGATAAAAACTATCCTATGTTATGTCTCAAGGTCAACTCTATATCTGTACCAAATTTTATTAAAATCAGTTCAATGGTTTAGGCGTGAAAGCGTAACAGACAGATAGACAGAGTTACTTTCGCATTTATAATATTAGTAGGGATTTTATTTATTTTATTCATATATATAAAAAATTAACTCATTATTCAGCCACGACTTTATAACAAAAGAAGGTTATAATATAATTTCTTTACTATACAGATATTTAATAAAATCTTCTGAATAGTATGAACGATTTTGGTTTTTTTTTTTTTCAATAATTTCCTCAATATATTAGCTAACTTCAACACTCGGCCGCGCTGTCAACATCTACCCACTGTCATTTCTCCTAAACCTGGGAAGGAAGCCGCCTATACCAATGAACTTTCAACACATGCTCTTCTTCTCAGGTGAGTTTGAATAGCGTTCATTTAAATAAATTAATATTAAAGAGACAAACTCTCTTATAACCAAAATTAAATAGAGAATAATATATTTAATTTAAAAATTCAATACAACCTAAGACTCAACCTTAAAACACGAAGATTATGTAATAACCGAAGAAAATATAATAAATTAAGACCAAAAAAACTTAAACTTGCTTTGAATTATGTTCGTTGGAGCTAATTTAAGCAGCATACACACAGACGGACTTCATTTAATATTTGTATAATAGTACACCACCTAACATAGACCAAAATTGATACAATTGTTTTCAAAACAATTTTTCTACACCCTCATCTTTTGTTTCAAATTTCAATGAACAACTTTGATTATTATTTGAAATTATTTTATTACAATAATTTCATTTAAAATATACATCACTTTGTTATGAGTTTCATTCATAACGTTTTCTTCAAACATTGGACTACTTTTGTTATCACGGGTTGTCTGTGACTTCACACGTCATTTGATATCCATACAGCGGTATTAGTCCGGAGATATTCCTCCTCTTTCAATATTCAACTATTAACCATATTTAAAACAATAATATTCCTTGAATAATATCTCAACTCTTAATATGTAATATTATACATCTGAAAGTTATTTAAGATTTTGGAACTCTGTTGAAATTAAGGCATTTCGATTAAATTTACCAATAATGTAGCTGAGATATCAAAACAATTTAGACCATAAATTATAGTAATAGTCTAAACTCTAGACATGTGACAATTGTTTTTTTATATGATATCTACTACTACCACTAGATGTCGCTGACGTAAGAAAACGGATAACAAGTGGTAGACGAAAACTAGTATCATATATGTATATTAAATATTATCAATCTTTTCCCAGGTCTCCGCGGTGCAATGTCATTCGCCCTAGCCATACGTAACACAGTATCCGAGGCTCGTCAGGCGATGTTGACGACCACCTCTCTGATAGTGATCGCGACCGTCGTACTACAAGGAGGAGCCGCCTCACACGCACTGGCCTACTTGAGGATACCTACTGGGTATTAATAATACATCTACCTTTTTATAATAAACTATATCTAATATAAACGCCAGTAAATATTAAAATGTAACCATAATTTTACTTATACTAAACGCATTTGTAATATTATTATATATCGCGTTTCAAAGAGAACCTTTCAAAAGTCTAGGATAAAAACTATCATGTTCTTTCTCAAGGTCAACTCTATATCTGTACCAAATTTCATTAAAATCAGTTCCGTGGTTTAGGCGTGAAACCGTAACAGACAGAGTTACTTTCGCATTTATAATATTAGTAGGGATTTTACATGTACTACGTTTAAGACATGAAAAATTAAAGTAACTGAATCGAAAGTTATAATATAGTATAATATAATAAATCTCGTATATCCGAAATCAGTTGCTATATTTTGTTACCATGATGAATTCACTGTCTTTTTACACTATTTGAGTTAATATTTTAATCACTTTCTTCTAGATTAATTTCTTGATTTTTGGTATAGTTTTTATATGGGGTGTAAAAAATATACGTATATAAAAAATATAGTGTGTTACTAAAATTAATAAATGTTGTCAAATACTGTTATGTAATGTTCAAACGGCAAAGGCAGAACACAATAGCTTAATTGGCAGACTTTGCAGGTTCGAATCATGCTTAACGCCTTTTTCATAGCATGTTCGTGTCAATGACTGTATCATTGCTTATAATATATTTCTTTGCTCAAAAACATATATACTATATTTTTTGTTTTCAGTCAAGGTCAGAACGACGAGAACGAAGCTCTACCCTACCGTGACGTCAGAAGTGTAAGTGTTAAATGATTTTATTTTATTAATTTTTCTTCAATAAAGCACTTCTCGCTCTAATATGACACAAGTAGACAGGTTTTTTAGTCAGAGGTAGTGAAGGCTTAGCGTAGACTATAGAATGTACACAGATTTTTATTAATGTCATTTATCTATAATTAATATTTAGGTACAAATATTTTACTTGACAAAATTATACACCAACACTTATATATTACTTCATCGTTACTAAAACTATATTATCTTATTAATGTTTCTTAATTATTCATTTCTGTTCTGTCTTGCTTGTTCGTATTATTTAACACGCTTCATGTCAGGAGTTGGAGTTGTTCTCGTAACAAATCAAATCATCAGTATATAATAATGCTAAATTAATAAAATTTACCGTCATACATGCACCTTCAAATAAATTTCTTCTCTGCAATATATATCTAAAATATTGAAGATTTATTTTATTCAAATATGTATTATAATTTTCATTACGTATTTTATTATTTGTTAGTTAATAACAATATGCATATAGTTTAAGTTCATAACTTTGAATGTGCACGTGCAAAGTTTTACATTGATTGAATCATTCAATCTTATCGGCTGAAAGAGTACGCATAGATATTAAGGCGCATGTGATTAATGACAACTTATTGTGGCAGCTGTACCAGGCCACGGACACCGGCGGACCGGTATGTATACACGGCTTCAGAAAGGGCTTTATGTGTACGAACCTTAAACACTATAGTTCTTATATGATTATTATATGACATATAAGACATAACCTACCCTTTAATAAATGTATGCCATAAATCCATCGACATATACTAATGGACATGCCGTACGCGTATAATCTTCAGTAATTTTTTGGTTTGAAAAGAGTGAGCGAGATGGCCTATGCTTTTGTTCTAGTACTCTCTCTTTCCTCATAGATGATTGACGCTCAGTCAGTACGGTACTATTTTGAGAGAGATAAAGATAGACCGAAACTTCGTTTCCTCTCTTTCTTAATTCTTTCGGAGTGCCACAATTCTCATCTCTAAGGCATGTCCATTAGTATATGTCGATGCATAAATCTAATGTCAATTATTAAATACTGTCAATTAGACAGTTGTTAAGAACTATAGTGTTTGAGGTTTCTGTCATTGTCATTTCATCAACGTGTTTTTATTTATTTATCGTAATAACACCTAATTTTTATTTTATATTTTAAGGGGCTTATTCACGAGTGTACAGGCATTTATATATTTCTTGTTCTGAATAGGATATACCTAAAAAATGACATGTTTTACACTTAACCTAAAATTCTGTTTTTTGTTTAATTGGATTGAATAAAAATTTGTTGTCCAGCCTGCTGACATAAGTTTCGGCCTCCGAAATATGGACTCCGCTCAATCCCCACATAGCGACCGCGCTTCAGTAAGATATACAACAATCTGCATGACGATATTGAATACGCCTTGTCCTAACTCAAACTAACTGAAACACAAACTAAACACATACACATTGACAGGGATTGGCATTTTATAAAAACATGCACGAAATGTGATGTCAAAATATGTATACACGCATGCTGTCAAATGAAAATTCTTTATTCTTCCACTTAAATATGAGTAATATGCCTGTTACACTGACTTAGACGTTGGAGTTTGACAAACATTATATTTGAAATCGTAATGTGTGTCTATACTCTTAGGTCGCAAATACATTTTAATACTCATCAACGCATGCATGTTACTTTATATTCTTTTAATAATTTCAATGTCTAGAACGGCCGCATGGTAGTTAAGTGGGACAATGGCGATAGCGGAGTGATTATGCCTTGGCAAATAAACTCATACGAAGTATGTAACCTTATTTATACAGTATTATATGTACAAATGCATGCAATGCGTGTGATCATTACATGTATGCATGTTGATGTACTTGACAATATTTCGCATAAAACAAAAAATATATTAAGATAACTTGTGTATTTTAAATACTGTGATTCAAAATGTTTAATATATGCGAAATGTTGTCGTATATTTTTTTCGCCACTGATGTTTTATTTTAACGAATATGCTAAACATATTATTTTCAACAACTTCTCTTTACACACGAAAACATATAAACACACCATAATCGCAACATAATAATATATTTGGCATGTTCACTGCTTAACTAACGATTTATTTCTAAATTCTGTCTATAGAGTTGGATAATTATCTCAATCGACTAACAATGGGAGAGAAGTTTAAAATGTATTTATTTAATAAATAGACTGAAATCAATGATATACATAATATATTCTGTGTTAAGGACACTCCTCATGGTAACGAGACGGGTGAGAAAGCCCGCCTTGCGCGTCTATGGGGCGCGGTGGACTCTAAGCTTCTGAAGCCTTTACTAACGCACGCCCGACCGCCTCTCACGGAAACATTACCAGCCTTTCTAAGCCCTGTAGCTAGGCTACTGACTACCACACGACAATACACACAAGGCGTAAGTATTATCAGAATACATTTTTTATACAATTACTCTGTTAAGTAAGTAAGAAATAATTAAGAAAGTAAGAAATAAAATAATAGATAAAAGAAAATTATAAAAATAAATAAGCCGGTGGTGTGCACAAAGATGTGAGTGCACAGAATACGTTTAAAAGAATTCAATTTTTCATCATAATTTTTTCAATTGATTCAATTCATTCAAATGAAACTGATATTTTCGAATGACTACGAGTAGGATTAAAGAAGCAGTGCGTCTCGAACACTACTACATGCATAGTTTTTGCACACACGCATACAAGCATTTCCCGCATGCGAAAAGAGATTAGTAGATCGTCTTTGAGATTACATATTTGTAAGGAATATATGCACCGAGCGGTTGTGCCCACCGCCGCTCTGGCTGAGTGGCGGTGCTAGTCGCTAGCAGCGGCCGGCCGATAGATGGCACTTTTAACAATTTTACCAAATCATGAATCAAATGTCATTTTAAAAAATTATTATCATGCTTATTCCGTAATATATGTATGATTAAAAGTATGTAAGTAAGAATTAAACAATATAGGTTTAGTTTTTGTATGGGTTGTTGTAAGCAGTGATTATTTGCATCTGTCTTGTGCACGCCACCTACTGTCTGGTAATATCAAAATGTAAATGTAGAAATATTAAAATGTAATGTTTTAATGACGCCAGGAACATCAACATCAAATGAAGCAAAAAATTAAACAAAATTTTTGTGTAAAAACACTAACTCGTCCTTAACATGTGGCACTTTCACGTGATTTCAATGAGAGTTTCTTTTTAACATACTATGTCCTACCAATATTATAAATGTGAAAGTTTATAAAGATGTATTTATCTCTGTTGCTTTGTCACACAAAAACTCCTTAATGGATTTTAACAACATTTTCCGGACAAGTAGCTTAAACATCAGTTAACTATAAACTATAGTCTATACCTTCAAAAATACCATTATTCTCATTAATGACCAATAAATCGTATTTAGTATGAAGTTTTTCATACATCCAATTTAGATGTCCACATGAATGGAAATGCTGGCATGAACTAGTTGTGAATATATACATAGATTATAATCTAATATATTATATACTAATATTAATAATAATAATAATATATTATATACATATATGTTGTGTTGTCCGTATATTTAATTCATTTGAGAAGTATTCCCCCTGTCTTCAGGATGGACTAAGAAGGACTGATTCGGATTCCGACCTGTGTATCGACGAGCCTCAACCCGTACCAACTAGTATTGACCCACAGGTATATTTGTGAAGAGTGAATTTTACATTTACACTGTGTATACCATCATATTATTTATTACATATGGCTCTTTATTTTATGTAATCTGTAAATGCCAGAGTTATATATATGTGTATGTTCTATTATAAGGCTATCATCACGATTAGTTTCATTATTATTATTATTATTTTCTTTTTCGTTGCAGCAACCTTATAATATACGGAATGGATATGGAAATGTCTAAGCTTTGTAGAGTTAGTGACCCACGGCTGTGATAAAGGTCTAGAACCCAGAATGTACATAGAATTTAAAATGTATTATAATTTTTTTATTAGGATAATTGTTTTTTCTTTTCTTTATTATTGCACGCAGCAACTATGGCCTGGACTCGTGGATACGAGAATCTCAGTAGAAGGTATCACAGGTAGTAATATATGAATAGGAAATGTGTGCCACAATTTTATATAATAACTATTGAATCTTAGAACTTTTTGTTCCTTGGTTTTATAGTATAGTTGTCAGCCATATGCTCTCCCTAGAACAGCTTTATTCATATTCTGTTTGAATTCATGATTCTTTATAGTTTACATAAAAAAAACACAAAAGTTTGAATAATATTTTCACTGTATATTTTAAAGTGAAACTAGATGTAGATTATCTTCAATGCTATTAGTATTATAACTTGAAGTTTATATTCAATTTCTTAATGTTTTTATTGATAGCTATTGAGTGTTTAAAAGATTTGCATCTGCATATATAACTATGTATATTTTTAATGATTTCATTTACCACTATTTATATGTGGTAAATTTTTCATCTTCTAATAAGACGAAGTTTCTAAATTATAAATTATCTTAATATATTTGTAATACTTATGATTCCATAATACATGACATAATGTGCTATATTTTTTAAACTTTTTCTATTCAAATAACAAGCAAACTTTAGAAAATTATAGAGCATATTTTCTTTACTTCTATTCTCTTGCTGCATTGTGTATATTATATCCCTTATTATTTTTTATAACTTATTGTATTATCCATCAAATGGGCATTAAAATATTTCTGGTGAATGGTTGTAGTTTATTTAAATTGAATGTTGATATTCTTAAATTATTTTGGATTTAAACTATTCATATATATATTTAAAATAATTATAGTAGGTTTCAAAAACCATGTTTAGGAGAATTTCGATGAAACAAGGATTATTTTTATTCAATTAATATTCTTGTTTTTGTTAGGGAATACCAAAAACTGAGTACATAGTATAAGGATGTTTGATACTTGTGTAATAACTGCTTTATTGTCTCTGGCACACTTCATCTTTTGTGGTCTAGATATAAGTATTTTTATTGTAATTACAATGTAATCTATCCTAGCTAAATGCTTATTTTTATTAAATATCCCATAGCATTATGGATAGAAAAATGTTTATCACCGAATTTTAACTGGAACAAATTCTTATATGTTATGTGTAATAAAATTTGAATTCATATCAGTCTTTTATTTATCAACATTAAATATTTTTATTATAATTAAAAATCATTTCCTTAAAGCTTTGCTTAAAACAGAAACAGAAAAATCTTGCATTTATTACTAATTTATCCTTTTTTTATAATCAGTAACATTAAATATTAATACTAGAAAATTGATTTCTCTATCTGTTCCCTTAAAGTTTTTCTTATGTCATCTGTAACTTTAAATTTAGGTCCATGTCCTGGAATAATCCAGTCTGCTAGTTCTGAAATCTGAGATCTATTCTTTCTTTGTTTAACTTGATCCTCAATACCAGCCTCAATCCATAAACTTGGGTCAGCAATATCTTCAAATTTTTCAAACAGATCTCCTATGAAATTATATTTACAAATTATTTCATATATAATATATATAAAATTATAATTGGACTAGTGGCATGCACAGAACTTTAGGGTAGTGTAAGCAGATAGAATATGTTTGAAAAAAAACTATTTTCATCATTTCCTCCTTTAGAACATTGATAATAATGATATCTTTTGCAAGTATTCATTTAAATGAAACTAATATTTTCGGATTACCACGCGTAATTTATTATTATTAATAGCGTCCAATTGAAAATGTTTCGTTTTATGTTAATAGATGGCACTTTTAACAAATTGTGAATCAAATGTCATTTTAAATGTTTGTAAACATTTGTATTTCGTAATGTATGATTAAAAGTATGTAACAAACAATATAGGTTTAGTTGTTATATAGGTTGGGTATGCAGTGCTTATTTGCATCTATAGTGTGCATGCCACTGATTAGACTGTAGTGTGAAGGTATAATTCTTGTTACCTGTAACTGCTACAACTTCTTTTTCAGAATTAGTTGCAAGGACTGTAACATCAGACAGTGTGTGTCCAGGAGTTGGTAACACCTTGACATGTTCATTAATTATAAATTCTTTACCTGTAATTTCATTTTTATTGATATTATTTCAATAATCTTAGTTAATAAATTTTTCTCATTTCCACTGCATGTTAAAATAAACAATTTACATTTCATATTAATTATTATTAAACATTCATATCATACTAATGCATACCTTCATCAAATGGATGTATATAATAATTATCTTGAAAAGAAATACTAAATCCCACTATATGTTTGGCTTTCAAGAATAAATTGTTATTTCCTATATGATCTGAATGTCCATGTGTTGATATAACATAGTTAATATTATCCGCAGTGAGACCTTGTTTAGTTAGAGCTGGAAGAATTAAAAGAAGAGACATTATGATAAATAAAATAATAAATGAATTTAGTCTATTTTTTTACAACCAACCACTAATTATTTTATTAGCGTCCCAAGGTGTCATCGTATCAACTATGATATTGTGAATTCCTTTTATTAAAACACAGCTACAATTTGCTTTCATTTCATAATTATCACTTAAAATAGAATAACCATCATACAACACAATAACGTCAGCCATAATGTAGAACCACAAAAAAAATATATGTAACTTTCTTTGAATTTCATATACAAGTATTCCTTTTATATCACTAATTTAAATTGTAATTACCTAAATTTATAACTCAAAAATTGTTTTTGTTTTGACTTTTAATGCAATTGTCACGATGACATTTACATAATTTTAAATTCTCGTTTAAGAATTGAAAGGTTTGTCAGCTTAAGATTCAAATAAGTATATTTTTATATAAAATTAAAACTAATAGCAAATTATGTATATAATAAAAATTATTGATTTATTTTGACTTTCTGTGCTTTTTATATATTTGTCTTTTTAGTTTGACAATTTAGTATTCACATTTATCTCTTTCCCCAGCTGTCTTCGCCGGTTATTTTTAGGTTAAATACTAAAATAAATTCAAGTAAGGAACACCGATACTTTGTTATGTAGGTTATTTTAATATTTCAACGTGCGCCAATATTAATGTATATATGTATGTAAATTGCGCATTTAGATTATTAGCAATTTTTGATCTTATTTGTCAGTTCATTGTACTTCCTTGTTTACACAGGGTTATGAAACAATAAATCATATCTCCTGCCGCTTCTTGAGCGCCAGAGTTTAGAATCATGTCAGGAGATGTACAGCCACGAAAGCGAAAGGACAAGAAGAAAAAGAAAGGTAAGTTTAAGCTCTAAAGTGCTCGTTATTATTTTAAAGACAATAAGTAAATATTCTACTTGAATGACGATTTTTTCTTTAAAATAGATGATTTTGGTGTAGAAGAGCCAAGAGGTACAGCAGCAGCATTGGGAGAAGGCGATGTTTTTATGCATTCATACCACGAACATGGCACGGGAGGTCATTGGTGTGCGAAAATCATATTTTTCGCATTATTAGCCGTACTAGTTACCCTTATTGGATTAATTATTTTGGAAAATAGAGGTCTTACTGAATGTGAGTATCAAATTTAGAAACTTCATTCTAAACTAAATATAATATAATTCTCAACTAGAGAAAGTTCTATGTAAATTGAATCAATTACCAAAAGTTATATGTAAAGAATTCTACAAATGATTTATGGTTTGTTTTTAGTGGAGGCTAATTCTGTTGAATCTCGATATTCTGGTGTACTAGAAGGTTGGATCGAAGATGCTGTAGATGACCATCATGATGAACATACACTGGAATTAAAACATCATGTGAGTATTTGATAACTTGTAAAATGAAACCAGCAAGTGAAAAATATAGGGTGGTAATATGAATATTCTCATGTGAAAGGTGTAAAAATATAAAAGAATGTGGTTTGTCTACACTACAACACCTGAATAAACAAAAAGCAAGTAGTATCAATTATTTCTTGTCGGCAATAAACAAAAAATTGAGATCAATAAGCTAATATTTGTTTTAATTCAGAAATATTTTGAAAAAGAATGCAATAATTATGCTTTTACAAATATTTTAAATTTATTATGTGTTAAGAGTATGAACCTTTAAATGATTTTGGTATAGTTCTATGGGATTATTTTATTTTTTTCCTAAGGTTGATGACATCACTACATAATATAATAATTGTTGTAATTTTACACCGTAACTCTTACTATGTACAATATAGAAATCAATGTCTTCAGTACATATAGTTTTATTTTACAATAAATAAAAAAAAATCCTATAAAAGGCACTTATCCCCAGTTTTATTAAAAAATAAATACCGACAATTTATCACAGATTAAATTATAATTTAGTATCAAAATAAAATAATTTAGGATGATGAAGATCACATTGACGATGAAATAGATGAAAACGAAATAGAGGAAGAGTCTCTTGAACAAGAGATAGAACACGATGGTGATGAAAGCAATGAGGAAGATGAGGAACAAGATCATGATGAAATGTATGATGATGAAGAGAGAGAAACTGTAGATGATGATGATGATGAAACTCAAGGTGATGATGATGAAAACGATAACGAAGATGACGAAGACGGCGATGAAGACAATGATGAGGAGCATGAAAATATAGAAGACCATTCAAAATACGCCAGTGAGGAGGTGAAACTTCAAAGAAAGAGTTTATTTATAAATAACATGATTTTATTTAAATTGATATATTTGCTTGATTTCTAAATTTTTAACTATAAGGATGGCTTATAAAATATTCTATTGCATTTCGTCTAAAGTTATTATTCGATTTAAAGTATGTATAATGATCAAAAAATTAAACAGGATGACGAAGAAACTTACGAGCGTTATAGTAAGGAGGAGGTTGATATGATGAATTTCGATGAAGTTGATGATGATGAACATAATGATGACGATGATGATGGTGATAATGATGACCTGGAAGAACAAAATAATGATTACCAAAGCAAAGAAACGACATCTCATTATAGTTACGTCGATGACGATGAGAAAGATGAAAGTAAAGAAGAAAATAAATACGATGATGAAAAAAATTATAGCAATGAAGATAATGATGAGGTGCAAAAACTAAATGCAAGACGTGTGTTAGACTAAATTATAATCAGATAACCGATGAATGTGTTGATTGGCTCTTCACTAACTTATAGCTTGTATTGTATAATGTTATACAAGCTGTTTCTAAAACCATTAATATATTATGATATTGTGACTTCTCCTACGTCCAAATATACTTGTTTGTTTGTTTTACGCATGCTGTATCAGGCTTAATAATGTTTTTGTTAGTAAAACTAAAGTTATACTTCTATTATGTGAAATTAACAAATTCCTTATACTAAAAGGAGATTGTGAAAACAATTATTAAGCTTCAACTACCCTTAACTAGCGTGCGTATTCATTAACATTGAAATGACAAATAATCTTCTTAATTTATATTAATAGAAATATTGTTTATGTTTGAGTATTATATTAAAAATATATACAGGATGATGAAAAAGAAGACGAAGCAGATGATGACGATGATGATGAAGAAATAGAAAAAATAGAAAAGGAAGTTATGGATGATTCAGCGGAAATTGAAGATACCGCACCAAGTAATGAAGAAGGTAGCGTCATTATTTCCAAATATTTACATACTTAAATGATTTTATTTTAAAGTATTATTGTATTCATTTAAATCTACTTTGCAGCTGAGAGCAAAGATATCGATCAAGATGATTCAGATGAAGATGAACCACCGATAGAATATATCTCAAAACCAGTGGCAGGAAAACCTTTTGTTGAGGTGCGTATTAAAACTCTATCAGTATTGACACTAATGTAGGAATGTCTGACTACCCTCTTTTTTCTTATTTATTCTGGCACAAATTTGTACATATATATGTAATTTTACAAGAGAATTTCAATACAATTTGTTTTGTTATTAGATCGAAGAGGAAACTGTAGTGAAGCCAGTCGATACATTAGCTGAAGAAGAAGCGTATGAGAGACAGCAAGAAGAACTCCGAAGACAAGAAGAACAAACATCACACAGCGGTGAGTACATCACATATTAATCTTAGCCTCACTTGCTTAATATATCTTATATATTAATCTAACATTAAAAAAAATTAAATTACTCTGCTTTTTCTGTTTTTTTTTTTTGCTTTCTTACTAACCAGTAACCCCTTTGAAACTTTTTTTTGTACTCAAGGACTTTATTTAGAAATAAATTATAAAGAGAATTTTTCTTTTATTTCAACCTCTTGTATAGAAGCATTTGCTCTGTTTTGGTAAGTTTCCTTCACATAAATGATTTAGAATTTAATTAACGTATTTACGACAAAGTATACTGAGACATAAAAAATCATTCAGATTTGATGTTCATATGATAATTTTACTGTTGAATAAATGTACCTTTATTCAACTATACATCTTAAACTAAAACTTTCATTACATTTAACGTAAAATATAAAGTGTACGATACACGTAACTTGGTAAAAATACGTATGTAACGTACGTCGCCCACACATCGCTTACGTTACAGAACTATTTGTGTTTATTGCAGCGTTTGCGTTGCTCGTATGATTTCATGTATCACATATCGCAATGAATTCTATAATATCAATTGGTTTCGATGTTTTGCGTGGAATTCGTCTGGAAGGTAAAGTTTTTTTGCATAACTCGTTGCTCTTATGTATGTTACTTGGCAGAACGCCCTGTATAGCTATTAGTCCGTCTCGAAATTTGTTGAACTATTCTTTAACATTAATTGTATTTAAAAAGGTTATTTTAGAATCTGTTCTTTTGTAATGGCTTTTCCGTTCTTTCAAAACTATGTCGCGAGAAATTTTAAGATTAAATAAATCCCGAGACTCTTATTTAACTGAACATATTAAAGAAAGAAAAAATATTATAAGTAATCATGAATCAGTATAAATATTTAATACGTGTTATAATATGTTTTTAAACTTAATTGTTAAATTCAAATGTACAATTGCAAAAAAAAAACTAGGTTCTGAATGATGTAAGAATTATCAAAAAACTATTTGCTGTTAAAAAATTGCAAGGATTAAAAAACTATTCTCTCTGATTTTAAACTTAGCACAAAATTCTTAATTTTTGATGTAGCTAAACTTCTGGGCCGGTTTAAACGTAATTTGCACAATATTAGAGCTTTGGTTTCCAAGGTAGTTAGTAATATTTTTCGGGACGAAACCTAAACCTGCAGGGATAACCTAATTATTATTTATAAATACGAACATACTGGCTTTTATTAAGGAGACGGTCTGCTATTCGTAGAAATTAATTAATGTTTTATGAAGAATCGTAATCTTAACACTAAAAACAATTGTAAATATTTTTTGCTTACAAATAATTGTTAAAGGAAGTGATTTTACCAATAAAATTCTATCCGCATTTTAAAAAGTCTCAATATTGTCAATAATGGTATTATTTTAATCAAGTCGCGGTAAAACGTGAGTGTAGAGTTAAGTGTGAGTGTTGTTGCAGTGTGGCTGAAGCTGTGTGTCGGTGGCGCGCTACTGGCAGCGACACACGCGGTCTTACGTCGAACCACCGTACGACACGGTGCGTATAAAGTTAATGTATCAAATACATTATACAAAAAGTTATTTAGGTTATAACAAGTTAGAACAAAACAATCTCGTAACAGATCTATCTGACGCTGATGAGACTATGAGTGAGGAAGCGCCAACCGTTATTGATCGACGGATGACTATAATAGAAGAACCGGTAGAAGTTAAACAAAGTTCTGCAACGAGTCAAACGCTACGACAAGTAACTGACGAGGAGGTGTTCAAAAAACCGGCTCCGGTAGTACAAAGTCCAATTGCGAAGCCAAGAATCGAGGAAGAAATTGTCAAACAAGTGGTAGAAAAAGTACAAGTAAGTAAAGTTTTCAATATTAACGTTGATATATTAAATTTTAAACTTATGTTCTTAATATAAAGTCAAGAATATCTTCTTTAGGAAGTTCCAAAACGAGATGCAAAGACCGAAGATGAAAAGGAGCTATATAGTGACGAAGAAGAGGAAGACGCTGAAGATAATGAAGAAGTAGAAGAAGATATTGAGACTTCTGAAAAAGAAGCAGTCGATAAAGAAGATGCTGATGAATCAGAACCGGAACCGGAACCAGAAGAGGTTTCAGACGTTGAGATTATATACGACGAAACAATAGAAGAAGAAGAAGAAGTTGAGGAAGAAGAGATATCAGACGTAGATGATACGGAACTCTTGAACCGTTTAGAGGCGAAATACGGGCGGCTACCGGAACCCGAAAGACCCGGACAGAATAGTAACATGATGTTTACAGTGTGCCATATAACAAACGCATTGCAACTAAACTTATTAATATTACCGGCATGACTAACTAAGTGTGAGTGATTATTAACATATAAAATGTATTTATTTGAATTTGGTCCTGATTTTGCTGTTTAATGTTCTAAAATATATTTTTCAAATAGCTGTATTTTGTTATTTGTACTGTTTTTGTGGAATTGTTTGATTTATCGAGTTATATTTTATAGAGGGTGGAGCTAAGAGTGTGTCCTCTGAATGGCCGGGAGAACCGAGCGACTCATACTGGAGGTCTCAGCTAGACACCGCGGAGGAAGAACTCCGACAGGTAGTAATGAACAAATATCACGGTTAATAGTACATATATTTTCCGAATATTTTAGTCCCCAAGTAGAAAAGATTTAAAGAAATTAGAATCTAAGAAACTTTAATATGTGGATAAGCTAAAGATATACGAATTGTTTTGAATTGTTGTTTACAATTCGTTAGTAGTAAAAAATTAAAATGGAGCACATTTTTACGTTAATAACATTAATATTATTTCAATACAATAAACAATACCTATGAATTTTAATAAAAATAAAAGTCTTTTCTGTTGGTGTATTCTGTGTTTGCATGGTATTGTGTTTCATTGAGTATGCATGAACTATGACTACTAAGAAAATCCTCGCATTTTAGTACATCACATCATATTAACCACCAGCTTTATGAAACTTGAAAGACATTTTACGAATACACCAACAATTGACGTATTTATCATCATTGGATAAAAATCCATGCAATTTTAAAAATCAATGAAGAATATAGGTATACATTAGTAAACTATAATAATATTTCCAGGACTGGCTGGACTAACTTTTTCACTAAAAACAAAAAAAAACCTTGCTCGTTGTGCCATTTTCCCCAACAACTCTCCATCGGATCTCTCGGTATAACCGCGCCCGCACCCCGCGCGGTCCCCGAACGGTTCTTTGGAGACTTACCATTAACCCAGCAATAGTTTTTATTATATATATGGAATGTTTTGTGGATTGTGTGATTGTGTTTGTACTAACTGAGGGCGCTTGGAGTGCGTGCGTGTCCCGCGTGTCTGTCGCCTCGCTGGAGCGCAGCGGGAGGGCGAAGTGGTTGAAGGCGCGGGCTCTGGACAGCTCGGCGGAAGCTGCCCGCGATAACAGAATGCTGTCTAAAGCTATCACAGCATATCTGGACCTCCTCAAAATGAACGAAGGACTCTCAGATGAGAAGCTTCTAGAAGTTGCTCGTCGGACCATCGATAGAATAAACTTCAGAGGTTAGTAGCCTTATGTACGTGTACGATGATGAAAGGGTTTCTACTAGTACTCATATCACTTTACATTTTAGGAGTATACCTGAACGCTGAACCGGTTTACAGGCTATTAATAAGAAGATTCCCCGATGATGTTCATTATAGAAACAATCTGACCGTGTCATTTTTGATGGCTAACAGGTAAAAAAACATATAATATGTATTAATAATAAAATTACTGAATACTATTTAGTTGTGTCATAATTTTTTATAGGGCTGATTTGGCGGATGAAGTGCTGCGAGAAACGTTGCGACTCTGGCCGAATGACCGTGTTGCGCTGGCACACCACGGCTTCGTTCTGAAAAATCACTACAATAAGCTTGAGGAAGCTGTCCAAGCACTCAAGAAAGCTCTAGATGGTGACGCAGGACAAGCCAACGAACCAAGGTTCTATTATCACCTTGGCGATGCGCTCCTATTACTGGGAAGATTCGACGAAGCCGAAGAAATACACAAACGTGGCGCCGAATTAGGGCATTTCTTGTCACCATCACAACGCTCCTTATACAACGTGCCCAGACTACGAAGTAAGCCTTGGTGGCGAGTTGAAGATACGCCATATGAAAAACTTGCTAGAGCATTGGAAGCATCGTGGCGCGAGATCTTAAAAGAAGGAGAAGCAGCTAAAACATTGTACGAAAAAGAGAAAGAGGGTTTGAAGGAGCGAGGGGAGTGGTCGCAGATGGATATTATGGTGAGGGGGCGGGAGATCCCGGGGCGGTGCGCTAGGGCTCCGGTGACATGCTCCGTAGTGAAGACAGAAATGGCGGCGTCGGGCTGTAAGAGAGGTCAGGTCAAGTTCAGTATGATGGCTGCTGGAACACACGTGAGACCACACGTCGGACCAACAAACTGCAGGCTTAGGATGCACTTGGGACTCAGTAATACCAAAAACACTTATATACGGGTCGATAAGGAAGTCAGGTATGACAAAACATAATACAATGATTTCAAGTATATATGAATATGATAGAGGTATATAGTCAATGGATAAATAAATAAAAAACAACTTGATGGTAATAATAAAACAGTAAATAATTTGGGTAAGTGGTATCGCCTTATCCAAGTAAAGGCCTATTCACTGAATTTAAATACAAAAATTACTTTATAGTTTAGATATTTTATTACCCAAATAAGATAATTTTGGTTTAGTGACCATATCACAAAAATAATTACTTTTTTTAGGCAATGGCAGTTAGGTAAGACGCTGTTGTTCGACGATAGTTTCGAGCACGAAGTTTGGCATAACGGCACCGGCACTCGCCTGGTGCTGATCGTGGATGTATGGCATCCTGACCTCACTCCCGCTGAGAAAAGACAACTACCCCCCATATAAATTATAATCACCCACACACTGTGCTATAAGCCATTAACTCTAATAAATAAGCATTAATTTATATACCAGTCAATTCGATAATCTCTTTTATATACATATCGCTGTGTAAATCAAACTGTATGAATGTATTATTTGAGTATGTGTTTTAGTCATTAAATATAAGTACAACGTTCGAAAACATGAGTTTCTATTGAAATAAAACCAATCACTTTTCATTTCCTTATATTTGGTATAAAGGTCCGAAACAGTAAGTACTTAATTAAAAAAAAAAAACAAAAATATCCTTAATCTAATAAAGCTCGTTTTGTAAATTGTATGTCACTTAAGTATACGTATTCAAAAAATATGGAAATAAAATGGAATATGAGACATTTGTCCTCGGAATGTAAGTATAGTAGTTGTGCCGTAACTTTGTACTATTCTAAAATGTGCTGTATTGTTTAATAAATAAAGTACAAAAATAACGAGTTACAATTATAATGAAGGTTTCGTTCCTTAATAAAGATATAAAGTTATAAAGATCATGGACGGATTACTTCTCTACATAAAAAATGTTCTGAAGTTCTGTTTCAAAATAAACACACACGTGTTTTCTTATCACTTATAACATTTAAAAAAATAAAATATTAGCTGAATGCTATAATCTAGATTTTGGAAAAATAAAATGAGTAATGGACTTCATTTATATGGAAAATAGTAAAAATATTTCACTATTAGAAACATTGTTTTCCCTACTTCAATTCAAATGTATTTAAATAGTTGCAAACATAAAACGTTCTATTTATAGCAAATTCCATTCGGTTTTTTTAATGTAAAACTTCCATAAACATATTGTATTTCATACAATTAATACATATTTTTATATCTTATAAACATAAAAATGTAGATAGTACGTGTTCATCATCAGTTACTTTATAAGGAATTGGTTTTAAACTAAACACCGAGCGTTTCATTGTTAAAAACTTCAATGCCGTCCGTGTCTAGAATGACGAACCAAAACGTAACACGAATCTTACATCTACCGATAACTAATTAAAACTTAACAAGTGCTGGACGAGGACGTTAAACAAGAGATTCATTTATCATACATTTACATAATAAGTTTGAGCTGTTTATGAGCATCACTGGATAAGGCACATGAATTAATTACATTTAATATAATAACATGGCAAGTATTCGTTGACAACTTCCCACTAGTGGATATGTAAAAATAGTTTTCACAGAAGTTAAGGACGGTGATGATGTACATCATATAGTAGATGTATTGGTTTCTTAGCATGTTAGGGTATAACATTATAGGGGTCTACGGCTGGTTGGTATGCTGGCGGGCCCGGAGCTTGTGGTGTTGAGCGCGCTCCTACGGGAGGAGGAGGCGGGTCCCATGAAGTGTCGTACCCGTAGCCGTAGTTCGCCTCGTAAGCCGGCTCACACGCCGTGGCTACACTCTCTGATCTATTTTCATAGTTGGTGACCGTCTCGTAACTACGTCCAATGTTATCATACGTGGCATTGTCTGCAGGGCGCTGCTGTCTTTGCGGTTCCGGCATGTTGTATGGTCCGACGACGTCTCGACTCATCTTACTGCGTCTGATCGTGTTGGTTCTGTTAGTCACTATGGGGACGGAATCCTCGGCGGGCGGTTCATATACATCCCGTTCAGGAAGGTTGTATGACGAGGGCCGGGCTGCGTGGAAGTTAGAGTACGACGAATGAGCGGAAGTGGGACGTGAGGGACGAGGGTCCCGCGGTAATGAGGAGTTGGAGGCGAGGTAGCCAGCGTTCCGGTACGAGCGCCGCGATCGACGCACAGACGAGCCCGCGCCACGGGAACCGGACCTGCGCTTCACACGACGAGGAGTCATAGGCTTCAATGAGCTCTCGTTCACATTAGTTTCGGTGGGACTTAGTTCTATAGTAAATACTTGACGGCGGGACAGAGTAGACTTATCTGAAATTAATTAAAATTTTAAACTGTCTGAACACAAATTTACAGAAATAATTACAAAGTAAGCAAAACTAACCAGACACAGTCTTATCTTTCTTAAAGGATCTGTATGTTAAAAGCGTTGCTAGAGGCAAGGCTGTGGCGGCAAGAAATGCGGCAATAGACGATTGACCCAACTCCACATACTGCCATTGTAAGAAACATCCATCAACTCGAGCTGGTCTCCAAGTTCCAGGGCCGTCTGCTTCACCCCAAACAGGTTGACATCCCCACCCATTACCCTCCCACCAACTTACACTACCAGTACCTAATGACAAAAGGCCACTTTCCTGCAAAATGAATATCATATTAATTTGTATATAAGACATTATTTCTCTTCTACTAAGATTTATGCATTATAAATTCATAACTTTTTATGAAATTACATAAGTTGCTAAGAAGCCAAAAGAAAACATTTAGATGTAGGTTTGAATTTAGATAGCTTTAAATATACTAAGAATTTTTATTTCTTTTATAGGAGAATTATGTGTGTTATTAAAAAGGAAACTAACACCTAATTAGATAATCGATAATTTAAACTTAAATATTTATCACATTGAATTTGGATTTAAAGAGATCTTAAAAAGTTTAACAGAAAATTGCATTTTGAATCATGTTCAATAAATCTGTCTTTTTTTGCTGGTCAAGGGGTTTTTAACTTTAATAATTACGTTTTAAACATATTTAAAATTAGTAATTTTGCTTATTGTATCATGGCATTTATAATTAAAAACAATTTATGCACTTTTATCAAACAAATTAGTTCCATTGTATTCCTTCTAATGAACAAATGTTTCATGGCGGTGTTTAAAATAATATTTTAATATGACTTCCAGCATCCTCCAAACTGAACAATTCTATATTTTCATGAAATAAAAAAACTGTTATATTATAAATTACCAGTTATTTTTAGAATGCTCATATTATTAATTAAATAATACTTATTAATTTTTGATAATTATACACATATTTTCTCGATTATTTTATATATTTTTTATCAACATTATCTATTTGATGATACTTAATTTTTATTTATTATAAATAATTAATAATGCTTTATTTCTATTTCAAAATGTAGGTTGGGCTACCACAAGCAGCCTTTTGTCTAAATAAATTTCTTACATTAAGTAGCTAGAAACATGCTTACAAAGATGGACAAAATTCTAAAATTATGCTTATACATATTATAAACTTTATCAACATATTATATCTATTAAACTCACCCTATTAAGAGTTCCAACATTCAAATAATAACATATTAGAAAGACATTCCATGTCAACCACATACAACTCCATATTGAATACTGTAAAGAGTCATAAAAATTATTTACTATCATGGTGTTAGTTAATTTTACAGATAGTCTTATAAAACAAATGAACTACTTACAGATAATAGATACTTTGTTACATACTGAACAGCCCCAAAAGAACCAAAAATTATGAATATAATGTTGGTAAAATTTGCAATAATAGGCAACCACATATACCCTAAGAAATCAAACACTTGCCGTTGTACTGTTACAATCTGTAAATGAGTAATGAATGATTACAATATGATATTACATGCTTATATTTAGAGCAAGTACATTAGTTTACCTATTATAATAAAGGACTTAAATAAGAAATTAAGGCATCAATGCCTAGGTTAAATGGGAAAGTGTGTAGTTTAATTATATTTTCATTAATAAAATTATATTTTATAAAAAGTTTTCCATCATACCAATTCCAGAATGCAGACAATCAGTAACAAAGTTCTTAGACTACAAACAGCCATTAGAATAAACTAAATGGATGTCTCATTTATCACAATAGTAATTGCTCAATTTAAAATAAAGTACAATTTTCATGGTAAATAAAAAACAATCAAGAAAATGAAAGCAACGCTGCAAAACTGTACCAATTACCAACGTCAAATAACTAATACATGGTTATTGGTCATTCGTCTTACTTATTGTCATATTTGACAAGTTTAGTGAAGAATTGTGATTTTAAATTTAATAAATATAATATTTATCTTTGGATTAATTAAATGTTTACAAAATACAAAAAATCATCTTTTACTTTTTCATAATTTTTTTGGGGGTTTTATCCAAAAACAAAAGATTTGATTTTGAGGTAAAACAAATGGCAACTCCTGATGTGACTTGTAAAATCGCTACGAAAATTGGAAAATATTGATCCTGTATGTGAGCTGTGAATCTGACTCTTGCACTTTTCAGTAGTCGTTTATTTCCACGAAGTTACCTTTTAAAAAGATATTTCTAGTTGCAACCAAAGTTTTCTAGTCACAAGAAGAGAGGTATTATATATTAGGCTATTGTTTATTGTTTATAAATAGTTTTGATACTTACCGGTAACCTTACGAATATATTTTTTTATTAGAAATGGCGACTGAAAGTTTAGTCCCCTTGGAATCTAATCCTGATGTGATGAATAAATTTCTACAAAAACTTGGAGTGCCAAGCAAGTGGGGTGTCGTAGATGTGATGGGTTTGGAATCGGATATGCTCTCTTGGGTTCCCAGACCGGTACTCGCCCTTACACTCCTCTTTCCGATTTCCCAATCCTACGAGCAACACAAAGAAAAAGAGGAAAGTGAAATTCTGGCTAAGGGCCAAGAAGTCTCGAGCAATCTTTTTTACATGAAACAGAACATTAGCAATGCTTGTGGGACAGTAGCCCTTGTTCATGCGATTGCAAATAATTTAGATGAAATTGAATTGAATGATGGTTGTTTGAAAACATTTTTGGAAGAAGCTAAGAACTTGGATGCCGCTGCAAGAGGAAAACTTTTGGAAAAGTGTGAGGGCATTATTAAAGCTCACACTGAGCTGGCTCAGGAGGGGCAGACTAATATGCCCAATGCCGAAGATCCCATCAATCATCATTTCATTACTTTCGTACACAAAGATGGCTCTCTCTATGAATTGGATGGCCGTAAAGCTTTTCCAATAAATCATGGCCCATGTACACCGGACTATCTACTGGAAGATGCTGCTAAAGTCTGCAAGGAGTTCATGGCCCGTGACCCTCAGGAGGTTCGTTTCACAGTCATCGCTTTCACTATTGCAGATGTTTAAATCCCCACAGGTGTTTTTATAAACTAAAAAAGCAGCATAGCAAGCTTTCATTCCAATTTTATACTAAAGTATTAAATTTTTGGATTTTTGTATGCAGCATTTATGACATAAGGTCGGCTATTTATTATATTCGCTTTACTTAAGCTTTCTAATTGAATTGTAATTCAAAGAATACCCAAATAAAGTATAAAAAAATAAAACTACATGTTTTATTTCATTAATCATGAAAAAAACTAATTCTTTTTAAGTCATATTTCAATAAAAACCAAATATTGCCTATAAAAGCACTTTACATAGTTCTTAAAATTAAGCATTAATAATTTTTATATAATATAAACATTAGTACATAGTAACTGGTGATTTCTTTGTTAATTATTTTATAAATAATAAAAAATAATTGAATTATTTTATTAACATCACATTTGATGCTGGCAGTTCACAATAAGCATACACAATGCAAGCGAAGATAATAAACTATATCCTCAGAGTTTTAAACAATAATGTTTTGTTTTCTTTATAAGCAGTATTTCAGAGTCTATGACTATAAGAAAGTATTTTGGTGTATAATTTAAATTATAATACAATTCTTCTCCATTGTTGCTTTGCAAGATTTACAAATATTTAAAAAATATACTAACTCCTAGAATATTTAAAACAAGATTGTTAATAATTGAATAATTGTAATCTGGGGTATAAAAGAAAATGGGGTTTTATATAGGTATTGAATAATTAAATACATATCTGTTGTTTGGATATAATTATGAAGCTGAAAACAGATTTTTTTTTAAATTACATAAAAACATATCTTGAACTACAAAGTATGTATATTGGTATTAATGCCAAGAAATTAATGTAGACATTAATTTTATTTCACCATTGCAAGCTATATAAAATTTATCATCTATTCTATTTGAGCGTTTTTAACTTTTGTATACTGATAGGATTCTATTACAAAGCTATTTCTTTTATTAAAATATGTTCCCTCAATTGAGTGAGCCATCAAAATATAGGCTACATCAAAATATATTCAATTAGCCTTTCATGTTACTTGCTTCTTAAGGGGTGAGTAAAAAACAAAACTAAATATGCATAATTTTATTAACGTATATAATTAAAAAAAAAATAACTTGCTAGTTAACTTCGTAACCTGTTTTACAGTAGCTTTGAAAATTTCATAACAACACTCGTTTGTAATTCATAAACCTACGTAATCCTACGTATATATGCAAAATAAAAAAATTTTCGTATGTAGTATGATGATGGAAACTTGCGTTAGGGTGCAAGTGATGAATATATTTTAATAGTTCTAACTACAGTTTACCTCATAATCTTAAGTGTTTTAGAGATATTGAGATTAGCTTAAACATTTTACTCTTGTAAAGTGTTACATTGTGCGATTTTATTTAAAAGTAGGTATACGCTGCAAAACTAATTACATATATTAATGTTTTAATACATTAAGATAAGATATCTCTACATTTAAGCGTTTCATCTAGGCTCTTGAGCAATTTCAGCAACATTATGATACAATTTATTATTATATAATTATACAATTTATCTAATAAAAAATAGATTTATTTTTATTGATTTTAGACGTTATACATATATAACGTTAAATGTCGGAATATGGAGAGCATTCGATTCCATTAAATATTTTTCGACAAGATTTTCTCTACAACCCTCATAGAGATACTCTTCAATAAAAACAATGCATGCATGTCATGCATAAACTCATATTTAAATAAGTTAGGTATAAATAAATTGATCTAACTATTTGAAGACTATATACCGAGAAGCGAAACGTAAAAAAAACCTCTTCCAACTAAAATACAATAAAAAAATTATATATAACCTTAGATAGGATATTACGCATTTTGGCTTATAATAACTTACGACAAATGGAATGCATGGTAATTCTTATGATTATTCAATTTTATTTCATAATCATATAAAGGGAAGAAAGTTTAAATCGATAAAAAACCTACAAGCTTGTTATATTTATAAAAGAATAAAAATAAGTAGAGCCATCAAGCGCCTTATTTAATATTCCATTAGATTTGTTTCCCATAATTAATTGTTACTATATTATTTACAGCTTCTCGTGTTAATGATTTCAAGTGAATCATAAATCATTACGTTATTCATAAAGTCGGTATCGGTGTAACAATTCGTTCCTCGTCATCATTTACGGTTGGATTGCCTGGAAATGACAAAGATTAAAAAATAATCATCACCACTTTAACGACCTGTTTTGAAAGATAATAAAAAAAAATCAAGTCACATAGCATGAATTGTAACCATTTATGAGAAATATTCAACTTACTAATAGTAACTAATGAGTTATGTGTGGTTGAAGGTAATGCGAGAGTCAAGCATAGTCCTAAGACAGTCGCACAGCCGCAGACCCACGACAACGCATCACGATAGTACGACGATTCAGCACCGTCTGCACTAATCATAAAACAAATTTAAAATTAGAACACGAAAACAATATTATTGATAGATAAAAAATTTATAGCTAAATTTATTATCATCAACTTAAGAACTTTCTACGACAGTAGATATTAATAGATGTATATCCTATAAACTTACTACATTTGTATTATAGCTATGGCTGCACCGCAGGACAATTTATCAGTAAAACTCATAAGCCCATACACAAATGCTGATGCATGAGTGCTATCACCAACAAGGTCAGCTGTTAGCGACAAACTCGTGACTAACATTTGAGCACCACCAAAACCTTTAAATAAAACAATAAGTTTGAATCACTAACTAAAATATATAACAAACTCACATTCGACTGTAAAATTTCATATTTTGATATATGTTTTAAAATAAGATTTAACAATAAAAAGTTAAATTTGAAAAATGGCATGTTTGGAATGAGTCTGGCAATAACAATTCTTTTAACATAAGGTCTTAATGATAACAATGATTCATATTAAACACATGTCTATGAATCACAAAACAGAAGTTTAAAGTTTGCATAACACAGTAATGTAATAATAGTGTTATTATTTGAATTGATGATAAAGTTTATGAAGTTACCTATTAATACGGCCACAATGTATATAAACATCACTTTATAATCATAATCGGAACCAAAGTAAACCCACACAAAGCCACTCAATGCAGATGCTGAACCCAATGTATAGCTAAATTTATGGGTGAACGACCTAGGACTTAGTCTTTGTAGGCCAGCCGCTGCTAGGCTTCCTAAATACGAAGCTAGAGGAACTACGGCCAAGGCTCGAGCCGCCAGTCCAAGAGTCTGATGAAGGTATAGTGGTATGAGAACTTGGGATATATTGACCACCAATCTTGTACTCATGTAAATTAATGCAACCTGAAAACAAAATATAAAATTTAAAACACTTTTCAAAATATAATACTTTGATACAAAAATGTAAAACAAAACTGTCTACCGACATGGTACAATAAAATCTTTCGGAGTATATCACAATGGAAAGTGGAGCTATCATCATCTGCATATAACTGGCTTCTAGGTTGCTTCTCTGTAACAGCAAGATGAAATATGATGGATGCCAATAAACCAACTGCCAGCACAATTAGCATTACTTCTCTGAACTTCCATGCATCCGCTGGTCCAACTTGCTTGAAACAATATCAATTTAGCAGAATTATTACTATAGTATTGGCACATTTATGTATTATCATATTAAGCTTGTGATTACATTTTTTTTTGTACTGTACAAAATTACTGCTAATAAATTGCCATACCTCTTTATCACACTTCCCAGTTAAATGTAATATTAACCATGTTATAATATATACAAATATATTTGAGAACACTGTGAACCCATATCTACAACAATATTATATTTGTTATAAAAATTAATAATAGAAAATCATTGAAATAGTAAGAAGACACAAATCCTTACCTTATTGCTGTTAGATGAGTTCTAACATAGGGATCTTCTGCAAGTTCAGGAATTAGGCTAAGATGTGATATTTGTACAGCGGCCCAACCAATTTGAAAAATTATGATGAATGCAGCAAAATAGAACATCTGTGCCCATTTGTGAGCCATAGCGCAACCAATACATTCAGTAAAAATGAATGGAAATGATGAAATCACACATAGTGTACCTAAAATAACAATAATTGTTATTTTTATAAGTAAGATTAAGTAAAAACAATGTCATTAAAGATAATCGAAAATAACAGTGTGATATAAATTAAAATGATATAAATTGTAAATTCAATGCTTACCAAATAAATGCCAAAGTTTTCTTCTACCATATTTAGCAGATAAAAAATTGTTAGTATGATCAGAATGGTAACCAACAAATGGTGTAGACAAAGCGTCAACAATTTGTCCTATTAACATTAACTGACCGGCCTGTGAAGCCGTAAATTCAAGTACAAGATGAAAAAACACTAAAAAATAAGTAAACCACAAACTGGCACAAACATCGTTTAAAATGTGCCCAATCCCATAACCCAGTTGAAGTTTTAGGCTGGTGGATATATCTCTTAATTCATTATCCATTTTTTTCTAAACTTTCCGAAAATATATACGCTTAATCTTGTTTAACTTAAAAAAATAAAAGTAATGTTTTTACTAATATTTACAATAGTATTGATTAAAAATAACAACGTTATTTCTTTTAAAAAAAGACAAAGAACAGATGCATTTTTTTATGACTTTACTAACTTATAACGTTACTTGCAAAACTCACGCCAAAAATAAAAATAAAAATCCGAAATCGCACTAATCAAGATTCTCATAATACTCCTCTTAACTTGTCAAAGTACATATTGCTTGTCAATTTGACATTTTATAAAGAGAGTTACACAATGTATGAATTGTATTAAATGACAAAAATATGTTTAAAAAGAAACACATAACTTAACATCCTCATTTATTTAATTTTCTTTTTATAAAATAACTACAAAAGTCCATTAGATACATACGAACAATAATATAAGTTGACCTTTGATTATGAGAACGAAAAATTGTCCAGTTTCCTTCAAAATATTTAACAAAACTCAGTCAAATAGAAAGGGTGCCACTCTTATGGGAGGTATAGGAATAGAGGTGTGAATGGCGATAAACTCCGGATTGAGGATATCGTTATAATAACTCTAAAAAACTACAAACAATAGCCCATTAAACAAAAATTGTCTTTTACAATGCTTACTGTTTGAACTAGCACTTTTTGATTGATATAAAGTTAGAAATAAATTGCTGAAACAACTTTCTGATCGTTGGAATTGTTTTTAATCGTGTCGAATCATTCTGCAGTTGTTTTGATATCTAAACAGTAATTTTTAACATTTTATTTATTTTCAAATTTGCTTAATATAGTACAGTTCAAAGACTTTGTTTTATCGAAACAATAATTTGTTAATATTTTAGGTATAGTTGATTGATCAATAGGGACGAGATGTAAAATAATTAGGGGCATAGCAGTTTTTGAATAGACAGTAAAGGGACTATAGAAACAGGGTTTTCTCTTCGATAAAAAATAGCTTGTTTTCCATTAAATGATTAATGTTTTATATTATTGTCCCCGCTAAAGAAGAATTTTTTTAGAAGAGTCAGATTTCTTTTGCACAAAATCTTAAGCCAAAGTATCAGTAGTGACCAACGTGGAGAGTAAATAACCCTATCAATGCTATAATTACAAGAAATATATAAAAGCTGATACTTTAGCGACGAAACGTGAAGTCATCAAGAAATTTTAGAATCCAGCTCTAGATATAACACCAAAATACGATAAATGTAGATTTTGTACCTGTTTCTCTGTCGGACGTTAGATAATTTTAATTTTAGAAAAACACCCTTGCTGTCAAAGTCAACCGAAGATAAAGTCAATTGTCAAATGCATTTGACATAAGTGTGATGTTGAAAATAAATATTAAAATAATTTCCAACATTAACTACTAATATTAGCAAATTTTTCAAAAATAACATTATTAAATCAATAAATATATTTGAGGTGACTAGAATATAATTATTCATATATGAATCCACAGTGGGGTGGTCGTGCCGACACCAAAGATTTAGAGTATTTATCTCCAAAACATACATATTTTAGTTAAATCATATACAAACCTTTTTAAAGCAATTAAAAATGTTTAGGCCGGAGTTCATAACTTTTTTTCTTTTATTTGCTACATTAATTCACTTAAACAAAGGAGATGAATTTATGGAAGAGATTTTCATCAAACCTTTGCCTCCTTCTCACCTTTATGTTTACTTTCAATTTATAACACTAGTCGATGGAGATTCTAATTGTAAGTATTTATTTTTATTACGGGGGACTCATTTGTGACTTCATCGGTCTGATACTATTATATATTTTCAGATAAGCATTCTCATCTTGCACCTCAGCCTTTATTAGAAATTATGTCAAACTATCAAGTGGATGAATTGCATTTAACTTTAACTGAAGGGCAATGGAAACACAGTCAATGGGGCTATCCCATACTTGATGCTGCACCAGGAGCGGAACTTTATGCATGGTTTGCCCCCGATGTCGTTGATGTTGATACCCAGTGGAAGAAACTCAGCTCAACATTATCAGGACTCTTCTGTGCTTCTTTAAATTTCATAGAAAGCTTCAATACAATATCACCCAAAATGGCCCTGTGGCCAACCGGTGCAACTACTATTAAACAAAATGTTACCTCTCACTTGAGATATGCTTCATTACCAAGAGAAATTGTATGTACTGAAAATTTAACTCCATGGAAGAAATTACTACCATGCGGATCAAGTCATGGGTTTGCATCACTCTTAAATTCAAGAATGATACACAACACAAATTATCATTCCATTGGAATGCATGTCAGAAGAATATGTGAAAATAATGACTGTTTGCAAACAAAACTTGAAATTAAACAAACAGTTGCATTAGTCTATGATTTTAAAATAATATACAGTACTGATTGGTCATTTAGAAAATTATTTGGACAAGGTTTGCCAGGAGCATGTCCTCTGTCATCATCAAGCAAAATATATGTTGATATAACATCTAATAGCACATATGCATTTAAACTTAGCCCAGAACCTACAAATAAAATATTATCAGTAAGAGGTGGTAGTGAGACTGAACTAGCAGTATATGAAATAAATAATACCGAAATGATGAACGTTGTTGCAAAATATGAAAGTCCATATAAAATTACTATGAAGAATTCACCACCAGTTACATTCAATAGATATGTCTTAGGCTATGGTAAAGAATTTGGTGGGATTGTAACAGAGCTCACTAATAATTACTGGGCACCAATAGATATTGTTCTTCTCGAGAATGCTCCCTGGTGGTTGCCTATTCAATTGAGTACTTTGAGAATCAATGGTGAAGCTGAGAGTAATTTAATAATGTCACGATACTATTCACCTGGTCGTAGTAGGCAGAAACCATATCATTTAGAGCTCCTCATAAAATTACCTCCAAAGTCTACAACAACGGTTACAATAGATTTTGAATTTGTGTTTCTTAAATGGCAGGAATATCCACCTGATGCCAATCATGGATTCTATATAGGTTCAGCTATAATTTCTGCGAATCTTCCTACTGCCAAGAATTATACCAGCCTACCAATTACTGGAAGCACATTTGATTCCCTTGTAAATGCATCAAAGCCATGTAAGTCTGACTAAATTGTTAAAATAAGTTAAATTAACCTACCTGAGTATTGTTTTACAGAAAATCAATAACTATCATGTACATAATATATCATGATTTTAGACTTTGTGTACAATTTTATCTGCCACCTAAGCACAAATGTTTGGAAAGATTTATCAATAGAAATATCTATATTTTTATGTTAAAATTAAAGATAGAAGATGTTACTTAGTACATTTTAAAGCTAATTTAATTTTTTAGTATTAAAAGTGCACTGATTTATATTATTTTTTCCAGGGTATCCTATTGTTCTTAGAACAAATGGTGCGATGGTTTCCTTGCCGACTCCAGATTTTAGTATGCCTTATAATGTTATATGTCTGGCATGTACAGTTGTAGCATTAGCGTTTGGGCCTCTTCACAATATATGCACCAAAGAACTAGTACTAAAGGCAGTTGGAACTGCAGTGTCACTGCGACAAAAAATAACTAATATATTCAAAAAAAAGATTGAATAATTTTTTGTATAGTAATAAAATCCTAATGTAAAAGTTGTTTTTGTCTTATATCCTTAATATTGCGAATGACATTTTGTTTTATACATATATAATAAGTAAAATAATAGGACCTATCCATTCCTAAAAAATTGGTGCTTTCTGCCCGAACCATTCACCGTTACGATAGTTAGGATACTCAATTCAAGATTCCAATTATTTATGTTAGTAATATGAGTACGAAAATCTTGAGTCGATACTTTTAAATTTAGTTTTTGGTAATTGACCAAAAACAATGCATCTTTGATACAATAAATATTACAGGAACAAGTATATATTTTTTTTATAAGTTATAACAAATTATTCTTCTAAAGTTAGTTACGTCATTTTATAAAGTGAAAAAAAAATTTTACACTAACTTACTTAAAATTTGTTAAATCGAACGACTCTACAATATAAATAATAACCCATTGTCCAATTAATAATTACTGTATGTTTTCTATTAAAAATCATTATAAGTCATTTTAATGTAGGTGGATAGATTAGTTAGATAATTTAAAGATAATTCTAGCGATAGAAATACAATCGTATCGAAACATGAATTACATTTTATGTGAATAAGGGTCATACATTGGCGGGAATGTTTAAAAGGTTGAATTTCGACAAAATTCATTAATTAGGGGTATTCAATTCTTTTTGATAGCTAACATGGTGAATAACTAATTATTAAAAAATATATATTATTAAAAATATATGAAAATTAAAAATAAGAGAGAAAAATAAAATAAGTGTTAGTTAATACATAAAACAAAAAGGGCGTAGAGTTCCTCCGTGCGAAAGAAGTGAAATTTCGTAATTATAAACTTTTCTTGTCGACTAAATTTGAAAATAAAATACCTACTGCCCTATTAAAATATTTATAACAAATCAAACAAAAAAAAAATATTTATATTATAAATGTTTCATCATTAGCCTATCAGAGTCAACTGCTGAGCAAAGGCTTCTTCTCACATGGAGAAGATTTGAGCATAAATCACCACGCGTGCTTGTTAATTTATAAATATTTAGTAATTTTAATAAAAGTTAGTAGGTCAGTTAAATTTACGACGTTTATAAGGTTTACTTCGCTGCAAAGCAAGAATACCAGGCGAATGTGCTTGAAACCTACCGACTCTCTTTCTCCCTCCTACTTTCTATATTTGTGTCTTTCTATCTCTATCTCTCTCTTTCTCTATTTTCATAATTGGGATTTTGAAAAAAAAAAGTATTGATTTTTTATGTATTTTAAAACTTTATTATTAATTATATTGATTTTTAATGCAAAAAACTTGAAAACATTTTTTTTTAATTAATTATAAACAATTAAAAATTTATAAAATTCAAAAACAAATCACGTGACTGTAAACGCGCCATGATTGGTCGGCATACTTGTGACGTCATAATGTTAAAGCAATTTCATAATAGTACAGTGTTTATGTCTATTATTTTTGACTTGATAAAAATATCTCAAATTTATTAGTGAAAAACGATTTGAAAAGTTTATTTCGACTAACTATGTGTGATAAAGGATTTATAAAAGCAAAATCGGATAATATTCCTGATGTTGATATATTTATAACTATTTTTTTTAAAAATGACGTCCGGTTTAATTCTGCTGAAGTTCGAGGTGCTTAGGCATCAAGGTAAATCTGTTAAAAATACCATTCTAAATGAAAATAAGTACCCATTTATTTTCTATTAAATATAATTAATAATTATTTCATTAATTGTAGAGCATCACGTGAGAGTTACGGTGATAAAGCTATAGGTTATGGTCAACTTAATCGTAAGAATGGTATTTGTGTTTTAAAAGGACGTGTGTGTCCAGAACACCGAGTTCGGAGTAAAGCTTACTCAGTTACTCTAACTATCAATGAAAAATTAAGAAGAAGAATAATAAAAGAAGAATTAATAAAATATTATTATAACATTATAAAAAACCAAAATAACATATACTTTAAAAATTTAAATGTAGTCTGATACAGAACCTAGAATGTTATAAAATTATGAAAATATCTATTAATTGAATTCCAATTATTAGACAAACATACATATAGATTTACTATTTAATAGCTTTGAATTATCAATTAAAAAATTTTTAATGCTACGATTCTAAAGGTTATGATTTGGAGCCCAGGTAAAAAAATTAATTACTGAACTATACTTATTCGATTTATACTCTTAGATATAAAATAATTAATAACAATATTATTATGATTATATTATTATTATACTTACATCGAAATGATTTTCACAACAAAAAAAAATTGATTTTGTTTTTGAATAATCTCGGAGCACTGCTTGAAACCATTTTTTTCGACGTTTTTCGTCTTGTGGAACATTTAAAAACATTTTTTCAGGAGTTGTTTTTTGTAGTATTTGTACATAATGGTACAAAACAAGAGCGATAACTTTTGAGTTTTAACATTTTTGATTATTTAACAATGCCAACAGAATTTACTAGATAAAAACTCAAAACACTGTACTAATTATTATATCTCTGTATGCTGCAATGAGCAAAAACTAACATTGTGACGTCACACGCGCTCGGATTTATTCGGGAGCTGTCGGCGGATCTTCGGTACTGAATTTAAAATTTAATTTTTATTTTGAAATAACTTTTTAATTATTGCAAAGAAAAAATAAATAAAAATAGTTTTGTTATAAAACTTATATATGATCTTTCCATTTATCACAAAAAAAATAATATTCAAAAACCCAATTGATTTAATAAGGATTTATCAATTATGAAACTATAATAAATGAAACAGTTGTACCAATTGCGGTTCTAAAAATCATTGTCTAAGCATTCTATCACTAAATAATTTCGTCAAATTGAATAACATATTTTCAATGATCGTCTACAGACATTAACCTGACAAAAATGAATTTCTATTGCAAATTAAAAAATTGCTGCAGGCAGTGGCGGCGTAAGGCGTGGGCGACGTGGGCAACCGCCTACGGTCTCGCGGTACAAAAGGCCTCGCGCCTCAAAAAATTTTAGAGCGAGAATAAAAAAAAATCTTGTTCTTCTTCTTCCTGGCAATTTCCCAGCTATAGCCAGGGTCTGCCTTACCTACATGTTGTGATTAGTTTTGGCTATTTGGTTTTACAACCGGTCGCCTGCCTGACGTCAACCCTTTTTGGGAATGAGAATTAATTAAACCTATTTTAATAAGAATAGTGTGTTCAATGTTTTAATAATATTTAGCGAATAAATAGATAGTGTTTCTGAATTTTGATTGCCCCGAAAACAGTGACGTTTTTTAATTGTTTTTGTTTTCTTTGTGATTTGTAATTACACCGGTACCTGTACTCGTCTATTTTACATAAAGTAAGAAATATTTAATTGGTAATAAGTATGTAACGCAGTTATTATTTGTAGTAAGGAAGCAGTAAGCTTTAAGGGTAAAAAACGTTTCTACGTTAAAGTTTTTAAAACTAGCAGGTAGTGAGAGCTTCAAGTTGTCATAGAATAGGGCCTCGCGAAGTCTATCTTGCCCACATCAAATTTAGGTCTTGCCCCGCCACTGGCTGCAGGTTTCTGCAAGGGCATGACCATATGGTATACATATATGTATTAGTTAATATATGTATACCATATGGTCATGTATATACAGGGTGACTGGTGAATTACTATCAATATTTAAGGAGAATACTCGGTACATGATTCTCATTCGAATTATGTAAAAAAAAATGTACTTTATTTTTGACCAAATTTCCGTATAAATAAATAAAGTGTGGACACGTTCCAATTGTTCCAAGTGTGGACGCGTGCGGCGGCGTGCTGATACAACACCAGCCGCCGCACGCGTGTGTGTGTGTGTGTATACCTAATCTGTAGGGTGTTCACACGATGCGTAATTAATTACATAACTTTTGGTTAACTTAACTTAGAAGTTTATTAATATTTATGTTATATTAATTTTTATTTTGTCATATATGATCGTCAAATATCACGTCCTCAAGTATCGATAGTAATTCACCAGTCAACCTGTATATATATTAGTTTCAAAAAAAATAAAATTTGAAGAACTTTAATATTCCCGACTTATTTATATGCCACTTGTGAACCTTGTGAGTGTACATACCAATACGTCAGTTTTCTAATATATTTAACAAACCGCAAATCCATTTTCTAGGACACTATGCGGTGTACCTATTACGAAGGGCCTACACCTATGATTGCTCTTCCTTGATATATTCTGAAGATATGTGTGTTCCAAACTTCACATGGGTTTTAAAAATATATCCTATTATTATCGTAAAGTTTGAAGTTGTGGTGTTTAAATTTACATAATTCATAGAGAAGCTGAAAGTACCTACTACAAATAAAGGGAAGACGTTGAGATCAAATCTTAATATTGCAAAGACCATAGTTAGGTTTGGAACAAACCTATTTTCTGGAAATTGCTTTCTTACGATTATCCAGTTGGGTTAGTTTTAATATTCGTAGCTGTGCGTCTTACATGTACGAGTAATTTTTAATGACTAGAACAAGTAACAGAGTGAAACCATTATAGCAATTTTAAACTTCATTGGAGCAGGATTTTCAGCGATGAGTGGTATTGTTCAGTTCAACCTTAAAAAGTAAAAACACGAGTTTGAAGTATAAGCGGGGTTACTATTTTCTCTTTAAATCGAGTCGAGTCGAGACTCTTAATATCATATGACATTTGCTCTCAAAGTCAATCGTTTTCTCTAATTCCTACTGTCGAAGGTTATTTATTAACAAACGATGTAGTCACTTTAAGGTTTCGACTACACAAGGGCTTCTTTTGCATGTTCTGTTCCTATTGTTCTTAGAATGTTTTAAAAATTACGTTATATTAAATTAATTAGAGATGCTATTATTTTTCTATTATTGCAGTAAACGAAGTATTAAAAGATGTAATTAAAATAACATCGTTAACCTTGTGAATATGAAATAATTTTATTAAGCTTAACATATTTTAGTATATTAAATACATACAGAGAGCTCTGATAATCTTTATTGAGGCAAAGATTGCTCCCCACTTGAACGAGCGTAGGACTGTTACGTAACAATTGAAAACCTGAAGAGATGATCCCTGGAAGAAAGTACCCTTAAAAATAATAATTTCATAACACCCCCTTAGATAAAGTCGTGCGGTCACTATAAAAATCAAAATTGACACTGACATACCGCAGAATTTTATATATCATGTTGCAGTTTTAAAGTTTTTGTTTACTATTACAGAAAGTGATAACAATTGTAACATGGGTTTACAAAAAGGGTAAGAATAATAAATATACAAATGAGCCACATATATGTTTTTAATGTTAAAATACATTTACGTAATTTTAAGATGTCCGTGTTGCAACGACCATCGGAATGAAGAGGAATTCATAAAAGTTTTAGATTTTAACGCAGGCCTCGTTATATATCTTGTTAGAGCAGCAGTGAGTAAATATTTATTTATTTAATATTATACGAACGATATTGAGGTCAACGATTTATATTATGTATTTAAAGGAATATCAAAGCTCAAGCTATTTCTGGTAGTTAAATGTATTTTTAATTATTTTATTTTTGTCTTAGTTGTTAAATATATTATAAAATAGGTGACTTCTGTGCAGCAACGCGAAAAAAATAATAATGCCAACAATATGTTTATTATACATAATACGACCGATAGACAAGTATTGACATCAAATTGTATGTCTGAATCGGGTATGAGTTATTTTGAAATATGGTCATTTGTAAATAAAATAATAATAATAATATATATTTTTTTGTCGTTTCAGAAGATACTGTGTATTGTCCTCGATGTAGATATATTATAAAACATGCCAAAGATTTACTGCTAAATGTACCGTTCATAAATCAAAGAGATGTAATTGGAGTATGTGATCATTGTCGACTAAAGGCAAGAAGTATTGTACCATGTAATGAATGTCAAAAAGTAGTAGGAGAATTTATAAAAGATAAAGAAGAAAAGATTAAGTTAGACAAACAGAATGCCAAATTAAAGAAGTTAAAAGAATTCAAATCAAAATTGAAAAATATCCTTATAGATGTTGAAAAATCTAATGAAATGAAAAAATTTGAATCGACACGGAGAACCCAGTCAGAAACATCCTTACGTAAACAAGATAGCACTTTTAAAAAGCAAGTAACAAATGATTATGAAATACTTGAAAGTTACGATATTGCTAACAAAATTCACAAGTATTTAAGAAAGCAGCCTGTCAGACAAATAGAAACTACTCCATTATATACTAGCAGAGCTGAGAGTGAACTCTCAATTGTTGGTCCTGTAAGGCGACAAAGAGATAATGAGCGCCAAAGAAGTATACATTTTAAGCACAGTCAAGATAACGTTGAGTTAGTATCTCTTCCGGGATCTTCAGATTATATATCATTAGAAAATAAGTATTATATTCAGGGCAATAAAAATATACCAAGAAAAACAGACCTGTACATTAAGCGACAGTTTTCCAGCGAGCGAGATTTGTCTTCAGATGCTCCATTTAGGGAAAAGACAACTGAAAAAATTCCATTTAAACAAAAAGTAGAATACAAAAGGGATCATCACCTTAGTTATCATGATATAAGGGATTCACGTCATGAAGAATCTGATATATTGCAAAAACAAGAAAATGAATTCATCAAAGAAATACCGAAACGTTCATTATCTGATACAAATGTCCGAGGTTATATGTCTGAAGAATCTCTCAGATCCATTTCCACTGCAACAAGAAATGTTGCACGTAAAGACTTTAGTTATTTTTTTATTAAGAAAACCGATATTACAAAAAAAAGACAGATGATATCACTAAGCTCTTCGGAATTAGTGAAAAATACACAGGATATGTATAGGGCAAGAGCGGAAGAAGCAAAAATTAAGAAAGAACAAGAGTTGAAACAAAAATTGGAGGGTGATGAAAAAAGACGAATTCCTATGGAAGAGAAAAGAAAATGGCAAGATGAGGAAAAGATTAAAATAGATAAAGAAATTAAAGGTGAAAAGGAAATACCAAAATCAAGTGAAGAATCATTGGAAGTTAAAGAAGCATTAGAAATACAAGAAAAAGAAGAGGTGAAAGAAATTTCAATAAAGATGGAACGAGAGATTGTGTCTAAAGAAGCTGAACACAAGAAAAGGGAAGATAAGGAAGGAAAAAACGATGAAGAAAAAGAAGTACATCAAAGAAAAAGGGAAGAAAAGGGGAAAGAGAAGTCCCTTAAGGAAGAACAAATGCGATTAACAAAAGAAGAAAAACTAAAACTTAAGGAGGAGAAAGAAAGAGAAAAAGAACTAAAAAAAGATCAGTTGCGTTTGGCCCATGAAGAAAAACAGAGACTCAAGGAAGAAAAGGAAAGGGAAAAGGCAGAAAAAAAAGAGCAAATGCGTTTGGCCAATGAAGAAAAAAAACGACTTAAGGAGGAAAAGGAAAAGGAAAAAGCTCTAAAAAAAGATCAATCGCATTTAGCTAATGAAGAAAAAAAACGACTTAAGGAGGAGAAAGAAAAGGAAAAACCTCTAAAAAAAGAACAATTTCATTTAGCTAATGAAGAAAAAAAACGACTTAAGGAGAAGAAAGAAAAGGAAAAAGCTCTAAAAAAAGATCAAGCGCATTTAGCCAATGAAGAAAAACAGAAACTTAAGGAGGAGAAGGAAAAAGAAAAAGCATTAACAAAAGATTTGTTACGTTTAGCCAATGAAGAAAAAAAACTATTTAAGGAGGGGAAAGAAAAGACAAAATCACCAAAAAAAGATCAGACTCCATTAGACAATCAAGAAAAACAGAAATTTAAGGAGGAGAAAGAAAAGGAAAAAGCCTTAAAAAAGGATGAGATGCGCTTAGCCAGTGAAGAAAAAAAGAGACTTAAGGAGGAAAAAGAAAAGGAACGAGCAATAAAAAAAGATCAAATGCTTTTAGAAAATGAAGAAAAACAAAGACTTAAGGAAGAGAAGGAAAAGGAACTAGCTCTCAAAAAGGATCTGATTCGTTTAGCCAATGAAGAAAAACAAAAAGCTAAGGAAAGCGATAAACTTAAAAATCGTGAAAATGAAGAAAAATCAAGTAAAAAAGACCAAGCAATGGCCGAACTTATGCTAAAAATAGATAAGGAATCGAAGTTAAGGAAGACACAAGAAGATGAAATAAAAAAGAAAGAGGCAGAACTTAAATTCAAATCTTTAAAAGAAACAAAAGAAGAAGAAAAAATCCAAAAACCAGCAATTAAAAAAGTCGTTGAAAAACCCCAAACAAAGGAATTAAATATAGACCAAATCAAAATAAGAAGACCTTCACCTGATGATCTTATCCTAAAGTTGGTAAAATTAAAACAATCCCAAGATAGTAAACCAAAAGAACGACCAACTAGAATGTCGCAAATTAATTTACCGGAAAAAATTATACTTAGTCATAATAAAACACATAAAATTATTAAAAATGATAATTGTGTAATATGTTTAGATTCAGATTTAGATCTCGATATTGAAAATATTATGTTAAATGAAGGAAAATCAGACAAGTCTAACGAAATCATTATCGGGCCTAAAATATTCAGATACAAATCACCTTTAGTTTTAAAAACGGAAGATGTAGCCAATCGTCCTCTGTTTTTTACTTCAAAACCTACAGAAGATGACGCTGCTTTAAATACAAACGTAATTGGGAACAAAATAGATGAAGAAAAGGGGCGCAATATCCCACCAATTCTTGCTGGCAAATATGTAAGTATAAAATTTTCAAAAAATATGATTAACCTCAAATGCAATACCTTTTTAATATATTTAAGTCTTCAATATAAATGACAATTGGAGATGTCAGAAAAATGTACCAAAGCGTTTTAGCACACGATTTTTGATAATTTTATTTCATATATATTTTTTTTAAACAAGGAATCTACATATAATGTCAAAAAATAAAAGTAAAAAAAATACTGAGGTTATTATTGTGTAATACGATTGTGGTTCTTTTTGGTATTTATTGCGTTATTGTCATCTATAATACATAATTGAATTATAATCAGGTCGAGCAGGAAGTACCCAAAGGTATAACGCGGTACGCTTTGTCTGATCGGACTTTTATAGAAAAGGGCTGGACTATGCTGCCAACAGAAAAAGTCGTTCGAAAAGTAAATTTCTCTTTTGGAAATCAGATAATATTTAGAATGCTTCTATGGTTAAAGTATAACCATTAAAGATTAAAGATAAATATTTTAGATGAATGTGTATCGAATGCGACCAGCACATCCAGAGTTCGATTGGTTCGAACACAATAAAAACAAAAAGTTGATATGCTACGACACAGGCGAAAAACTAGCAGAATTTGATGATAATGGAAAAGGTCGATGGTTTTATAGGAACGGAAAAGTTGCGTTGGACTACTACGATGCGGAGGGTATAACAAGAAATTGTATTATAATCTTAATACCTATAATTAACAAATATGTATTTTCCTTTTTAGAACTTAATGCTCAACAGCGTATTGTAATCTTTAGCAGCGGTGAACCCGATGAAGGCGGCCGGCCACGTCCTTTAACAATTCTTGCTACTTTCGATTATTTAGGAAATGGTATTGTTTTCGATCATTCAGGAAAAATAAGGTTGTAATTTATTCCTATGTAATTTAATTTCAAGATGCTTTAATATTTAAATATAATAACCAAAATATTAAGTAAAATTTATAAAACTTTAAATAAAAATCACAATTTATTTTAGACTCAAATATAATCAAACAGAAGGTGTAGTTTTGGACCGATCTATCGGACCAGTCAGCCACTGGAAATGGCATACATTAAATGACCCTCCGGTGCTACAGCAAGTTATGATAGACACGCAAATGTCACATAAGGATCCTCAAATTCTAAAACTAGGCGGACCACAGGAAAACAAACAGCGACCAGACAACGAAGAGATGCTAGCGATCGAATTCGACAACTTTATAAAAGAAAAAAGCAAAAAGCTATCACAAAAATTTAAACCATTTCAGATAAAAATGAAAGCATTGAAAATAAATGAAAATTTTTCGCTGAAAGTTCTGGATCAGGCCACTATATACCTCATCTATAGGGACGGCTCGACAAACTTGAAACTAAATATAGGCATGATACTCGATCACCAGGAGATAGTTGACACGGACACAGCAGAAGTGGGGGAAGTGTCCAATAGTCTGGAACGGTTTCCTGCGAGGACGGACAGTTTGGCTGGCCTGCAAAGGAGCGTGGCGCATGCTCAGAGAGTCGAACGTTCGTTGGTAGAACGAGAAAAAAGAATTCGCCCCACACAACCCACAGCAAGCGTAGACCGACTCACATCAGGTCTATCACGTCCACTACGGACACAACTTCACGCTGTTGCATCCACATCTGACAATCGCTTCTGCACATGCAGGAAGCCATCCACAACCAATTTGTATTACGACACCCGACTTAATTAACTTTTCTTATTGTTGTATTGTTATTTATTATATTTTATCTAGATATTCTATGTCGCGTTTTACAATAAGATTATTTAGTGTGATGTTTTTGATTATAACTTATATTAATTTTATTTTTATTAAATAAAAACTTTAAAAAATAAATATTCGTTTATATTTTCATATTTTTACAGTTACTGCTTTGAATAGGTACATGGAATAAGCTGTTAATAAAAATTTATTACAATAATACAAAGTACTTTTTCTACAATTTATACATATAAAGAGAGTTTTTTTGTGCTACTAGATCTGTACTTGCAAATGGTCCGAGTTACTTTCACTGGAGTCACCGGTGCCGTTGGGCAAGAGGTCCACTTCAGAAGAATTTTTAGCCATACATTGGGATTTGTTTCGAAGTTCAAATACCTGTGTTATAGCATCACGGAAACAGAGGAAATTGTAATCTATTACACCTGAAAGGAGAGATTTTAATTAATTTTCAGTTATTAATTATAATATTTATTTGATATTTCAAAGGTTATAATATTTTTATTTAATAACACTCCTAGAATAACTCTCTGGACACAAACCTTGCTTTTGGAAATTTTCTTCACGAAGAATGCAAACCAAAGCAAGAAATTTGTTTACTTCTCTTAAGTAAAGTACAGTTCCATTGTTCAGTTTAATAAGGCTTGAACTCTGACTATTAAAAGTATTTACTTCGGTATCATCAACCATTCTGTAATAAAGATAAAAAAATTACTAAAATTGCTCTGCTTTTATATAATTAATTAATAAATTTGCTTTTCACTACTATTGATGAAGAGAAAAACATTTATAACATATTGTCATCAAGTTTTGAAATATAATATAGTCTATAGTAATATAGTCTATAATTAATTGTATAATTGCAAGTACTTCATCTGAACGAAATATTAATGTATAAAAATTTTACTTCATTCCTTACCCATATATACATGATATATCTATAACAACATCAATCATATCACAGCACAATTCATAGCTTTGCATATCCACTGGTGAGCTGTCCGTCGCTATGTAGATCTTAGAAACTACATCAAACAAAAACGCCTTCTCAATCCCAGAATTCTATAAAGAAATATAAAATAATAGATTAAATAATCTTTAATAAGTGATATATTTCATAACTAAAAGTATCAATTTTCAGGTCTAAGCTCAATTTGATTTTAACATATATTTTAGGTATGTAACAAAGAGAAACAAAAATATAAGGGGAACATTTGAGTATGAAGTATTAAATGACATCTGTTTGAATACATAAATAGAAATACATTCTGATAATTAATAGCAATTAATGATGTCATTTCCTTTATCATGAAACATTGCAGTTATAGACAAAGTTATATATCATAGGAGCCTGACCTTTGACATTAATAATGCTAATAATAAATAGTTATGCATACTAACTGATATGAGTATATTCAGCAGATTTTCTAAAGTGGGTAATTGTGGTATCAACTTTTGTACAACTTTACTGAATGCTTCAAATATAGAATGATCATATATTGAAGTCAAATGAAATGATAGATGGACATGCTCCAAGCCAGCCTCGGCAAGATCCTCTGTGGCTCGGTGGTGAATGTCCCTTTGGGATTCCATTTTATAATCATCATTAAGACCATCAACCTTTAAAACATAGAAGCATTTTTGAAATATACATTAAAATAATACAAATTACTATTGGTGCTAATTGTAATAACATGAATTAAATAATCTTTCTTACCTTGTGGATAAAAACTTCAAACTTTATGTTGCTGTTTACACGATATGCCTTAGTAACAGTCAACTGCAGTTTATCCAATGCATCTTGGTAGTCATCCTTGAAAATAATATAATTTTAAACATGGAACATTAAAACTAATTCAAAAACATTTAAAGTAGCTTACCTGTGCATCAATTACAAAAACCAGAGCACCACAACCACCAAAAATGGTATCAGAATCAAAAGTTGGATCAAAAAAGTCTATCTGGCCTGGAAAATCCCATATTTGAAATTGCACAAAACTACTATTATTTATATCATCTTTTACTATTTTATTTGTAGATTCTAAAAACAATGTTTCATTTGGTGACATTTTATGAAACACAACTTTTTGAATAGACGATTTTCCTGACCTAAAAGCATTACAAAGATATGATTAAATCTAATAACAGTGTAACAAAGGTAATCTTTTTATTTCATTCTACCTCCTTAGTCCCATTAACAAAATACGAGGCTTGTGGTCTTCTTGAAGTGATGAATTATCCGTTTCTCCATTTTGCTCAAAAGGTCCATAGCTGAAGTTCTTAGGGAAGGAACCCACGTACTCATCCTGGTAGCTCTGTTAATTATTTAGTTTATAAGTACAAGTTTCCGTTGTGTATTAAATTATACGATTCACACCTACCATTTTTAATGAAATCTATACAATATAACTGCATAAAAGAACAAAAAATAACATATCGCTTCTGGTTTTTAAAAGGGCAATAAACAAAACCGATTCAAACACATTTACATAAAAATCACAGAAACAACTAAAAGGAAATTATTGGTACTAATGTTGAAATTTTAAAGTAAAACGTCATTCGTAAATTGACATTTGACAGAGGGAGTTAAAGATAGGTGAGAATAACTCAACAACAACAATGATTAAAAAAATGTTTTTTTTCTTAATATAGGGATTATTTGTTAAACGTTACTGAAATATTGTAATAATTTTTAATCAGTAATGAAATTGGTGTGGTATTACAATTTTTTTTGATACTATTACTTAAACAACATAATTTGACCATATTTAATTTCTGTTAAATATCTTGCTCTGTATATATCTATATGTTATTCTGATCTGATTCTATTTAAATATTTAATAATTTAAGTCAATTGCGACATTTTTTCCATTTGTTAAACAAAATTATGTGAGATTTTTTTCATTTTCTATAATTAATTATTCAACCATAGTTTTGTTTATTTGACTAAAAATATTTGAGTATTTTTATTTTTAAACATCTCCAGAATATAGTCCTCCTAATAAACTTTTTACAATAGTTCAAATTCCTGTTTGTCAGAGAAATCTTTAGATTCTTAATTATTTATTTCACCTATTCATGTTTACACGTATATATTTAGTAATCGGTCGTTTGCAGTTAGACTGTTATTGTATATTTTTAGATATACATATTAAATTTCCATCCTTGTGTGAAATTAATTATTGCATTTTTTCTTTTTGGGTATGATGATTTTTTTTTAAACAAACTCAATCTCTATATTTAATGGGATGTAAAACCAAATTAACTAAATATAGTAAAACAAAAACCGTCTCATCTATTTCTCATCATCAAAACATGTTAGACTTTTTATAAGATATTTGTTAATACCTATAGGACAAAGTATTATTTTCTTTCCACAATTTTCAATATGTTTGGAACTTTTATATTGACAATTTTTAAAAGTATATAAGAATATATATTTTTATATTTCTTCTTTATATAATAGAAAATCTAGGACAGATTTTTTATCCTTAACCATAGAGCTAAAGTTATATTTTACAACTCAAAAAAATTGCCTCAAAGTCTTGATATATTGTCAATGTCAAGACACTAAATATATTACCTACCTATATGTCTGTTCATTGATTGTCAGATTACGATTTAAAAGAGAACAAAGCTTTGTTGTATTTTGTTTAATTCTTGACTATTTATACAGTTTTAAATTGAATAATAGCCTGATAAAAGTGTTATTACAATAAAGTTAAAAGAGACAACGTAGCCAATGTAAGTACCTTCTTAAAAATTATTTTTAAGTACTATATACTATTAAATTTTTCTTAAAAAAATATTTTCTTACTTTGTGAATATTATTTATGTCCCGTCGTAGTTAGAAGGTTCATGTGATTTCATTTTACAGTTTTTTGTAATTAAAACGAATAACGTTGTTACCCAATAAGTCACAACAACTGATCTCTTTGACTGCTTTAGATTTTTCACATAAAACATCAAAAATCCACAGAAATTTTACAAGAAACGAACGTTAATGTAAATTAACTAAAATAAGTGATATTAATAATGTTTAAATAAATGTATAAATAGCAACATAGAGTACAAAAGACTTGGGTGTGAATCCACAGGTTGAGGAAATAATAAAGAAGTGTCTAGAAATTCTAATAAAAAAATTACTTTAGTATTGTTAAAAGTATTTATTGATTAGCTATGATACTTAAAATTTGGGTGTAGAATATCACTTTTACAGTTGGTGTTATTTTAGCATCTTGGACAGTGTAAGATTACAATTTATTAAATATGAATGAAGATCATTTTTAATTTGTGATCATTTTTATTTTGTAATATTTTAATAGAAAAAATATTGACTACTGTATATCAAAATTTATATTTTGAAAATAAGACAATTCTTTTTTGTTTCTCACCATTTACATATATGGAACTTTCTAAGCAAAATAATTAAAAAATAAAATTTACCCCAAACTTTACTCATTTGATCCAAATTCCAAACAATTTAATTTCTTAAATAAACTCATAAACAATGTTGCATTTTCTCTAACACACAATAGATTTTCTACAACAATAGTGTCTGTTTTTCATGCAGATAATAAAAGTAATTTATTTACCAAAAATTTTATATTGCATTACTCACAGTTTTTTGTTTTTTTTTAAACTTTTTTTAACTTTATATGACATGATTAATAAATTATGATGTTAATGTTAAGATCTGACAGAGATGCTTCTCGGACAAGGAGTCAATGTCTACCCAAAATGCAATAAACTCAAACCATTTGTTTGGCATTTAGTATTGATATGGTTTTAAATCTAGGGACTGATAAACAAATAATATCTTTCACTACTAAAAAACAAGAGTAATGGTAGCTAAGTTGGTGAAACTGCATCAAGATTTTTTAATAAGTTAACCGTTTAATGGTTAGCCTTAATTTTTCAAAGATATCTTTTTCAGTTTCAGTTTTGTTATTATGAGCCATCTTTATATGATATTCTTAACAGAAAATGTTCATCGAAATTAGTTAGTTAAGAAAACCATATCAAAAATAAAATATGATTTTATTGATAATCTCATTCTTTTAGGAATTTCATTAGGAAATAATTAATTAATGCTTATATTTTTATAATTATATGTATATATGTATTCATATAGTACAGAATACACTGATAAAATATCTTGATCACTTATTGTTTACACAATTTCTATAATCTTCATATTTCTGCCGTTTTTGCAAGTTGATGACCCAGTAATGTTTAAACTGATTTTTGATGTTAGTTCAAAAAGTGTACAAGAAAATGTTGTCTTTTTGAACATTAAAAAAAAACTATCACACACACACACTATTTGTTACCTTTCAAACTGCAAGTGTTGAATTTAGTTCAAAAATACATGCTGATAGTGACAATATAACCGAGAGGTGAAGTTATGTACAACAAGTGGAAAAAGAATGAATAAAGAATGATTGTCAGGTGTTGAGTGATAAGTATATGGTGACCTCTATAGATAGTCTAATAAAAAATATCCAAATATGTTATGATGAAGATAAGATTAAAGATTCTAATTAGAAATTAAAGTCAATAATATTAATATATTAAAAATATTTTGTTTTGAAGTTTCCTGATGAGGTTATCAAAGGATTTTTATTTTTGTTATTTATTTTGAATTGAAACCTTATTTGAAAATAATGTTAATATTATATTTTTAACCTGTTTTCAATGTATACTGAATTGTAAAATTATTTTATAATTGGTATTGTTTAATGCAAAAAAATCTTATGATAATCCTATAAATATATTTATTGAGTTTGTATATAATCTTGTTAAGTGAGCTCAGGCTTAATTGTTAATTTGAAAAAAATGTATCAATGTTTATTTTCACTTCTTATGGGTCGTTTTTCGTATAACTAGGAATAAAATTTGTCATAACCATAAAACACATTAAGTATGTAAACAATTACCTTACACGTTATAAAGCCAATTATTATAATTATGTTAAAATTGCCAGTTTCGTATTTACGAATATGTGTTTATAATTAACAATTGAGATTACTATTTACTAAAAATCTTTATTAGTGTGTATGATCACATTAAATACGAAGCCTTTCCAGGATATTATCCATATATTTTCACTCGTGAAAGTATTAAGTATCAATGCAAATTTATTAATAATAAATTGTATTATAGTGTGACGATTTAGACTGGTAGTAGGATTACTCTTAGTTCGAGATTGCGTCATCTCATTAATCACGGATAGTTTTAAGGTTTCTTTATTCTTTTTTTTTGCAATATGATTTACGTACATATAGATTAACTAGCTTTTGCCGCGACTTCGTCCGCGTGGAATAGTGACTTCCGGCAGATTTTTGGTTCTTCCCACATAGTTCCCGTTCTTGCGGGGTTTTCGGAATGGTCGAGTTCCCGTAGAATTTTCAGGATAAAACCTATGTTTTTTTTTATTCATAATGAAGTACTCTTAACCAACAACATATTTATTTGTTTATTTGAATAAAGATTAATATTATTATCTTGAACCGTTTTCACGGCGCACGCAACGGAAGGCTTCAAAGATGAAATAATTTCTCCCGTTTTTTACACATTTACCACTATATCTTTGCTCCTATTGGTCGTATCATGATGTTATACAGGGTGACAGGTCAATTACTATCGATATTTGAGGACGTGATATTTGACGATCATATATGACAAAATAAAAATTAATATAACATTAATATTAATAAACTTCTAAGTAAAGTTAAACAAAAGTTATGTAATTAATTACGCATCGTGTGAACACCCTACAGATTAGGTATACACACATACACACACACACGCGAGCGTCGGCGTGGTGTTATATCAGCACGCCGCCGCACGCGTCCACACTTGGAACACTTGGAACGTGTCCACACTTTATTTATTTATACGGAAATTTGGTCAAAAATTAAGTACCTATTTTTTTTTTACATAATTCGAATGAGAATCATGTACCGAGTATTCTCCTTAAATATTGATAGTAATTCACCAGTCACCCTGTATAGCCCACAGCCTTCCTCGATAACTGGACTATCCAACACAAAAAGAATTATTCAATTCGAACCAGTACTTTCGGAGATTAGCGCTTTCAAACAAACAAACAAACTCTTCAGCTTTATAATATTAGTATAGATTTCTGAATGATAAATCATGAAAACATGATTTTAACGTCTCTACTGTTTGACAAACACCTTTATTTACCTTAATGATTTAATTATCTGTATCATAAAAAAAAAATTACTTATTGAATTACACCTGATTGTGAGTGCTGTTTATTATTATTAAATAATAATAATAATAAAAAAACAAAAAAATTTTTGATAACAAAATAGAGTTTCGAAATTTTAACGATACTACATATTATACATATATTTAGTACAGATGTTATTTATAGCGGATATTATACTTGGTACTTGATTGCATGAATGCAGGAAGATGAAAGCACGTTCCTCTTCATGAATGTTGTAACGCACCACACCTTTATAACCGGACTTTATCGAACCGAAGTGATGCAAGAAGCTTTTAGGTTTCAGATATACATCATAACGAGAGTACGTTTGTTTTCGTCCATGTGTTATAGAAATGTATTTTATATCTTTAATATATAATAAATTAATAATAATTAATCAATCTTATCACAGTAAACTATGATTCGATTTTGATAATATTAAATTAATTTTGATGAAATTCAACTCATCGAGAGACTAGAGCTTTTTGTAGATAATTAGGTCGCTTCTAATAACCAAAATGTTTGAAAGTTTTGAACACAGGTTGATGCCTTTCATGAGTATCCTTCAGAGTCAAAGATGAAATGATTTTATTGTATTGTATTCAAGCAAATTTTAGACTATCGAAATTCTCTACAGGAAAAGTCCCTTCACGTCCTGCCACATTTGTCTTACACAACTCTCACCCAGCGGCTCCTTAGGCCCCATAATTGTATTAAATTTCGTTATTAGCTCATACAGAATACGTTTAAACTACATACTATAGTTTATAATAATTTCAATGGGTGTAGAGTCGCGCCTCGAAAGTGATGTGTCTAGAAATATCTTGTATGATTAAAATGTTTAAGAATATTTTTACCATTCATCAAAATGCATTCAGTATTTCAAAATTCGTACACCAATTAAAACTTTCATATTATTTTATGAAATCATAAATTTTAATAGTTATACAATAGGAAGTTCCACACATGTTTCAAATGATTTTAACAAATATCCATTTAAGAATTTTATTTCTCAGTTGTTTTAATTTAATTGATTAATACTGTTAATAATATAAACATTTCGTTTGGCCTTTTTATTATATGTTTTTCTAATTATTCATTAAAAATCTTATTCATTGAACCATAAATTATATTTTATTGAGGCACTTAAGTTTCTAGTACAAGATTCTTTTCAGTTGTTATTTTGCGTTTCGTTTTTACTTTTTAAAGTATTGTTATGTGGACACTAAAAGAAATATATGAAACTAGAGATTTCATTACGACTTACTATTGATATTTAATCATCGATCCAAAAGAGTGTGATAATGCATGCAGATAACAATTGTTTTTTATCTCTCATGTCATTCATGTAATATTATTTAATAGGTATTCAAACTGAAGTAGCAAAACATGTTTTTGTTTTCCGCATACAATATCAGAAATACGCACTACGCACCAATAAGCCATCTCTGTGATAACAATAACTGCAAACGTAGAGCTCAGCGATTTTAGCTGTTACTTCTTTGTGACATGGCCTATATTTGATTAGCATTTGTTTTGGATTATTATGAAGTGGCCTTGTATTTAAATAAACGACAACTTGTATTTTGCAAACGTCGTAGTAGACTAGCTGTGACGTCACGACACACCCATTCCTATGCCTATAAGGTTACTTCAATTTGGAGGTGTGACTGGCATTGATGATACAATCTCTGGTTTGAATAGTGAATCTTGTTGCAATCTCAATGGCCATTATGAAATACACAGTGACATTTGACACTTTGTGTAATATTAAGTTCAATAGAACTTAGAATTTTAGGTCATCATAGTTTTGTACGATACTTAATCAATAGATTAGAATTGGATGTTATTTAAGGTCAATTTTCATTTATGCAGCATGCTGTGTACACATGCAAGATATTCTGGCCTAAAAAAATTGTGCCTTATTCATATGTTCATTATTCTTTGTTAAATGATTAAACCACAGCTTTTCTTATAACTTTAAAGTAATCTTTGATTTTTTGTTCTTCAATTTTAGTATGAAACGAAAAGATCGATAGGCATTATCGTATTAAATGTGAAAAATATTAATCTATAATTAAATACGGTAAATATAACTGTAAAAAGCGAAACAAAGGGCTGCGTCCCAATTAACCCTTCCATTTTTAAAAACCATAACTGTTTAAATTACAGCAGAAGACACTTTCGCAATGAGTGGTGCGACATCACGCCATACCACGCGATCACCACGTTCGTATCGCGCTCGACCCCGAATCGGTTTTCCATACAACATTGCGTGATCATGCATGTGTGCGTTGTTTGTATGTGTGCGTCGTTCGTAAGACGTTTTTAACGTCACGATATGATCGGTTTTCTGCTAGCGTTTGTCGGTTCACCCACCATTCACTGTACTCGTTTATATTTTCGTCAGTATAAAAGTATATTTCTTGCAGTGCACACGTAACAGATCGTGCTTCGAGTTCGTGCAATCGTATTCGCAACCAATTGTTCGCGCAACATAACAGCTGTTTGTTTACTAATATCTCGACAGTGATATTTGTAAAACTTTATGTACAGTGATTACAACAAGCCCCAGTGAAAACTTATTCTATATTCAGGTATAACTATATTGTTTTTCATAATAATTTTCTTCCCCTGTCACGCCTGCCACATAAAGTTCTTGAAGAGTAGCTTCGTTTTCACAAAAATGTTTACTGTTACTTTTATTGTTCTTTAATTAAAATATTATGTTTTTCTTTTCTTTTTTATTCTAACGAAATGTGACTAATTATAATTTAAATTATAAAAAGTATTAGTCACTCCAACATAATGGATTGTTTATCAGCGATTATATTTAATTTATTAAATTTAAGTAAATAAATGCTAAAGTTGTTTATCTATAAAAAATAGGTATTTATACGCGTATCCTGTTTAAATGTTAATTGACTTATATGGAAGTCTATAAAAATTTGTGCAAAATCTAGTTCAATTGGATACGTCTGACCAGTCTTATTATCCCACGTTCAGTTTTCATACATTCATACTTCCTATTCGTGGAAATAATTAACTCGAAGATTTCTCGTTTTAATTATTTAATTTCCAAAGCTTTATATTTTTTTTATACTCTTACATGAACTAATGAACCGAAAACACATATATTATTATAAAATAAATTAGAATTCATTCTTTTGTAAAAAAAAAACAAAGTATCTGGGACGGACTATGAAAGTATGTAGAGATTTAAGAACGCGACAAAAAGAATACTAGATCTTTTTAAAGAACATAAAAAAAGGAATTCCCACTCTCAAGTTGGCATATTTCCAACCGAATATATGAACATAGTACGTTCATTTATTTCGTTGGAATAGTTAGATAATGATTTGTCACACTGTAAATCGGAAAACATTATCCGATATAAATGAATAAAATGTATTCTCATCGCTATTGTGCAAGGAAGTAATTACTATTTTACAACTTCCTATACATATTATTGCAATACAATCATTGAAAAACATGTCTGAAGATGTAAAACAAAGGGGTTTTTTATATCTATAATGACGTGTGTATTGTTAAATACCGTATAGTGTATAGTATTATTGTATTAGTCGGTGTCATGGGCAAAGTTCTCTGGCTGCGGCCACGATCATAGCCACGTGCCAATTCAAGATCCAATGTCACGGATCTCTTTAGTAACATCCTGTAGAGTGTAAACACTAAACCGTCTTTATGAATTATGACATAAAAATCACGTTATATCAAATTATTTAAATAAGTACTACTTTTCTTAATGTTCTACTAAAGATTTATGTTCCGACTGTATTCTTTCACTTTTGTGTTTTTTACATCAGTGACATATTTTATTCGTTTTTGTATATAGTTGCTGTTCATTGAACCACTCTCATATGATAGCAAGCAAGATATTGTAAGTTGACACACTGCCGGAAATAACGACCTAATAAATTGTACTAGAAGATATTATCATAGTCCGCGGTGAATTTTTAATGTGAATAAAACTCTATGGTACTTTTTTTTATTTCATTTTTAATAATTTGACTGTAAGTAAACTGTAATTGGCTATTTTACTTTTTACTGAGCACTTTCTGTAATCTATGTCCTTAATTTTTTATGTCTTAGTTTTTTGTTTTACAAGAGCGGGCTTTGGTGACAATACTTCCAGTATTCGTTTTTAAGAAATAAAAACCAAAGTTTTTTTTAATCTAAACTCAACCACAGACGTAACAAAAGAAACAAAACTGTTGAACATTCAATGTTTACTTGGTAATGAGAGACTCGTATTCAAATAGAATAATGAGAAAAATAAACTAGGCTGTGTAAATAACAAGACATTTGATATTTGTACAAAAGGTTAATAATGATTATATAACCTGTATTAATTATTGATTGATTTTATTATAATTATAAAGATATATTATCTCGTAATACGAAACTTGTCTTAGCTGGAACTGCGCATAAAAAATGGATTATTGATTTATCGTAAAACGATAATCACAAACATTACAATTCATAGATCTGATAATTATATTAATTTTATTTAAAGACCTATTAATTCAAATACATTTATTAAATTTTATGACACACTAGCTTTCCGCCCGCAGCTTCGCCGCGTGGAGTTCGGTTATATCGCGTTTCCAAGAGAACCTTTCAAAAGTCTGGGATAAAAACTATCCTATGTTCTTTCTCAAGGTCAACTCTATCTCTGTACCGAATTTCATTAAAATCAGTTCAGTGGTTTAGGCGTGAAAGCGTAGCAGACAGACAGACAGACAGACAGACAGACAGAGTTACTTTCGCATTTATAATATTAGTAGGGATAACCTGTTTAAATATTCATTCGTTTTAATTTATTTTTATTGTTACAGATTTCAAAACAGAAATGTCTCATTCACCTGCATCAACATGGGGTAATTTTTGAGAGATTCACATTTGACTTTAGAACCAAGTGTTAGTGCCAGTGTTATTGTGACGGAAGTGATATATTAAACCACAGTCATGTATTCTATGAACTATATCGGTAAATTCATTGCTCAGTTCTGCGAGTTCTATAATGAGATCAATGGTGCGACCCTGACAGGTGCGATTGACGTCGTGGTGGTTGAACAACCAGACGGAAGCTTCACCTGTTCCCCGTTCCATGTACGGTTCGGAAAACTCGGTGTTCTAAGATCGAGATTCAAAGTTGTGAGTATTATTTTCACACATTCACATTAATTATTTTGTCTGTAGCCTTGTTCAAACGGGTACAGTATTTTCAGTCAATATCACGTAGAATGGAGGATACATGGTTATTGATGAGTACAAAAATCTAATTCTTATTAGTTTAGGGAGCGTTCAAGTATTACGTAACGCAATTTTCGAAGATTTTTGACCCCCCTTCCCCCGTCGTAACGCACAGTAACGTTTTTCTGTAGCCCCCCCCCCCCCTCTCAAAACGTTACGTAACACTCAAGTGATCAATTTCATCAAAAGACTTACAATGCAATCTATGTATTCCCCGTAAAATATCAATTAAGAGGTTTGCAAACTTCGAATAACAAATAAAAATATCGACCAGACTAATACAATCTGGTCAACAATGTAATGTATATGAAAAGAGTTGCCAGTTTGGGGGTTTTTATTAATATATTTTTTTAGAAACAATGCTACGTAACGTTTTGTACGAGACACCCCCTCCCGCCCCAGTAACGCATCGTAACGTTTTACGAGACCCCCCCCTCCCCCAAAATTGCGTTACGTAATACTTGAACGCTCCCTTACATACAGCTCGAAGTTCATATCATTGATATGATTTAGATAATGTAGTAATTTAGATAAAGAAGTCGAACGATTTCTAAAAGATAATATTATTACGCAAGTGATACACCTTGACACTGACGTTTCTTTGTTGATGTCATTGTCAGTTATCGTTTTGACATCCTTACAGTTTACGAAAGATTGTCTTAATGAAAATATTTGTATCTATAATAACATAAACATGACCTTTAAAGAACGTCAGTATTCTAATTACACCACAGTATCGCGGAATTAAAATTGTGTTAGTCGATTAAATTATAACATTACATTTGTTGTGACATTAACGATTTCAACTAACACGTACATAAGTTTTAATTGTCGTCATCGAACTAATATGCTTAACACACGTTTCCATCGTAAAACCACATACGAAGGTTTTCCGTTTATTTTTCAAAAACCTACGTAAATAGTTATTACCAAAATTAAAAACGCATCATTCGTAGTGTGACTATTAAAACTGGTTATAACCCTTCGGTTATCTACACTTGATGTCTCATAACGAAAACTATTTTATGAAGGGCCATACTTCCTAGAAAATGTCATAGACGTTAGTCATGATGGGAAACTAATACCCTTCTCTGAATAAATACTTAATGAGCTATGGAAATATTTTCTTGTTTTGTAAGTTGTACTATGTTATATAGTTACGTAATGTTGTAACTTGTACAGTTTCATATATAATTATCACTATAATTTATTCTAGTGACAAAACAAAGTATTGATTTTTTTCATTATTACATCTATGTGGTAAACAACAATCGTAATGTGGTTTTGTACAATGATAAATCTGATGTTAGGTTATACATAGTATACATATTTTTAATGTATTGTAATTATTTTTTGAGAATTGATTTCAAGTTATTTGTCAACGTTTTCGCACTTTGATTATTATTACTGTTGGCGTCCTTGATATTGTGTATCCGTGTCTAATCAAAGTATTTTGTCAAAAGATAAGATTCAAATTTTTTATTGAATGACAGTTATCTTTATTAAGTATTTTTTTATGTTGCCGTAAAAAATCAATATAGAGCGAAAATGTATTGATAAAAATATTACACATACATAAATGAAATATATTAGTATGAAAATTACTTATTTTATTTATAAGGGAACAATAATAAAGCATTTGAATATTTAAAATTACATTTATTTTTGCAAAAATATACTGTTGTATAACAAATTTTGAATGGAATAATTTAACACGCAAATATTACTTAACTTTCAAGGTCTTTGAATGAGTATCGACTCATATTTTAAGCGATTATAGCTAATCTGTATGACAGATTGTTAAATACATCCATATTTAAATTATTATTCCAATTTAAACTTGTTGGTACATGATTGGTTTCATATAGGTGCGTTTAGTAAAACACAAGTAATATGTAGAAGTAAAGATTCAGATTATGGTGAATTTCCCAGGTCTTTCGCCTTTTTGTTTTAGGCTTCTATTGTGAATTGGAACAAGAAGTTGTTAGCCTTTCTGTAGTTTAACTTTAGAAGTATACGAACGTACTCTAAAATACTATTTTACATAATAGTATATTATGTATATTCGAACTGTGGACTAGTGCGGAAGAGACAAATATGTACGAGTGGGGATTACATTTCAATGCTGTCTGAACTTATTAGTATTCTAATAGCTTCGATACGACTTCGGACCGAGTAATAGTATTCTCACATACGACTTTTTCTATCGCAACACTATGTTACGTCACTAAACATTTTACGATATCGTCGTTAGCTCAAAATTTTTAGGTTATACTTGATTATATTTCGTCTATGATTTTGTAATTAATACATAATCTTTTTCATAGAAAAATGATGATACACTGCGTTACTTTTTTTGGAGAACGTCTTATTATATCAATACATAATCATCTTAAATACGTGGATGCAGAATTATTTATAGAAACGCCACGTGTGTGAGCTGTGTTGGTAAAATTATTGCACGGTTCTGCCTCTCGAATCTAGATTGTTCTAGAAATCGTCTGTTACGCGTATTAAGCAAGTAGTCTGTTTTTATCTCAAGACTATTAATTAAAAGTTATAGGGAATAAAATTTTGTTTTTAAATATAAATGTAAAAATTGAGCGCTAAATTTCATTCCATAGACCAAACTAAAACAAATCGACTGTAGTCGGCTGATTCATTATTAAAATTGGAATTTTGCCAATGCAAAGTATAATTTTAAAGACAAAATCTGTAGGTACAACAGAAAAATTTGGCACATATTTTTTATCACCGAAAGTACTTTATATTTGGCGACACGTAAATTTATTTAAGCTCTTTTTACCTACTGTATAGGATTTTTGAATAAATTTATAAGTTCATTTTATTCCTTGTAATGACACGCTTTACAATAAACAGTAAAACCCAATGATAACCTAAACGGTGTCATCATGACTGGTCTTTATTCTACTAGTTACTTATATACACACATAAAAACAGCAAATAATTATATCAATTTCAAAATGTTTTACAGTAGAGTGTGCACTAAAAAGAATAATCAGAGTTCATTGCCTTTTTACTAGCATTATAAACAAATATGTAATGACGTTAACTCATTTACTCGTGAATTACATGTTTTACACAAAATCAGCTAAAAATATTTCATTTTATTATATAACATATGTACTGTAGCTAAGGTATATTATTTCAAGGTCGATTTGGAGTTGAACGGCGAGCCGCTACAGATTCACATGAAATTGGGTGAATCTGGAGAGGCATTCTTCGTAGAGGAGGTTGGGGAGGATGAGGCTGAGTGTTCAGCACATCTGGCTACATCACCCATACCGGCTACAAGATTCGACGAACTATACGAGCCGCGACGCAGGAACTCGCTGTCAGCTGTGGAACCAGACCATGGGCAGGCCTCAGATTATACAAAGAGAAGGTAATATTCTTATAATTTACGACTATGTCATATTACTCTTTAAATCTTTATTGTAATCGTTTTTATCTTATTTCAATGTCTAAGTTTTGTTACTGGCAATACATTGAGAAATTTCTATTTATAAATTGTATCCTGTTAAAGATGTTTTCAAACTATTTATGCCTGTAAGTAATCTAACCAGAAAAACAAGCGGGCCTGATTACGGACGAGTTTGATCGGCTTTTATGAAATAAGGCTGTCAATGTCAATGACTATATGTGTAGTTTCAAAAGCAGTTGTATTGCAATATAAAAAGAATAGTAATTGGAAAGTGAATAGAAACGTTGTACGACACGTGGTTAAAATTAATTACGATTTTAAAATTGCATTGATGCGGCAATCATTAGTAACGTGTTCATTAGAATATTGCAAATGTTTGATTACAGTTAGTTGCTTGATGGTTATATTAAAATATTCTTTAGAAACTGATTATAAAAAATATGAATAATGAATTATATTTTTTAGATACACCGCCGACGGTAAATCCATGCAAAAACCGGACTTAAATAAACTTGCCAAAAAAAGAGAAGACAAAAATACACATGATGATCATGATAATGATGCTTTGTTTGAAATGGATGGCTTGAATGATGGATCAGCTGACTGGACAGACTCGAAACCAAAGACATTCTCGGCCACTAAGCTCGGTTCAGCTGAGAGCGAGGCTAATCAAACCGTTCAGAAGATAAGTGAACACAACGACTTCAGACCTATAGATGCCATCCCTAATCCAGAAGAAGTCAAGCCGAACGGTAACGGCAAGAAGAAGAAGAAGACGAGGAAGGCCAATTCAAAGAAGAAACACCAAAGAAAGTCATCGACTAGCTCCATATCTAGTCAGTCAGATCTCACTGGGACCGAGCAGAGGTCACGCGTTATCACAACAGATATAAACTTCTTCAGTGACAGCGAAGTAGCAGCGGGCGTTCTAAGGTAAGCACATTAAATACTCTTTGGTCGGATTGCTAACGAAAAAAGGTTGTATAGCGTTGCCGTGTTACAGCGAAGAGATGTCCAACTTCAAGCTGAATGGTGACAATCGTATCCCGCTAGCGTTGTCGGACACGGCCTTCGAGGTCCACGCAGCATCCAGACACTCGTAATTCATTAAATATACGCTTATTTAGTTTGTCTCACGTATTAACTTATTTAGATAACTTTTTAGCACTATTTATAGTTCACTGTACGCTCTTATTTGCCTCTCAAGTACCTATATACATACATAGGTGTTGTATTTAAAATGTATTACTATATGTATATGTATATGAACTACTGTTGCTTATATGTATAAAAAACGAGTAAAGCGCTTTTTACTTATGTTCGTTATAACATCTTAATCACTTAATCAGCAATGACTATGCTGGAGTATAAAGTAATTTGTCAGTATACAAAATAATTATTTATTCTTCCATAATGCAAGCTTCAGAGAATAATAGATAATAATAATAAGGTATCTTATATGACATCATTGTAAATTTTTAGAGTCGATTTTTAATTAAATGTAAAGATAATGATAATTATATGTATACGTGACTTTTGTATCTTGGTAATTAATATTTTTTAGTATATCTAAATTAGAGATTTAATAAATAAAAAGTATTAATGCTTTATATACCTAAGGATTTATTTTACTTCATCTTAGAAGCTGCAAAAATAAACACTATCAAACATTAGATATGACTATCGTATCAAATTTATTCAAATATAGGTATTGTTATGAACTAGCTTGGACCGTGACTTCTTTCGTTTGGAAATTTAATGAGCATTCCGGATTAAATGTATCTCATTCTCTACATGAGGTTTCTAACTGAAAGTCTTCAAAGTTATATGAAAAGGTTTAAAAGTTATTTCCAATTTACAGTTTATATAACAGTATATTTTTCATAGCACCATTCAAGTATATCTTCTATTTTGTACCACGGAATTGATGTCGTTCCAATGTAAACAAGTGAATGTATAGATAGTTTGATATGATCAAAATAACTATTAGTCCCTTGTGATATTTTCATATGTTATTGTTATCTTAGTACGTATGTGTCATGTCTATTGTATCGCACTATAATTGCTTTGTTTTCTTTGTCATGTATTACTTATATAAACATTACGTCTTCACTGTTGCCGGTATTATTGATTGCTGATGTAAATTTATGACGTATTATTAATCACTTTTAATTAGCCGATAATATTGAGTACTTGTATTTAAATAAATTCGTATAATACACAAGAGCAATGTTTGGCTTATGCCTTCATTAAAATTGAATAGAAAATTTAGAATGAAAAGTTCATTGACACGAACAGATTCCATCCAGCTACCAGTAATGTCGGGTTGCAATTTCACTAAATAAAATTTATTTGGTACAATAGTTCAATTGTTAAAGCAACTGGCTGGAGATATTCTGTTACAGGTTCAATTCCTACTCACGTCTTTTAATTTTTCGTTCATATTCTCTACTTGATTAAATCAGTTATTTTATTAGTATCGACTTTAACATGTTTATTTTCTATCCAGTAAGGGTTCCCGTCATGGATCGCCGGTTCAATCGGATACGGAGGTGGAATTGGCACGAGCTGCTAACGATGATAAGTCATCACAGTCGTGGCGGTGGGGGGAACTGCCGGAGCCTCCGGTTAGAGGGGCTCAGGCTGTGGAGTCTCCCGAGTCCCCCGCCTCGCCTGCCTCACCAGCGGAGCCAGCGTCCCCCACTGAACCACTCAGCTCAGATGAAGAAAGAACAGGACGTCGCGGAGTATTAAGCGACATGTTTAGATTCATGTCGACCAGAGAGGACGCTGTCACTGAAGGCGTCTATTTAGATGATCTAGACCGAGGCCAGGTCGACCCGGACCTGTACTTCCCAAAACATCACGCAGAGCGTTACCGATCGGGTGAGTCTATAGTCTATACTGGTTCTACACGTGTGTATTACATCTTTATGTATATAATTCTTCTGTGAGTGTGTATGTCACTGAACTTCTCTCAAACGACTGGACCGATTTTGATGAATTTTTTTGTGTGTGTTCAATGGGATCTGGGAATGGTTTAGATTCACAATTTTGTGAACTGGACAATGTTTTTTTATTAATTTTTTAATTTATTAGTATTTGTTGATACAAACGTTTTTTTTTTTTTGACATTAGATTTGAAAACTAACTAAAATGTCAATCATTCTGTCGCACTTCAAAACACGGAGATTTATGGCTTTAATAGGTGAACTCTAAAAATATAAATAAAAAAAACGTAACATACATATGTTTGTTAATTATAGGGCGACACGAAGTTCCGGGTCTTCTAGTATATTAATAAGTTTGTATACAGGTGTACCGGCGACCGGTCCTACAGAGGAGGAGTATGAGTCCGGTAACGGTCCATCCTTACCGCAGTCACCAAACTCACCAGCCTCTATGGACGCACCCGCGCTGGACTCGGATGACGATGAGAAATTGCTTGCCAAGTAAGAAAACACTAATATCTATTATTATAGGTCACAATTTATAATAAACAGAAGTTTGGTTTTATTTATTGTATATTAAAACTATCTCCTTTTAGTCTGCTCTGTATCGCCCGCTGTATGACTCTTATCACTCACCTCCATAGGTTGACTGGAAGAGATCTCTTTTAGAGATAGCTCCGCCTTTGTTATGTTTTTTCTATTATGTTATTTTCTGTAATGTCTTGTTTAGTGCTATAAAGGATATATATCAATAATACCTGTCCTATTTTAACAGATTCATACATTTTCTTTTCCAATAGTTATTCAAAATGCTTTCTATCCGTCAGAGGTCAAGTGTCAGTGATGGCTCGTGACGGCGCCGTGTGTCGCTCCCTCAGCTACGAAGAGTTCTGTGTGCGTGGCGCTGAGTTAGCAAGCGCGGGAAGGCTGGAGGTCCGTCTTGGGACTAGACGACTGCCGTGGCGCAGCGCTGGACCGCTGCTGCTGTCGCTGTTGGCGTTCAGACGACCACTACCTAACGTATGTACTCGTACAACTATACAGGGTGACTGGTGAATTACTATCGATACTTGAGGACGTGATATTTGACGATCATATTTGACAAAATAAAAATTAATATAACATAAATATTAATAAACTTCTAAGTAACCAAAAGTTATGTAATTAATTACGCATCGTGTGAACACCCTACAGATTAGGTATACACTCACACACACACAAACGCGTGCGGCGGCGTGGTGTTGTATCAGCACGCCGCCGCACGCGTCCACACTTGGAAGACTTGGAACGTGACCACACTTTATTTATTTATACAGAAATTTGGTCAAAAATTAAGTACCTATTTTTTTACATAATGCGAATGAGAATCATGTACCGAGTATTCTCCTTAAATATTGATAGTAATTCATCAGTCACCCTGTATATATACCATATGAATAACTTATGATTGAACTATTTAGCATATATATTCCTAATTCTTCCTTATGGAATTTGCTAATAATTAAAACCAATGAAATATATACATATGTTCAACATTACATTTGGTTCTCTTGATCCCTTTTACTATTACTAATGTTATGAAATATATTTGAAAATCATCATTTAATTTTTTTTATTAAGCATGTTAGATTTGAATGAAGAATTAACTTGCCAAACAGATTCCTGAGTCACTAATACTACTATTACAATGGACTTATTTATTATAATCGCCAATTAATTAATTATTTATATGATTTAGCGTGTGTTGGAAGAACTAGAAAAAGGTCAGAAGGAGGAGTCCATCAGAACGGATGAAGTGAAGCCGAGGAGCTATTGGTGGAGCTGGAGACGATCCAACGATAAGAGGTGAGATGAATATTAGTATATTATATAGATAAACATAGTTCACAATAGATAAAACTATCTACAAGCTAGCTTAAACATGACTCAATACTGTAGTCAACAAAAACATTACATCTTATAACGTTTTATATCAACTATAGTTAATCACACCTTCATTGTGATAAAGCCATTAAGTAAAAAATATATACATTGTTTCATGATTTAATACTATACCGCTAAATTACATAGTAATATATTTTCATTATAAATATATAATGAGAGAATTTTGGCAACACATTTCGGAAAAACTGATCATATATGGATCTCACATATTGTATATGTAGCTTGAACGTTGCCAAATTGTTAATATCGTCCCAGACGGTTAATGACCGGTCGTGTCGTGGTCGTAGCGTTGTCGTGTCGTATGTAAAACTTCCTTTGGCTCAGGTAATAGTCACAAACAATGACATACAAAAGTCAGGTATATGTATTCAAGGTTACAACCTTGGAAACGAGACAATTTCCTATTTTGGATATCACTCTAATATGTCTTTGGTCTCTGTACATGATTACCATTTTCCTTTGAAGAGTATTTAATATTTTAATTGAACGGCTGCCAACGAACTTGATATATGAAAAATTTCCACTGGCTAGTATTTCTAAAATGTATTTCAGATCTGTAGGTAAATCATATATATAATTAATTGTTATTATGGAAAGGAAATGGTTTTATATACATATATATTTAACAGTAGATCGGAATCGTCTCAGAACAAGGACGAAGAACTGAAAGATTCATCCATACCACAAGCAGAGACTGTTCTAAAAATGGAATCAACCGATATTGATGAGGTTGACCATCAATGGAGCGAAGAGAAGACGGAACCGAAACCGGAAACACCGATCGATGATGAACCGATGACTGAAATCATCACGGAACCATTAGACACTACGCCCATGTTGCCACAAGGTACATACTATGAAACATACTACTTTAAAACAAAAACATCTTAACATGTTCATTTATCCTATTTCCTGTGTTTGATATGTTTTAAGAACATCCGAAATTTCAATACAATTTTATGGAAATTTTGTTATAACCTTCTCTTACCTGTAATGTCAGATCTGTGCCAAAATATTCAATCGCTTCCACTCGCGATGAAACATCAACTATTTTGTTATTTTCAAGTTGTAAAGGAAAATTTTATAAGTAGGCTGTAGGTACAATTTATTTCTTCCTCAAGCATAGTTATACTATATATTAACATATATATAAACATTTGAGAAGAATTACTATAGATATATAAACACTTTACACTAACAAACATCTAATCGTTTTTCAATAATGTTCAATGATTAACAGCAATCTATAAAGAACCACTATTCCAACACTTTACTTATTACTGATCACGATGAATGAAAAACAAATTAATAAGCTAGCACAAAAATAATATAAATAAAATCGATATCTTTTTTTTAATGAATACTCGCGAAAGTATTAGATATCACAAAAACTACATGTTTGAAAAATGTATAGTATTGATGCATGTGTTTTATTTGTATTTATGTTTGTTCGTAGTGTCAGTATCACCGAGCCAGCCAGAGCATAGTTCATCAGAGTCTGAGACGGAAGGTCGCGCGGCCACCAGGAGACCGTCCTCCTTTAGGAAGACACTCCGGTTGTCTTCAGATCAGATCGTTAGTGTCCTCTTATAAATTATATACTCTGTTTACAACTTAACCACCTCACATGATAGTAATAATAATCCTTATATATTCTATATGGAGGCTTCTAAAAAGTCACTAGTGGCCTAGTGGTTATAACGCCCGCCTCTCATGCATGAGGACGCGGGTTCGATCCTGGCAAGTACTTCCTAAGAGTATTCAGACATCACTGATTAATGCATTCCCAAAGAGGGTTGATGTCAGGCAGGCAGGGCCGGTCGTAACAACAATTAGCAAAAACTATTCACAACATGTAACGCAGACCCTGGCTAAAGCTGGCTAAATTGCCAGGTAGAAGAAGAAGATATTCTATATGGAAGCTTCAAACAATTGTTATATTACAAGAAATTCAATTCACTTGAACTTGAAATACCTATATTTTGTTGAAAATCATTAAAGTCTATTGTATTTGTAGTGTATTTGATGTATTATATATTATAAATTATATTCAGAAAAACCTGAACCTCCGCGAGGGTATGAACGAGATGGTGTTCAGTGTGACCACCGCCTACCAGGGAACTACCAAGTGTAAATGCAACGTGTTCCGTTGGAGATACGACGACAAGATCGTTATATCAGATATAGACGGCACTATCACCAAGTACGTAACATACATATATTAATAACTAGCTCCGCCCCGCGGTGTTACCCGCCGATTTCCGGAATGTAAAGTAGCCTATGTATTATTCCTGGACGTCAGCTTCCTGTATATAAAATCTTATCAAAATCGGTTCAGCCGTTTGAGCGTGAAGAAGTAACAAACATACACACACACTCACAAACTTTCGCAATTATAATATTAGTAGAATAAAAAAATTATATCTTCATGTCACAAGCAAAAGGAAGAATTAAAACAGATATAGTTCTAACAAAATATCATATTTAATTAGTTATTTACAAAACATACGGACCCATTAGAATGTTACAAACAAGTCAAGGTCAAATTCCATGTTGTTTACTTGGTGTTTTAATAAACAACAGTAGTAAAAGTATGTCGTAATCATGTTATGGTAAATAAAGTTCAACCGATAATAAATACATATATCGATATATAAAATAGATAAAAGTTGCCTAAATCGACTAATCAGTTTTTTACATGTAACTTTGATAAACTGTTAAAATCAAATAACAATGCAATCGTAAATTAATTTATCGTATATGATTAATTGTTAATTTTTAAAGCACTTTATTTTTTTGATGTGACAAAGATTTTACCGCCTTAATAATTTATTCAATGATTATATCAAAGGTCACGAAATTGTATTAGTGTCGTTTATACTTTCACTAAACAGACGGCGTACTGCCAATATAATAACCTTGACATCGTTACATTTCTTTTTTAAGAACTGACGTATGACGTTCTGCTTTCTACACTTCCGTTTTCGGAACATACATATAATTTATTTTATGCTAAAAATACAAAATAAATATTCAAGGTGACAATCATTATTAAAGACACATATCTACATTAAATGTGAACTAATTTGATAAATAAACAAAATGTGTAATTATTTAAGTGTATATAAAAAAAAGTCTTGTAAATATTTGATTATTTAGCGTGTACCTACATAATAGAGCTTTAGTATTTTTAAAGTTAAACTAAGAAGATATTATCAGTGGTTAAATAATATTCTACTTTGATCATGTATACTTATAACCTTATTTATATTAAAGGTCGGATGTACTGGGACATATCTTCCCACTGGTGGGCAAAGACTGGGCGCAGTCGGGCGTCGCGCAACTGTTCACTAAGATCAAAAACAACGGATACCAGTTATTGTACCTCTCGGCGAGGGCCATCGGACAGGCCAAGGTTAGATATACATACATAATATATAAAAATATAATACTAATATTGCACAGAAGTTACCTAATTTCATGTTTTTTTTAAAAGAATAATTCTAAAACTCAAACAAATTTTCGAAAATTATAACCGTTCTTAATTCGGCAGGTAACCCGCGAATATCTTCGTTCGATTCGTCAAGGCGAGGTGTGTCTGCCGGACGGACCACTTTTGTTGAACCCCACATCGTTGCTGCGCGCCTTCCACAGAGAGGTCATCGAGAAAAAGCCGGAAGAATTCAAGATCCAGTGTCTGGCTGACATCAAAGCGTTATTCCCCGCTGGCTCTAATCCCTTCTATGCGGGTTATGGAAATAGAGTCAACGTAAGTATAAAAACATCTCATATGTATTTTATGATATTCATAGAATAGAAATTGACGTTAATACTGCTCATAAAGTTGTTATTATTATGGACATCTAACATACAATATTGTCTACCGCCATATATAAATGAGACCATTATTAATTTCAGGACGTCTGCGCTTACCAGGCTGTCGGCATTCCTATCGTGAGAATATTCACAATAAATTACAAGGGTGAACTCAAACACGAGTTGACTCAGACATTCCAATCGACGTGAGTATTTCATACGTTTAACATTATTACTATACAGGGTGAGTGGTGAATTACTATCGATATTTGAGGACGTGATATTTGACGATCATATATGACAAAATAAAAATTAATATAACATAAATATTAATAAACTTCTGAGTAAAGTTAACCAAAAGTTATGTAATTAATTACGCATCGTGTGAACACCCTACAGATTAGGTATACACATACACACGCGTGCGGTGGCGTGGTGTTGTATCAGCACGCCGCCGCACGCGTCCACACTTGGAACGTGTCCACACATTATTTATTTATATGGAAATTTGGTCAAAAATTAAGTACCTATTTTTTTTACATAATTCGAATGAGAATCATGTACCGAGTATTCTCCTTAAATATTGATAGTAATTCACCAGTCACCCTGTATTAGCGTGCATCACACACTGTTACTAACTGGTCACCTATAAACATATATTATATTTAATGAGCACATACAATTTTTATTTCAGTTACCACGTGCAAAGTGACATGGTCGATGATTTCTTCCCGCCACTGAAACGTGATAAAATTATTAGCTAGCATATAATAGGCGTTACATATTAATATATATTTTTAATTTATGGAATTACTTCAGACACAGACGGGTAAGCCGTACGGCATGAATTTAGGCTTATCATTTCAAAATTGAACTGTCATTTCGCAATACATGCATACTCTAATCTTTAACTTGAAATAACTTTCAAATAACAGATATCATCGCCATGTCATATTTACTGTTTTAACTCTATTTTTTAATATAAAATATTCTGACAGTGTGTGGTAACTACGATGATCACATTCTAACAAAATCTAAAATGTAGAAATAAATCTACATTAAAATAAGAGCTGACTAAATATGTACCAGAAAAATTACTTAAACGGAACTTAATTTTATGGCCAAATGTCTTAAGATAAGGCAAACTCATTTAACCGAGGTGTTGGTACCATTGTGTTGTTGGGTGTTATGTGTAAATAAAATTTAATTTGTATATTTTAAAATAAAGGCGGATATTTTTTTGTCATTTATAATCTTAGCAGTAACTAATTATTACCTTCAGGTACTCCCACATGTCTGTGCTAGTGGACCAGGTGTTCCCGCCCGCGCTATGTGAACCCAGCGATGAATTCTCTCAAAGCGTATTCTGGCGCGAACCGCTGCCCACTGTTGAACTTCCCGCCGCAGTGCTGCCACCGACAAAACATTAGTTTGCCAATCTTATGCCGCTATAACAATAGCCCACCAAAATTAATCAATAGCAAGCCGCCTTTGGAAGCTTATTTACCAATAGTTTCCCGACACTTGAATGACTGTATGATTTAAGTGTAATGGCGGTTAACATTTTAAATGACCTAATAATTCACAGATATTTAATATAATTATAATGCTTAACTCAATATGTCTTGATTATCCCGTAATGTAATCCTAATGTGTAGTTTGAATTTATAGTATTAATTGCTCTCACTATCGCCATATGCAATACACCATTATTTTTTTTGTAGAACACAATTTTTAACAAAATTTAAGCTCATCTTAGATAAGCAACTGCATTTGTTCGTTTGTTTTATATTATGGTGTAGTGTCTTATACGTAAAGTTTTAAACATAAAGTAGTTGGGTGTGCGAAATGTGTGTAATGAAAAAAAAACAGACATTCAGTTTGAACACAGCTTTTGTAATACTCAAGGCTTTGACTAAAACACTTTTAACTTACATGTACCTATTTTCAATAATGTTAGTATCATAAAATCAACCAAAAATATTTATAGGTAGTTCAAAGTGGAATCTCAATATGGAATTCCCTCAAGTAGTGTACCAATGACAGGAAAACCACTAGCGATAAAATAGTTTTATTTGCTGTCAGACACTACATTTTGTTGTGCTTGTTCTTTTTTTAAAGGGTATGCTAGAATTCAGCTCAAAACGAATCACATATAATGATGTATTATGTACTTTCAATTTTGCTTCCCATGTGTATGTTAGTTACCATCATAGTGGAACATTATTTTGATTTCAGTTGAAATCTGTTCTATTTGTTAATATTTCATTTATTCACCAAAAGTAATGTGACAAATCTTTTAATGCTGTGATATTTGGTGATCTCAGCTTCACATTTTCACCACCATATTTTTTTTATACATTTTCACAAGGTACCTAATACAAATTGTTCAATTTGAAAAATAATATTTTTTGTGACATATATTGGGAAATATGTGAATTTAAATTTGACATTGGAGTGATAATAATAAATATCAGTAGGTGCAGTGAGTTGTATTATTCAGTTTCAATTAACTTAGGAATTGTTGAGTGTAAATCTGTGATGTGTGGAAAAGCGATGCTTTACTTTTGTACTGTGATTATCGGTTTATTATTATGTAAGTTACTTTGTGTTTAAAAATACACATTTACATTATTGCATATATTTTGTCTGGGAAAGGCTTGGCCTTTGTGAGATGTTAGTTTATTTTTGTATGTAATTTAATTTAATTATAATGTTATTGGTCTAGAATATTTTCTTTTTATTTAAGACATAGACTTAAATTTACGAAACGTTTTCTGATTTATCTTACTTGATTTGGTATGTAACTATGTTTATAAAAATAATTTATTTCCACTGTGATTATTAAATATATTGCTAAATGTGATAAAGTATTTTCATAAGAACCCTTAACCTTTTATTGTCTCACTATAGGTATGTGATAACAGATATTTGGGGTAGGGTTTGGCGGAATTTATATTCCTTTGTATTTAAACATCAAACCACTGGGCTCATAGGTAAGATTCTCTATTAATCCCTACTAATATTATAAATGCGAAAGTAACTCTGTCTGCCTGTCTGTTATGCTTTCACGCCTAATTGAGTTAATGTTAGTAATAATATTACAATATCAGTTTAACTACTTTATGGGTAGACCATAGACTGTAAACTTATTGGAGTGCACACCTGATACTCCTATAGCATGAAAATATGAATATCATCAAATATTAATAACAAGATTCATTACAATATATTGGTAGGGTTGTAAAGATATATAAAAAAATAAAAAAGTTGTTTTGCTTAGACTTTATAATACAACTAAACATAATATGTTATGTTTCTTCATCATCCATAGGTTCATCTTCTTGGTCCTTGTTACTTTCATTATCACTATCTTCTTCATCACTTGGTACTTCAACATCCTTATGGAAACCTTTTCCTTTTGTCCAATGGCATTTTATAACAATTTTAAATTGTGCCATTTGTATTCCAAGTAGTTTTAATATACTTGCTTGCTCTGGCGTGAGAGCTGAACCTTTTTTACACACCTAATATAAAAACGAAATATATTATTACAGTGATAAAATTTTAGTATTTGTTATCTTTTGTATAGTAATTATTTATACCTGATACTCCTTTAAAAGGGTAATAACACCTCTTTCTAGTGATGTAGGAAGCCCAAGACGTCTCAGATGTGGTTCTATAGTGTGGGAGAAGTCTGGTAGCGGACCCTGTGGTAATACAACATCCTCTGTTGCAATGAAACCTGATCTTGCAAATTCTGTTGCCTCTAAATTCTTAAACCATTCTAACACATCGGGAACATCTCTATTTGTCATTAACAACCCACACTGACCTTTCAGCCTCTTAGAAATCTGAAACAGGAAACTGTTTATTTTGTGAACCCACATACATTGTGAATACATATTATGTTTTATATACTAGTGTAAAATATTTTAATAAATTACAAAATTTACACTAGATAATTGGTTTACTACTATTTTCTTTTTTTATTTAAAGGTTTGTAAACAGAATAGGTAACTGAAATTGTAGAAATTCTTCATATGATTCAAAGTATTTCATCCATATTAGATCATACATATAAAAAGGGCCTGATCAAGACGCAATATATTCCATCATCTGATTAGTAATTTTCATAAAAAACCAACAATATCAGTTTCATATAATAGATACATATATACTTTTAAATAACAGACTTAAAATAACAACACACAATCATTCTATATACTCTTGATAAAATTATGGTTTCTTAAAAATACTTCTTTTAGATATCTCATTGAATATAATTTAAACACATGAGATTTTTTTAAGAAGTAGCAAAGAACAGAAATTGCTACGCTTTGATATTTGTAAAGGAATAAAGTAATATATACTCAAAATTGTTTCTATTTACTTTAAAAGAAATGCCCATTCAAGGATACAAGTCAGTATACTTTTTTAGATTGACAAATCGCTATTATATCACAATTCCAATGAATTATAAATTGTAAAGTAGTTTCAGGAGTAATTGAGCAGATTGTATGAATAGATGTTTGATTTTTAATAATTTACCTGGTTGAGCTGATCTTCAACTTCATCTGTTTTCTGTCTACCAAGAGCCACAGCCATCACTTTGTTTTTACCAAAGAAAAATCTGGAATCCTTCCATTCATTGCGCAAGTCTTTTAATTTTGTGTTTCTCATGTTGTCAACAGTAAATAAGAAAATGTGTTCATACTTTGATAGGGAATTTCTGATTTCATCTATCGTTTTTTGCTTAAGCAGGAGGCCTTTTTTATTTGTTTTTGTGAGGGAAACTAAAACAAAGAATAGTTTTTATCAATTTAGTTGAAACTAATTTCAATGCACAGAAAGGTTATAACAAGTAGTAATATAAATACCTTTTTTATCCCGCTTAGACTTCGGCATTTTAATATGTTACTTTAATATTTTTGTATTAAAATATTAACTTTGTGAAGGTTAAAATATGATTAAGAGGTAATTGACAAGGTACAATTCGAAACGACTTAAATGCAATATTTAAAATCACACGTGTTTTTACTGTTTTACTTTGAAGACTTTGACATTTCAGTAACAACTGACAGCCATCACTCAAACAGATAGTTTGTAAATATATACTTAAAACCAAACAATATTTCTAATATAGTGTATTATCTATGTTTAAAACTTTCTTGGTAAATTATATAAGCTTAAAGTAATGCCATAGAGTAATTGACAAAATTAAATAAAAAAATCACGTATAAAATAATAAAAACAAAAAGTTAATACCAAAAAAATATTACAATGGAATAAGTACTTCTATAACGAGATTATGTAGTCCATTTTTAAAATTATCGTAAGTAAATTTCAAAATTCATCAATTATTCTCGATAGAAATAGCGTACTACATGTTTAAAAATTTTTGTTTATAATTATGTAAGTAAATAAAGCTTATAAAATGTATAAAAAAATGTAACCGTTTTCTTGAATTTCGAATTTGTTTATATTAAAATCCATTATTACATTACAATAATACTTAATGGGACGTTACCGACTTTTTTGAACAGAAAGTATAGATTATTAATCACATCGCTTTGCTATGTTTGATGGTTAGGTTATGGTTTATGGTTGATGTTTCATTAAAAACTTTAATAACGATAACTCTTTAGGTAATGTAACTGTAAATAAATCTCTAAATTTAAATTAAATATACTAATAGAAACCAAAGAAAAAATATAGAATTGAAACTCAAAAAAAACAATGTTGCTTTTTCACCATAAGCTTAAATTATTGTGTTTTAACACAATAAGTATATGTAATATTATGCACAATAAAATTCCCAAATTATTTTATTGACTAAAATAACACCATCTTAAAAAGTAGCAACATTTTAAATAACTAGAAACTTTTTCTGTTATAAATTGGACGTTACTTGCAATGGATTCGCCATAAAATTGGTTTATATTGTTAGTTTTGAAGTTTTTGACTTTTACATATATTATGTTATATTCTATGTACGTTACATTACGTCATTATTTAAAATTGTTGATAACCTAATATTTATATCATATTATACATTGTTAAAATTCATTCAGTTATATTAATTAATTATTTTATTAATAATTATAAACAATTTTATATATATAAAATAACGTATTTAATTTAATTTTAAAATAGCCGCGTTTTAAGGTATGCTTTGTAATAGGAAGACCGCTTTTTACTCGAGTAAGCTATTTCTATCATTTGTATCAAATGAAAAAGAGAGAGCAGTATAGTTTTAATAGACTATAGACCGTACCATAGTGAAAGAGCACACTTCCTCCTAGAGAATTCTGAGAAGGTTATGAGAACCCTGTTCCGGTTTTTGTTTCCCCTCTGGCCCCGCTGCCGTCAGTGTAGTGTATCGTTCACCGCAAGAGAAAAATTGATATAGTGTTACAATTTGCTGGCTTAATTACTTTATATCCCTTCAAACAAGTAAGTGCATTAAGATAATTTGGAGGGTCATGAAATTGGTGATATAACGTGTGTATATTTTTAATTATCTTACTTGTAATAATTTGTGAATGTGACGCATAAAAGGAGTGTCCCTTGCAGCCATTTTGCCCGAACCGGCGACACGGTATTGCGGTGCGGTTAGCTATAATTATACGATTCTCTAATACATTTGAATGTTCATTCGAGTTTTTATAGTTTGAAGTAATCGTTAAAACCGGGAATATTAAATTTGTAGTGAATATTGGCTCTAATTATAACAGTAAGTTGATTTTTACTTCGATATAGTTTGGAGGCTTAGCTTTAATTATTGAGTATGATCTGACGAGCTTTAACTCTTCGAGTTTCCTTTATTCAAAGTAATACGCTTGTTAAATTGTTAGCATTTACTTGTTTTAACCTTTCATGTAAGATTTAACTAGGTGGATTGATTAAATAATCGTCGTCACGTTAATGCGTCGTAATTTCGTGGTGCGACCGTGTGTACTCAGTCACGCCGTTATCTTTGTCGATAACGATTTGTATGTCATTGAAAACTCACTGAATGAGATCTACAAGGCCCTAAGTTTGTAATAAAGTAATTTAACGGTTATTTTTCCCTAAGTTTTTATGCAAGGTGCAATGGTTTATGCGCATCCTCGTAGGCTTTTCATAGCAGCATGCTCATGCACGTGTAATTGATTCTAACGTTTTCTAATTTCTATCGTCTTAGGATTATTAAATCAGTTGTATTATTTGAAATATAAAATAACCAGTGGAATTACCATCATCGGCGTCGGTTAGTATGTTCATCGTGTTTTTTTTTGTATATGAAGTGAATTTGACATCTTATATGCTGGGTTTTTGTAGGGCTAGCAAAATTTCTAAATTCTCTTAACTAAAAGAAAATTATTATTTTTACATTAGGTAACTTTTGTATGTATGAAGTCTTGTTTCTATGATTTCCTAAGCAGGGTTTATTAGTATAGTTATCTGTAATGTCTAAAAACAACTGTTGTAAGTTTTCTAGTTTTTGACCGTACTCATAAAACCAATATTGCGTTAAAATCTGTTAAAATGATTTTGTTTTTTGAGCAATGTCTTTGTGTATTCGGTAAAGAAAGACTTGGTAAGGGAGTAAAAGTAAAACTGTTATTTTGGTCAATGTATTAGATTGTTAGCTCGTGAGAAAAGAAAATGTCTAACATCTTCCATTTATTTTTTATACATTACGCACATTTTCCTTAGCAACAGGGCGAAATAAAAGATAAATTGATAGTTAGGTAAAGGTATATAGAACGAGGTAGAGGCGCCGGGCCGACGGGGGCGGTTGCAGAAGAGGGAGAAGGGCGTGGGGCGCTAGGCGGACGTTCAACGCGCCGGTGCACAGGGGGTGGGGGGTTGTTCGCGGGGGTGAGGGGTTCGTGCAAGTATAGCGCTAGCCGTATATCGTCTGGAGTGTTCATCCCGTGTCGCTCGATCAATACCGTTGGCGCAGTGTCGGGTGGCTCGACACCGGCGCGGCGCAGCGACGACATTGCGCACCCCTGTCCCCTGGTAGTGAGCTGAGTCTGTGAGATGCTGTCAAACCGAACGGTCGCCGCGTCCATGTCGGGTCTGGCGTGAGGGTCGCTCTTTGAGCTAGTTCCAGTTACATTGCGCTAGTGCGCTCGCGAGCCTCTAGCTTTAGGTGCGCCTTATTACATGATGAATCATTCCAATTTGGATTCACTTCGGTGAAAGTGACGCCTAAACGATTAGTCTTTCTGAGAATATAGAGGCCGACATTTTATAATTATATTTTAAGAGCGGAATTTAATTTTTTTATTTGTTTTACAGGGGCATCAGTAATATAGTCATCTCAAATCATCAACAATGTCCGTCGACAAGGAGGAACTGGTGCAACGCGCCAAGCTTGCGGAGCAGGCTGAGCGATACGACGACATGGCGGCCGCGATGAAGGAAGTCACCGAAACCGGCGTCGAGCTCAGCAATGAGGAAAGAAATTTACTATCCGTCGCCTACAAGAACGTCGTCGGCGCTCGACGGTCATCATGGCGAGTCATATCCTCCATCGAACAGAAGACCGAAGGTTCGGAAAGGAAACAACAGATGGCGAAAGAATATAGGGTTAAAGTAGAAAAGGAACTCAGAGAAATCTGCTACGATGTCCTGGTGTGTATAATTTTTTTTAAATTCATCTTTATGTAAGAATTTCTCATGAACATCTTAATCGATTCTGCCGCTTCGTGCAAGTTTAACTTTAATTTAGCCTTCCTACACATATGACGTCATCATATTTGCATGTTTCCAATTTGATGGGTGACGCAAGCGGTTATTTGTCGCGATAATTTGTGGGTATTTCGTTATTTGGCACGTCGTCGTTGATGATGGGCGTTATTACGGGGTAGCATGTGAGCGCGCATCCAGGGCGCGGTGCTACCACGGGCGGGGCGCGGCGGGGAGGGGGACCTGCGCCGCGTCACTGCGCGTTTTCAGATCACATCACCGTTCGTTGCCTCGTCTTAACTTAATCGTGATTTAATATTGATTCATCTCATAATTTAACAAAGGGATAGACTTGCTTTGATGTCTTAAATCGTTTGGAAGTTTTAGAACCGCCATTACAAAAACTCTGACCTTAGCAGAATTTAATCAACACTTGGACCAGTTGACCTTTTCTTATTTCATCGTTTTGAATTTCCGCCCTCATTGTGACATTTCATTAAATATTTAGGGAATATTATGAATATAATGTAAAGATTTTAAATGATAATTGAAATTAATGGTACATAACAAAGCAAATGCATTAAGTATGCCAATTAAATATATACTATTTGTTTCAGGGTTTACTGGACAAACACCTTATCCCTAAAGCTAGCAATCCAGAAAGTAAAGTATTTTACCTTAAAATGAAGGGAGATTACTACAGGTACCTAGCAGAAGTGGCCACAGGAGAAACCAGAAATTGTAAGTAGTGTATTATGGTAATACATTCCATTAAAGTTAATACATTTTTAATCTTTAAGTAAAACATCATCTGTGAATTTGTCATGCTAATAAATATTTAAATTCCAGCTGTTGTAGAGGATTCACAGAAAGCTTACCAAGATGCTTTCGAAATCAGCAAGGCGAAAATGCAGCCTACACACCCTATTAGGCTTGGCTTGGCATTAAATTTCTCCGTCTTCTATTATGAGATATTAAATTCACCAGATAAAGCGTGTCAGCTCGCCAAACAGGTCATTATGAGTCAGTAATGCATTGTCTGTGCTGGCTGGCGAGAGGGGCGAGGGCGTTGGTCGGTCTCAGCTTGTCTGTACTAACATGCTGTGCTCACTTGTCCCCAGCCGTCGTGGAGGACTCACAGAAGGCCTACCAGGAGGCGTTCGACATTGCCAAGGCTAAAATGCAACCCACCCATCCCATCAGGCTCGGTCTCGCGCTCAACTTTTCCGTATTTTATTACGAAATTATCAACTCCCCTGCGAGGGCGTGTCACTTAGCGAAACAGGTTCAGTTTTCAAGTCAAAAGACTACAGTGTGAATTATTACGTAACTTCCTACTAACTGAATTGTAATCTTCCGTAGTCGAAGTAGTTGTCTCCGTTGCATGTTAACTCGACATCACATGGAAAACTTAAAGAGCCCTCGGCGATGAACCGACTAATACTGGTTTGGCATGGCAATGTGCGACACAATTAACCTCTTAATCCTCGACCCGGCCAGCATCAGAGCTTTGTTATTACAACATAATATTGTATGTGTTAGATTCGGTAAGCCGTTCGCGAGGTGTTAACGTATTGTAACGTTGTAGGCGTTCGACGACGCGATCGCTGAGTTGGACACCCTGAACGAGGACTCGTACAAGGACTCGACGCTGATCATGCAGCTGCTGCGGGACAACCTGACCTTGTGGACGTCGGACACGCAGGGCGACGGCGACGAGCCGGCCGAGGGCGGCGACAACTAACGCCGCGGCGCTCCACTCACGCATTTGTTCTCATCGGTGTTTTATAAGAAAACGAGTAACATTCGAGAACGTGTCGCGGCGTCCACCACGCGCCCGCCGCGAGCCGTCGCTTGTAAAAAAAATGTTAAAAATGTCGTTCGCAGCGGACCTTCGCGTTCCGTCTAAAATTAAATGTTATGTGTCATCTTTGACGGTTTTGTATTTCTGTATTTACACTGGATTACAGATATCGAGCTGACCTGATGAATATAAATATTTATAACTTAAGTTATTAAAATTACGGTTTCTTAAGTTAAAAGTGTTTTCCTTTATTGAATAGAGACTACAACAGCCCGGTCGGCCCCCATAATATAACATTCCTTTCGCCGCATGTCCGCAGTGAAATGGATTACCATGATGGTGAATTTTTGAAAATATTCATTTAGTTATTATAATTGTTAACATAACGCCCGAAAACTTATGAAATTAGACTTTCATATTAATTATATTAATCCCGCGAAATGTAATGGCTGTATCAATCCAGGGCACAAAAAACTTGTTAGTGTCTTTTATGTGGTTTTTGTGATGTCCTCAACTTAAATATTACCAAAGCGAATCTTATGTATTGACATTAACCATTTTGTTGTGCCCGTTACTGATTTACAAATAGCATTCAGAATATTTCAAGCATTTATTAGCAAAATAGTTTTGTGATGGACAAATATTGTAACATTCTTGCTGCATTTTATCAGCCATTAATCTATTATATTTTTCATGTTTTCACCAATAAACTTTTGTATTAAATACAATTTTTAGTTTTAGAACCAATATTTAAATAAACCGCCACCTATTAACCCCAAAAAGATGTTTATCTAAACTATGTAATTTTTAACGTAGTTTTAACCTTTTTCCAAAGAATAGTTCTTATATGGGCGTCTTTGTAACAGTTATCTTGAATAAAGCTCCATATTATTTAAAAGTAAAGATGGATTTCTTACAAAACCAATTTAAAACTCGAATCTCAATGCTCAAATCTTAGAAGAAAATTCAAAATTCATTATTCACATTTATATAATAATCAAGCCATACTAAAAAAGTATTATACGAAAACTAACATGATTAGTGACAATATTAGATATTGCAATACACCTAATACTTTTTTGGTATGGCTACTCATGGACATTATTGCATTCGTCATTAAAAAAAACAAGCTAAATCTTTAGCATTGTCCATTCGAAACATTCATTTGTTTATATGAATACATAGTGACCCATGATATAAATATACATACTAATTTTGGTCTGTAAATAGTGGCATATCGTCGTTCACAATTATTTAATCTTATAAGAAATTTAGTTTGAGTATGAAAATTCATTTTTTCAGTATTGAGAGCAATCGATAGTTCCTCTTAGTGTAATTGCTATTCAATTAAGTGCTGCAAATTAAAATCGATAATCCTTTGTTGGGAGGTCACCGAGCCTGCGCACAAGTTCTATGAATGCTAAACGTTTTGAACTTTGTTATTAAAGATCAGATATGTTAGGAGTGGGAAATAAAAGAACTTTCGAGTCTTATCATCTTTATCTTTAAAACTTATTCTGAATTCTTAATCAATAAATCACATTTTTTTATTTTTTTATCTTTTGCTAATCCTAAACCTCGTCAATATTTCTAAATCCAACCGTTAATACATTTCTCAACCTCGGCAGCAAACTTATGCATAATATTGGTCGTAAAGATATTGCAGCAAGATATAAAGCACTAAATATTAAATTTAAGATCATTGTGTTCGTGTCGTAATCTAAATATGATTTATTGCTCATTGGAATTACGTAGAGGCTATACACATATAAAATAGACCTCGGAGTGCAAAAAAACATATACATAATAATTAAACACAACGTTAGCTTCAGGGCCGAAGAAGTCTCATTGCCTTCTAACTTTGATGAAACTTTTGAATATAATTTACACACTACAATCCCGCCGGTACTTGTTAAGATTAATACTGGTAAGAACAAATTAAATAGTGCAATCATGGAATGCATATTAATTTTGTGACTCGTGTCAGCTAAAGTGCAGACAACGGCGTCATCTTCCCGGATGGTCGTGGATAGTGCAAACTCTGGAACACTTAACGACGCAGACAGCACCCATACAAATATACTTGGCGGCGCGACTGGCACTCTTTTGTCCTCGAATCGATAATCCACATTCATTGTTCGAGGAGTCGAAGAGTCACTGCTCGCAACAAGGCTGTGGCGGGAATCTCGAATCTCTTCATCATCTTCACGATTAACTCTACTGGCCTTTTTTTCCAAAGCTTTTATTTCAATATTGGCCGTTGATATAGTATGAAGTGCGATTGTAGCAATAAAGTATAAAGATGCAGTAGACGACAATATACTGAGACCTCTGTAAGCTATGCATCCACTTCTACCGAATATCCAAGTTCGTTCGTTATTTGACCACAGTTCGGGTGCAGTCAACGCTGCTAACTGAATAAAATCCGCAATCACTAACTGAATGATGATTAAAAAAAGCCCTGAAACAAACAAAAAAATAATATTTACTTTTAAATGAACTTTTAATGGTAGTCTTGTTTTTAATCTTTTCTCTTAATAGGTAGATGTGGTTGCAAAATAAAGCAGTTTTTTTATTTTAATAAAATGAATACCATAAAAGAACAAAATATATAAGGTGAATCTACTTTATAAGATTGAGTTGTAACTCTTAACTTAACTTACACTATATTTCTAAAAGTCAACAGTTTTGAATCAAGTTTTTGATAAAAAAAGTAATAAAACTACAAAAAGTAAACAATGAGGAGTTCACTAAAAATGCATTATAAAGTTCACAAGTTAAATTATACAAGATTAAGGATTCATAAATTACCGTTTCTCGTTCGCTTGAATAGTGCAGCTAAAAGAGCACAGTTGGCAAGGGCTCCGGCGCCGGAGACGCAGGCAATATAAATCGCGAGAATGAGCGGCGGGAATAGCGGTTCAGGCGCGGGTGCGAGCTCCGACATGGCGTCGGCTGACTGGGAGTGCGTCGGGATCAATGACTTGGGCTGCGTCACTAACGTTCTCTGTTGTCCCTCACTGTTTTTTTATGCCAGGCATGAATCATCGCAAGGAACATGTGCACGCGGCTCACGAGGGATTGTTTCTATCACAACTTAGTATAATTATACGTTCGTATAACTTACTAAATTATTTATAAAATATAGATGCTAACTATCGCCCTAGCCTTTGCTGTCACTAGTAATGAAATGAGAGTTCAAAAATATTTAAAAGGATTATTTAACTGTACTGACTTCATTACTATTCAATGCTTCAAACGTATGGCATCCTGTTGACTGAAATAAATACAAAAGAACCTTCTTCCTTTTCTATTTTTAACATTATAAGACTCATTCGAGTTTATTACGTATCACATGATGCTATAAATCATTTTATATTTGAAATATAAATAAAGTTTAAGAGAACATATTTATAATATATTACGTATGTTTATAGTATTAAGAAGAGTTATTTTGGACAAATATAATACATTTTATTTTTAAATCAATTGTGATCTTGTTTGTTTTGCTTCACATACCTATAAGATAAATAATAATTGTAAAGGAATAATTCTAAATAATTTCTCTTCCGAACAGGGTTGGTTGGTCGTTTTGACATCAGTCTGTTTTTTGTATGTAACTTGATACTTTTGTCATAAAAATAAAGGGAACGCTTAATAATGCAGGGCTAAGTGGTAAAATATTAAAAAAAAATATTAATCAAAGTAACAAGATGATAAATGCTTTGGCCGTCTCTGGGAGATGGAGTTAAGAGTGTAGGCAAAAAAATATTTTAAAGATGAAACAGATAAGCAATGTTATCCGTTAGTAGTTCATGACCGATTGCAAGTTGGACTTACTTTTATACTCTATCAGTCGAAAGAAACGTAGAAATATTCATAGTAAAGTTTTTTGTCAGGGTGGTATTAAAGGATCGGCCAGCATCCAGGAGACAAGGTCGTTAAGGCTTTTAAATTAACTTTTTAGTGCTTATTTCCTCATAGTCATGGTGATTGATGATATTACATATTTGAAATGTATTACTAATTAAAATACAATATTTGACTAAGTAGGACACCTTTATAACTAAAAAATAAATATAGGCTCAACGAACTTTAAATTGATTTTATGTATACAAATAGATTACATAAAAATTGTACAAACATATAATATAAAAATTGAAATAAAATTGTAAGAAGAAAATAAGAAAGTACCGGTAGGTAAGGCTAAGTACTTATTTAAATTAAATTGTTTGATTATTCGATAATGTTAATGCGGGTTGTCTCATTTATCTACAAGATAGAATTTATGTTTCAATTATCCTTAAGTAGATTATTAACCCTGAATAAAGGACGCATATTTAATATGTTATATAATCGTCGATACTTTTATCCATTGAGTGTAATATTTGCCTTCTATTATAAAAAAATATACACTAACATCGCTTCATTTACTTGTGTGAGAACAACTTTATTGCATTCGAAATAAATAAAATTCAAGAAGGTTGCTTAGAAAAATTCAATAAGAAAAAAGGTTTATTTCTGGAATTTTGCATTTAAGTAATGTGATCTTGGAATTCTTTTTTCTCTACCTTGCTGTACGTTTCCACAACATAAAAATAATAAAAATCTGTGAGCATCGAAACCTAAACCAATATTTACTTTATCGGCACACTTTATTGTTGATATAGTTAATTTATGTTAATGATTGTAAAGAGACGCCTAGCGTACTCGACTGATGGATGAGTCGTGACAATGCTCCTCCGGGGACGAGTGTAGGCGTCGTCTTGACAGCCAAAATCTGCACTTTCCTTTGACTTTCTCTCAGAGGTGCGAAAGGTGTTCACCGAGGGCACGCAATGGTTATTCGGTAGCCGGCACAGCATAAGTGTACGCGCTCTAATCGCGATTACACTTTTCGTTCAGACCGATACGACGGTCGTTATATGGTGCATTGCGCCCGTTAACGATATTCAAAGTACCTGCATGATATTACACCATTTAAAAGAAGTGTTTCGCTTGTAAGAAATTATTTACAAAGAAATCGTGAAGTGAAATGCCATAGAGGAGCTATGGCGCGAACGGTTGGAATAGTGTTTGTAGCGCTGTTTTTCATGCTACGAGTCACCAAGGCTGCGCGTTTTCCAGTAAGTAATATCTAGAGGGCGGGCGGCGTTAATTTTTCAGTTTTTTTCATGGTATTATTAATCAATTTATTAATTATTCTCTAAATGTATGATGAACGATGCTAATTTAATTTTTTTTGTCTAAATTTTAATTGCATTGATTTTTACATTGTCAATTATTTTAAATAGTGTTATCGCGTATTTACGAAAATATCAAGTGACAAATAGAACAAAAAAGAAAAAAAACAATGATTTTGGTTTAAGAAGCTTGGAGCTCTGATCAAATTCTATGTTTTTATCAAGCAAATTATAGGTATCAAATTATCTTCTAATGTTTTACGTATAGTGAATTTGATTGTTGATCAATAGGCGAAAATTGAATAAATAAATAGGTATTAATATAAATAAATAAAGTAACTTAAAAAAACATTGTTTTTGATTACACACAAAAAATTCATTTTTTAGTATTTGGTCCTTTTTTTCAAGCGTTTTAGCGATAACTTGAACGGATTTTCCATGAGACGTTTGTTAGATCATATAAAGACGATTTTCATTTCAGAAATATCTAAATTTATATATTTTTTATAATCATCAATTTTCGGTCAATCATCAATCAATCAAAGTAACAAATCAATCATCAATCAATCAAAGTAACAGACATCTTCAGTCCGTCAGGAGTCGACTTCACTCAAAAATATTTATTAAACAATTTAAGTTTCGGCGCTGAAATATAATGTACCTACATAGGAAAAGAGAATTAGAGATTTAGTAATAGGTAAAGATGCTGACAATATACATATGTTTCTAATAAAGATATTTAAAATAGTGAACATTTTAATAACACTAGACTAACTATAATATACAAATATATATGTATTATAAATAAAAATAGCATAACCAAATACAGTATAAGAACACATTAAGGGAAAATACACCTATACTTTTTGACGTGTAAACTAATTTCGACGCAATACTTTTTGTTTGTGGATTGTTTTTACTTTTCGACAATTTGTATAAGTAATACGATATATTGATGTTTATCTGGTAGCTATAATATTTCATAGTTAATTTACCAAACTTATATAAACATAAGTATGTATATAAAGTCTTTTTAACTGCTCTATTATTTATTTTCCTTTTAAAGGGATGTGAAATTTACGAAGTGATATTCATGGATTGTTTTGGTAAACAACATTTACAAATACATTAACATTAAAATGCTCGCCCTTAATTATCGTTAAAACGAAAGTTCATTTGCTAACATAATATTACATATTATGCGTCATTGATATTCATAACGGACACCAAACCGTTTGTTTGGGTCTTTAAGAAATATAACAAACTGGTGAGTTTCTCGACGCCTCTTTGACCGCTAAAAGTATTTGTCGTTATAAGTATATTTAACACTACATCCGGCAAGGTTATTGTTTATAATACACCGTTTTAACGGTTTTAGGTTATTTGAAATTAATGTCACGACGTAATATACTTGCGGTTATAATTTTTTGCCGACAAGGGTATCGTGAACACCAAGAGCAATCATCCCATTGACACCAATAAGTCATGGATTACGCAAACTAACCAAACGATTCGTTTGAAAAACAATTTATCTCTCCTTACAATAACTTTCTCTCTACCTACATCGGAAGTAACGAATTGTATCATTTTATTTTAGCAATTACATTACATAACTCAATGGAGCCTTGGATCCGTCCTGTACTCGATCACGTAGTAAGTTACACAACTATAAAGCGTCACGTAGCTGAAGTTTTTCAATCATTTTTCGGTGAATCACAACGCGCTGGCTATTGTTCCCGGCCGCCAGACTATACGTAATATTGCGATCGATGAAAACTTTCATAATTTTTAACGTAATACGAACAATTGAATACCAAAACTAATGACTTTAAATTGAAAGATCAGTAGGTACTTCTTACGTTGCCTTGTAATAATGAGTTATTGTCTCGAGGCGTACTAATGTAAAAACAAATAGTTTTACTTTCCCCTTTAGTTTGCTAGTGGCTGCTAATGTCGTTCCTATAACACGCTGACTCACGTGTTGTGTTGATTTTGTTTTCACTAACCTTTAAATATCTAGCGTCCATCGAATTACGAACTTGAATTTATAGGAACAGGAAAATTTAAATGAAATGAGACTTATAAGTTATTTAGTAAATCATTTTAGGTTTTACAAATATGTATATATACATATGTTTGTACCAACTTCCACCAATTGTTAATATTAAATACTGTATAGGTAGATGTTTCTTCATACTGAAATGTCTGAACGGATGTGGGAGAAATTAAATTAATACCACGATGACTCAGAATACTCGGAAATTTGATTTCATGCGAATTTAATTTATTAAGGCTTACGAGAGTCTAATAAAACAGAATGATTCGATTGTTAGAATTCTGCTGTGTGAATTTCTTTGTTTCACGCGTTTTTTTTTCATTACATATTTCTATTTAATGCTTAGACTTGGTGCTTATTTTTTATTGCTATGAATTTATTGAATAAATTTAATTGCCATGCTATGAATTAGTTAGTAATCTCCATTACAGACACAGGCAATATAAGTTTTAAGATAAGATTAATACATGACTTAATTTTACTCAGTTTTGGAATCATATCCTTTTACAGTACCTAATTAAAATTTAAAGAATATATATACAGTATGTCTGGCCTGACACTTAAATTCGACAAATTAAACTTCATTAACGTCTTAATTAGCGGAATATTTGCCAGTTAAAATGTTTGCTCTCTTTGCTTAAAGCTAGGATTGGAAGGCATGAAGTTTATTCAACATATTATTTATGTGTGAGTATTCTAGCTAAGATGTCTGTCGCGTCCTCGTTTGACCCCGTTCGATACACAGTAGTTATCGTAGTCTCGACGCGTTCACTCGACACGTTTTTAATATTTACTTTGTAGGTACTTTTTTTAAATAATAAATGTAGGTACATACATTATATTAGAATACGAATATTTCTTTGTTTTTCTTTTAGTTTTATTTAAGATGTAGTTGTTTAATTACTTTTAAACTAAACGCCGTTTTGATATAAAATATTTCCTTTTTCCTTATACGGTTCTTGATTGCAATGTTTAAAGTATTCCAATGTTCGAAGGTACTTAAAAATCTAGAACGCGTCCAAATTATTCGCGAATTGGGTCGTTAAATTAGCATATGAGTAAATTGCGGTACAGTCATAAAAATGTATTGTTCATTAAACCGTTGCACTTTCAAATATGTTTATTCAAGCTGCGAGCCTATCATAACTCAAGTTTTTATTTTTTTTTCAGGACATATCGGCTTTCAACGGCTGGTGGTCAAAAGGGGGTTCAGATGATGATTCAAGAGGAAACAAAGACGTCGAAGTGGTATACTTACCAGCACTAATACCTCGTGAAGCACAGGTTGCCGAAGATTCTGCACAAAATGACATTCCACTACCTTACAGTTTTGAAGCCTTCGGGAAGTACGTGACATTGCTTAGATTCTTTAAGTTCTTAGAACTCATTGAGAGTTTTAAATTTTAATAAAAGAACTGAAAAGAAAGAACCATTAACCTGAAGAACATTATTTATAAACTATTTTAAGGAAATATCGAAAGTCACGGCTTGATTATGAAACCTTTTATATTATAAAGTATTTTTTTTTTAACTACAGGAACTTCGACCTCCAACTCTTACCGAATAGGCGACTCGTGTCTCCTCAGTTCCGAGTGTGGTCTGAGGACGGTCCCGAGGACCCCTTGTCGGCTACTGATTCTTCTTGCCACTTCCTTCACAGTGGCCCTGGAGCCGTCGCTGCTTTCTCCGCTTGTAGAGACCATGCTCTAGTAAGGAATTTTTGTATTCTATATCTTCATTACTCGAATTACGACTCCGAAACAAGTAACTTTTTGAAAATCTTGAATAATATTTAATTAATATAAATTGTTGCCGAAGAATTGTTAAAGGCACTACAGACAAAGAAATAATATAGAACATTCAATTTCATACAATGAATGTTGGTTGACGGCCGTCGTAGAAAACAATTGCAGACTTTGGAGTAAAATAATATTTTCTTTTCAGCACGGTCTTATCATGACTGATAATTCCACGTATGAAGTGCGACCTTTAAAGACTGGAGAAGGAAGGTCAGAACATGGGAAACAACACAGAGATCGCAGGGCTCATATCATCCGTCGTGCGAATCCTCCTCCTATGACTATCAACGATGACCGTCCACTGAGACACAGAGCCCGTCGCCCCCGTCTCAATATTAACAAACCACCGCCTTCTTCCTACACCGTCGAAATAGCACTGTTCCTGGATGAAGCCGCTTACAAAATATTTCATCCTCATCTTAATTACAATGAGGCTGATCTACGGGATATGTTGTTGGCGTACATCAATGCGGTAAGATAGTAAAACTTATTGTTTATAAAATGTTCATACCTTCAAACCCGATTGTTAATCTTTTTTATCAAACTGAAAATAATGCGTTAAATTCAGGTGCAGGCCCTATATCACCATTCGTCCCTTGGGACCCGTGTTCAACTGTCTCTGGTGAGACTCACCCTGCTTCGAACACAACCAGCGGGTCTATCGTTACAGGCGGAGCGAGGTCGTTTGTTGGACTCGTTCTGCGCGTACCAGAGATCGCTGAACGTAGATGATGATGACGACCCTGAACATTGGGATATGGCGTTACTACTTTCTGGGTATGAAGTTTAAATAGGCTCGGTATTATATTGCATTAAGAAACAATGAGTCTTATTAGTTTATCTGCTAAAGAAGTCTTACTGTTTTTCTATATATTAACAGTGTGAAATATATTTAAATCATCAGTTACATTATTACAAAATAATTGTTTTTGTATACACATGTGTTACACCACAGTTTAGTTGATGAATCTTTTTGAATAACGTGTACGTAAATTTATTTTAGAAATAAAATCAACAACTGATATTTTAACAATCATTAGGAGTTCGGGTTCACTTATAGTCAACAAAAGACTCTACATTTATGCTTGCTTTTAGGTGACACTTATTCAGGACATAGCGCTTAATACATTAGAAAAAAAAGTTGTAATAAATGTTTTAAAATTATTTGCATTTGCAAATGGTATCATGGCTAAAAGATATTACGGTTTAATGTGAGAATGTAATCAGCAAGAATGAAAGCGTTGTTAATTAACATTGGTTGTCATTTTAATTTCAGATTAGACTTTTATTCAGAGGAGGGAGGTCGTCGGAACGGTGTGACGATGGGTCTAGCGCCTGTGGGAGGAGTCTGTCTCCCTGCACACGCGTGTGTCGTAGCCGAGTTTGGAGCTTCAGATACTCTTGGAAGACCGTACCCCTCTGCTGGGTTCACATCCGTCTACATTCTAGCACATGAGATTGGACACAAGTCCGTTATAATTTTGTATTTTGATGACATTCATAACTTTGATAAAACAAAATCACTATCCCTACTAATGTTATAAATGCGAAAGTAACTATGTCTGTCTGTCTGTTACGCTTTCACGCCTAAACCACTGAACCGATTTTAATGAAATTTAGTGCAGAGATAGAGTTGACTTTGAGAAAGAACATAGGATAGTTTTTATCCCAGACTTTTGAAATGTTCTCTTGGAAACGCCATAAAACCGAACTCCACGCGGGCGAAGCTGCGGGCGGAAAGCTAGTTAATTATATTGGGAAGTTTAAATCTATGGAACATTTTATGTTTTTGATATAGAAATTTATTTAAATGGTTCATTTCCTTTAATAGTAAACGTAAAGTGAATCTAAATATTCCAGTCTGGGCATGCATCATGATGGGACTGGTAACGCATGTTCCCGCGACGGCTACATCATGTCTCCATCGCGCGGCACCAACGGTGAAGCGACCTGGTCACACTGCAGTGCACAAGTCGTCGCTGACTTGAAGTAACGTATAAAATAAAATCAATAAAAAACTAGAGAAGAAATATATTATGATTAATAAAAAAATCAACCTACAAATCAGGTGGGCAACATGTTTATTCGATGGCGATGACGATACTGACATACCACCACAACTAGAGCATGAGAGATTTGGTGACGCCCCCGGACTTGTTTGGGTAGCGAAGAAACAGTGCGAAGTAAGAGTTTTTATTGTATGAAAAATGTATATATCATATTAGGTGGTATAACTCAATATGCTCAAGTTACTGAAGGGGAATTTATGATGAATATTACAACACTCACGCAAATAAAACAAGCTCACACATAAGCAACTTAAGCTTGAACAATTTTACGCAAAGCTCTAATACTCAGAAGTTTACATTCACAATTGTATCACAAATAGGTAAATTTTTCTAAAATATCTCCCTGCAACGCAATTTTTCCCGCACTCGCACGGTGGATCCAATGTATGCTAAGAAGTTTTTTTTTGTTTGCAAACTCATAGTAATCTTGTGTGTTTATTAACCAGGTGCTCCTCCGCGATAAAGACGCGACCCCAGCTTCTCCGGAGCCTGGTGTGAGTGTGTGTGTGCAGCTCGCGTGTAGGACTCCTCACAGAGCAGGGTTTTATTACGCCGGACCCGCGCTCCCTGGAACTCCTTGCGCACCCGGGAAGGTTAAACATCTCGATCTTTCTTTTAATTAATTTTTAACGGTTCTGTCCCAAACAAGGTTAGTTTTTTAAGACAGTTTTAAAAATCAATAGGTTCATCAGTACTCAAATTGGAAAAGGAAATCCTATTGTTCTTTGTATATAAGAAAAACTGAGAATGGTATAATAATAATCATTCTACACAACACGGACAATAGCCTCTAGGAAACCCAAAAAATGTTCAATTAGCACCAAGAATATGGTGGTTACTATAGTTTTTCTTTGTTTGCTTCTCATTAGTTGTCTTATACTAATAATAAATATCCCTAAGCAAAGAATCTTAAAGTTTAAAGTTATGAATTCGTTGTTATTGTTTGATTAATTAACAGTACGAGCATCAGTGCACGAAATATATGAAATGAATAGCAATAATCTTTTGAATTAGGTATTAAACATATTATAAGAGATATTATTTGAAAATCTAATGTCGGTTCCAGTGGTGTCATGGCGGGGAGTGTGTGGCTGCTGATCCTACCGTGGCAGCCCTGCCTCCGGTAATGAGTGACAGCGGCAGTACATGGAGCGAGTGGTCATCAGGGTCGTGTCGTTCAGGCTGCACACTGGAGGGCCGAGGAGCGGTGGAGAAACGACGCACATGTCCTCAAAACGCTATCTGCGAAGGACCTTCTTATGATGTCGTACTATGTGATGATTCGAAGGTAAATAAAATTTCATATATAAATTAAGTACAAAAAATTTTTGGTTTTTAATGCTTCTTTTCCCTTTTTCAGGTGTGCGGTAAGAAACGACGCACAAGTGCCAGTGAGTTGGCGGGTCGTCGCTGTGCTCAGTACGCGGCGCGCATCCCAGCTCTTGATGCAAGAGGAGGAGGTCTACAGGCGCCTCATGATCCTAGTACGTTTTATGTTTTAAATACAAGTAAAACACTCATTTTAATCTTAAATTTATCGTATTTTATCATAGAATAAATCAAAAGACATTCCATATCTGTTTATTTAGGAAGGAAATATCAATAATAAGGATCTCTCATTACGGTAAACAATAACTCTTTTATCAAATCTTAACTATTTTTATATGGAGCTTATTTGGGAACAAACCTTTAATATCAGGCCAAAATTGTTGTTAACATGTTCGCATTCAGTTTTTAAACAAAAAATTATATATAAATATTTATAATTTTCATTAAATTTTTAAGTATAAAAGTAAAGCAACTCTGCTTTCTACGCCCCAATAACATACTGACAGTATCCCATAAAAAATCGTTAATTGTTTTACAATCTTTGAGCTGATTATATTTGGATCAAATAAAAACCGGCTGCAAGTGTCGGGTCTAGAATAATCTTTTTTATCAAATAAACTGTACTGTCGACCTTGTTCTGAAACCAATGACATCGCTTAATTACTCTAAATATCAAGTGAAGCGAGATAAGTAAATGCGAGTTATTATTTCCACTCTTCATGTGTTATAGTTACCAAACGTGATCGGAAAGTGTCAATTTAATTTTTGCAGTGAAAGTAGTATGACATACATTTTAGGTTTTATTTACTTACGTTTTCATACAAAAAATGGTAAAAATAGATTTGTTATTTCAAGACGACTCTCTCTACTTGGAATAGGTATATACTCGTATGTTGTATAAATGAAATGGAGAGTTATCTTATGTATTCCGAAATTACGAAATTTATTAAAACACGAAGAGTCATATGATATTAGTTTTTCAGTATACAATGCTTTAGATATAATTAATATTATAAATAATTATAAAGGATAGTATAGATACCGCACTTTTAGAGTAACTGATTAGTCAATGGATAAAAAAACATTTGTAGGTATTATATATATCATAATTGTTTTGTTTATACAGTATCAACCATGAGTATAATATCGGCTATGGACCGAATAACAAATAATAATAATTGATTCGGTCTTTATAAATTTATTGAAAATATAGAGCAGCTTTAGAACATTATCCTAATATTTTATCAATAACAGTTATCTTTTAATTTACATACTTTAGTGTCTTCATTTGTATAGTGGTTCTATAGCAATTTGATATAACATTCTAAATATTTTATTCAACTTTCCTCTTCTTAAATTTACAAACGAGCAACTCCTATGTAGGTATATTCATCAAAACAATTTTCTTGAAAATTCACACATCGAATTTCCATTGTTAGAAAATGTCGCTTTATCCTTGTTTTCAGGCTATGAAACAGTACTAGCATTAGAATATGAAGGTACATAACAATAGATGGCGCTGTTACAAACATTATGGCAATGACTGTTTAGTGCTGTTGTACCGACATAACAACAGTACAGCCACTTAACAATAGATGGCGCTGTTATTAAAATATTAAGGCACTACTATTACACAGAGGGATTTATATAAAAACCTTATAGTATGATTTTAAGTTTATTGTGGTTATTGCAAATACATTCATTAAAAAACTAAAACTTTATCAAAAACATGAATTATATAGTTATTATGCAACCATTAATAAAATACTTTTCTTAAGCTAATTGTTGTACTTAAAAGAACTATGAGTTGCTTACTTTGGTTTTTGACAAAAGTATGTTTTCAGCATAACATTGCTGCATTTTGATTGTTCATTATTGTAATTGTAAATTTTTGAATGAGACAGATAGAGCGTACTGTTTTGCTAAAAATAGCATAAAATATATATTATATAATACATACCTAATGACATAATAATTGACATTCAGGATAACTGATGGTTAGCTTTTCCTTGTATAATGTACCCTGTATATAATACTCTATTTCATGTTTTAAAGTATTTCATGTAACAATAATTCGAATCTTTAAAATAAACTTAAGTACCAAACGATCAATTATATTTTCTGAAAAATCTATCTACACCATCTTGTATCATCAACTCACTATTTGTTATATACTTAACAGTTCATGTACATATTATTTATTCTTCCCCTAATGTGTAATAAACGCCATACTCTTGGTTAAGGAGCATTTTATATATATAAATAATATGTAACTGTTTAGAAGAATAGTAATTATGCTCATACTAACCATCTGCACGTAATAGACTTACCTATATAAGTCCGTTATTTCATATACATAGACATAGGTTTTGCTACTGAATTATTGCTGTAATTATTCTTGCTATTTTATATTGCACCTCAAAAATTCTAATATTTGTTTTTCTATTGATGTCATAAAACGAGAACTTAATATTTTGGAATCAAGAAATTGGGTTACTGGCGCTTAATCAATTCGCTAGATGGCGCTAATTCAATTTCAAACGAAGTAAAGTGTTATTATACTGATGTTCGTTTTTCTTAGAAATTTCACGCTAAGTCCTCAGAATTAATAAAAATATGTATGACATTATTTTCCTTATATTGACATCAATAATACTTTCTACTGTCATAAACTGATATAATAAATATCAGTGGATGATAGCTATGGTCACTAAAACGATCAGTAAATTTTCTTCGCCAAGATTCGTCGCATAGCCTTATTGTTTTATTAGGCCTATTTAAACGCTAATAGTATAGATTAAACATGGACAGGATAATTTGTCAGGTTATTGTATGAAGCGGTGTTGTTGTAAATAAAAGTCTTAGTAATATTTAAAAATGATCTAGCTCGTATGTGGATGGGATGTGCGATATTTTGTCGTCGTGCGAGCGGCGGCGGGTTCTACGCGCCTCGTGTAGAGTTGAACGATGCTGGACTGGATCCTTACTTCCCGGACGGCACGTGGTGCCATCACGACGGACAGACCCACTACTACTGCCTTCAACACCACTGTTTACCAGAGGTTAGTTCGATTTAATGGATTCTGAATAGTTATAAATTATAATAATGCTTTATATCTTAAAAAAGGGGATCAATTTAACTCATATTATTATTCGAAATCTCCAATCAACTAATTTCTATTCTTTGGCGTCTTTGGAGAAAAAATATGGGGGAAAATGTATATTAATTTAATTATTACAGCTTTACTAGGCTAGGTCTATTTACTAAATTGTAGGTATGACGGCCTTGGTTGTTGGTTAACGTATAATCTAACAGTAAGTTTATTAACAGTTAGTATGCAAAATAAATTAAAAATGAAGTCTCCTATCAAATTGTAATGATAACAATAGAATTGCATAGGATATATGTAAATATTATGAATCGAATTTAATATAATATTCTGTTTTATTATAAGACTATACATATTAAATATAAAAACAAAAAAAAGTATTTATGGCATGTATAATACAAATATAATCTTAATATATGTATATATGTATGGAAACGATATTTGAGGCATGTTTAATCGATACCTAGAGGATTTTGATAATATCGATATACGCAGATGAGATTAAAGGAGAATAATTTTCATTACTATGTTAAAATTAATAATTAATAATAAGTATGTAATAACTTTAATATTTATTATTATTATTTACTCGAATGATAAAATAACATATTGTTCGGAGTTTGTACCTGATGTAGTTAAAATTCCGTGTTCCAATGACTTATGACTTTAATTCCGTTTCACATTTAAACGAATTAATTTAATTGAATCGAATTCTATTATGTCGGAATAACAAATATGTTTTATTGATAATTATGAAATCATTTTCACTAGTTTCATAATTTAATTATATTATAACAATGGTAAAGACATGATAATGATGAGTAAAACACTAAGATAATTACGGAATAACTCCTCGTTACGTCTTGGTCGTGGCCTACCTTTACCCTTATTGTGTTATCTTTATTGTCCCGCCCAGTAATCATTAGTACTAGTTTTCTTGTCTATCTAAACAACAAAACAATCTACATAGTAATTTACTTCATGAGATATATTTCCGACTATATGAGCGCAAGACATTGAAACTGTAGGTGATAAGTTTAAATTGTAAACTACCACTAAGGTTTTTATAAATTGTGTGCAATAAAAAAATTAAAATCACCTGACTATTTAACAGATGGATAAGTTTGCTTACTTAGGAAATTAGTATTTCTTAATCCTATATAAAATACTTAACCCAAAATTTTTATTCTATATAATAAAACGTTGTCTAATATAATATCATAATTGTATGTTTAACATTGCGAAACTCTTTCGGTCGTTAATTAGTATCTATTAAAAAATCATTAATTAATTAGTTATCGCATGACTTTTCTTGATCAAATTACTTTACAAATTCTTAACATTTTGATATAAAAATTTGGACCACCTACGATCTATAGTACGGCTTTGAGAAAACAAAGATAAAATGTCTGATAAAAGGTTCTTGAATAGCCTTTAATAAATTGATAGACACACCAACACCAAAAAATATGCTCAGTTATAACGTATTCAACCCAAAGAAAAGTCATATTTAATATCCACATAATTATATAAAGCAAAAATAATAATAAAACTATTAAGTAGCTTATCATACATTGAACAATTCGATGAGAACGTGTTCACGGGTTCGAGCCGTGATTTTCATTAAGCCGGGGGCTGTTATGAGTCAAATATTTCTTGTCAAATAGTTGTCGTTATTAATAACATCCTATATAAACCTTAAAGAAACAAGTTTTACTACAGTGAATGCAGTATCGTATTATGTTGCGATAAAAGACAACCACAAGGCGTCTATCATCTAATCCTATTGTTTGTCAACACTCAACACAAGCGTCATATCACGTGCTCTGTTCAATCAAAATAACACCACACAACGTAGCCATCGTAAAGATAATAAGTTTTTCGTCTGATCAAATCCAGTTAATCGCCCAATTATTACAATCTCATATTATCGTTGTTAAGTAATTCAGTAACCTTTACTAAAAGTGTGATAAACTCGTTAACTGGGTCAAGAATTGTTACAGGATAACTTTTTGACGATTCAAAAATCGAATTATTAGAAATCGATTTATTAGAAATCAATAATTCGAATGTTTGTTTTGGTAGACATGTTTATAACAGGATCTTTGATTCACTACGAAATTTGAAAATGTAAAATTTGGAAGTTTTAAACACTAATTCGGTGATGTGAATGACACTTAACTTGTTGGAAGACATTACTACTGCAAAAACATCTGTATAAGACTTTATAATACAACATTCGATTTTTTTAAGCAACATTTCGATCTATCAATTTAAGCCAAGGTCTTTTTTTTGTAAGGATTGAATCGTACACTAAGGAGGCTTTTTAAAATCAAGCTATTTGTTATAGTGTAACGAAAAATTTTATATATGTAGAGGCATACATATATGTATTTACCTATTTATAATTATCTAAATTATTTACTCCTATTTACTTTGGCGCAGATAAATATATCGTTAAAGGAGTTATCCATGTTAAAATGAATCATTCTGTTTCATTATAAAAAATATGAATATTTATTTATTGCAAAACTTTTAAAAATAATAAAATGTGGCCATTATATTCTATAAATACAATATTGCTTGTTGTAGCCTTCAGACTGATAAAATGTTAAGATGAAAAAACACTAAGTGGAATGCAAATCAAAAAGTTGAATTGAATATAATCTTTACTATTATTATGTAAATACTTATTATTATATAAATTAAATGCGAATGATATTTTCTTGTATTAATTTGTTAACTTAAAATTTATATTCTTTATCCCTTATTTAATAATATGATTATCCTCCTCTATTGTGCAATAATCTTTATATTTACGTCATAAACCTATAACTCAATAAACTCTTAACTTATTTAGAAAACAAACAACCGTTTACGAGTTTTTCCGTGCGTCACTCTGTGTGTCTGGGATATTTGCCAATATGGCGTTTTTGAACTAATTAGTCAAAATTTATCATGACGTTTAAATTAGACTATCATATATCACTATTTTCTCTGACGTTTCATCACCCAGCTATATGTGGGCTTAATAAACAAGATTTTAAGTAGACAACCTTAAAAATCTATAAATATTTTATTTCGTAAGCGTAAAGTTTTCTTGAAGTGTCCACTGCAGACAATTTTATGAACTCATTAAAACCGAAAAAATAAATATTAATTATAGCTATAAAACCGTTATAAGAATAATACAAACGATTTAAATAATAAAAATAACTGATTTAAAAGATAATAAATTTATCAGTATGTATTTACGTTGCGTCAAACGGAACGTAATTTAACGCGTTCCGTTATAGTTAGAGTACTGTTTAAATAATTGCTCATTGTTTACAGCATGAACGATTCGACTTGTGGATATGTAGATCTGTAAGAGGTTGCATCCACTGCTGTATACTATTAAAACGGGCGGAAATAGACAAGGTCATGTAACATCATATTAATGTGGTTTGTTCTAACAGACGCTGTGGTTATTTCAAATAACTATTTATATGAAATTAAATTGTTTTATCGACTATTTGTATGCTATGAGGAATAAGATGAATTCTTTACAAATATGAATATAATATGATTTATTACATATTCATGAAATGAGTCTTAAAGAAATTGAGCTGTTTACTAATTTATTTTTTTATATGACATCGTTAAATTTTATTGAGTTTTTCCAAATGGAGTACACGTTCTTATTAATATCGATAGTCATGGATATGTCAGTCAAACTTATTTAGTAGTGAACTGACAAAAGTATTATTTTTTTAATATAAAACCAATGCAAAGAATAGAATTCATCGACTACGAATTAAAATATATTTTATTTTAATTTGGCGAAAAAATATTTTTAACGGTCTTCCATTATAATACGAGTAAGATGTTTTTATTTATATTATTGAACAAAGAATATTGCTAATAAGTTATAACGATCTTATTTCTTTATACAATAGAATTTCAAGATGTCAGCTCAGTACCACATCTGGGAGTTACCGAGCGAGGATGTCGGTGGATCTTTCAACGCCAGGGCTCGAGCGGCGCCGGATGACGGAGCCTCTGCAGCCCTTCGTGCTTATATGACCCTGGACGACGCTGGAGCACCCCTCTTCAGAGCCGCAATACCACCACACATCCCAGAGGAGCCTGAGAGTGACTGGGAAGTAATAGATTACGTCGAAATACCAGCCAGAAACAACACAGATTGAACACGGATCAACCATGGAGTTTTCTTGCCAATATGTCGCTAGTGGCACATAAGTTGTGACGTTCTTAGTGATGTTCGTGCATTTATTACTTTAAGATATTTATGCCGATTGTTTCATAATATAAAATATTACAATAGCTACGATAGTCAACAAAAGTAACGTATACTTATACAAAAAATATTCATATGCAATCATGGAATATTTTGTGCATTTTCTATTTAGTTCATTCAAATTGACTTTATTTCTGTATATTTAAAGTTGCAATTACAGAGCACTTCAATTAATTATTGCTAATATATTATGCAGAAAGTGATGTATTTCCTTAAATAACGTTAGTTTAATATTAGTAACCGTACATTTTACCTACAAGTGCACTAGTCGTTAGAATAAGAATAAATTTTATCCTTAGTAAGTAATGATGTAATCATTGAATAGAAAATATTGTCTTCCAAAAGATAGAATATAATGTTTATATTTATTACCACTGATCAAATTACTGGAAAAGACAATAATGAATAAAGATAATGAATTAATAGTCTTAATTATTTTGTATTATTTTTATTAATTATGCTTTGTGATGTCGGGTGTTTGTTAACTAAGAACTAATTTATTCCCTTTTAATTTTAAAATATAGTACGTTTGAGAAATGTCCTATTATGTTTTCAATTCAAATAATACAAGTCATACAAACTGCGTATGACAATTCTATGGGATGTTAATCATAAAATACTGACAGCATATTAACATTAAAACAATATGTGCTTCTTACTTAAAAAAGATTAATATAACCGTAAAAATTTTGTGACGTTTACCTAAGCTGAAAATAAAATTATGTCTATAAAGTGAAGATGTATTCAATATATCAAAAAAAAAGTTATACTTATTAAAAATTTCTTAAAAATGAAAACTATGTATAACAAAGGCAAGAAAAATAGAACTAGTAGTGATATATATTTCTTATTTACTCTCAAACATTAATGTTAACATAAATATGGGACAACAAAAATGTGACTTAAAAAAATATTATAACAAGATTTTGCATTGCTTATTCCTTTCAAGTGTTCATAAAGCTATGTTTGAAATTAATGTAACCAAAAAAAAACCTTTAATTGTCTCCTCAAATTATATTATATAGCTTACGGTTCTGCCTTGCTTTGCCAATTACTTCGAAGCAAGGGATTATTGTATCGAATGAACTATGAAGCAGTAACTGTGATTCGATCATAATATGCTAACCAAGCATATAATTTTCGACTGTTCTCTAATATTTATTGTGATATTTAATCGATGGTACTGCTAAATGTTGTTATAAACCAAGCTCAAGCTCTTTTTGTATTTTTATATCTTTTATGGTATAAAAATTGTTAAATATTAAAAAATGTACATTGAATTGACGCTAGGTTTGATAAATGGTTTTTCGAACTGTATGTTTTTATTTATATCAGAAGAGATAAACGAGCAGATGGCTTACTTAATGGAAGGTAGTCACCGTCGCCTATATTTGCAACATAAGGGATGTTGCGGATACGTTGACTACCTTGTTTGTTGTAGCGGGAGAGGAAAGAACGGGAAAAGGGAAAGGACAACTGGTTTTCTCATTCATCGGACGAGTCGCAGCCATTAAACTTAAAGACTACCTCACGTCGATCTCCTATGAGAGGGTGGTAATTCCCCGGTCGAGCCAGCCTATGTTCGAGTTGTAGTAATATGACCACAGCCAGGCTCTACCACATACAAAATAATAGCAATTTCCATACAAATCTCTATCTATTTTGGTATAGTTTAATACAATTAAAACCATAAATAGTTTCTCAGTCTAGTAGATTTATTTTGTAAATTTCATAAAATCTATAACTTAATTATCAAATTTTACATAACATTTTTGTCCTAGGAAACATGTTCGATAATTTATACAGGTTGAATAAACGCCAGACATTTCTTTGTATAATCATATAACAGAAGAGATATATAAAGCATTAAACAAATAAAACGACACAATAATCACATGTTTTGGGCAACATCTTAACTTTTTATGATATAAGTTTTATTAATCATGTACTCACTCGTTGAATAAATAAAACATCCAACTATTTACATAAGATATTACGTACGTGATACTCTATGTAAATCACAGATTGCTCTAATTATATATTCAAAGCACACGCTACTTGTAAATTTACTGATGCTTCATACTATGTCAATCTTTATTTCGACGTGTTTGTTCTCTTAATATGGTGTGAATTACAAATGATTGGCACATTAGCGAACTTTTAAAGTGTAATTTCAAACGATATTGTCATCTTCAAGAAGCCATTTGCTTTAATAGCGCCATACAAAACTATTTTCTGTAAATCGAATGTCATTTTTCTGTTCCGAAATTCTTTTAAATACTGCTCGTCTACAAATAGTAGTCAGAAAATTTATTGTTATTTTAAATACTACTTAATATGACTATTTTGCATATAAAATCGGTCGGTAGGTTGTGTCTGTACACTAGTCTATGGACATAACAAGCGTTTGTTTATTATATAAGAATTAACTTATATCTGTGGGCCGTGGGGTATGATTTTCCTTCATACATTAGTTATTAGTGTTTACATTTGATAACACCTTAAATTTTATAAAGTCATGTATAATGTCTGCGTTTCTTTAAAACTTCATTGCATGTTTCTGCATGATAGGGGAAACTTTTCAGAAATTTTGAAAAATATTTCTTTTTACATCGTATTCTTTAAAAAAGGAGCCGAAAAAACAACAATGGAATAAACTGTATAATAAATCAATTAAAAACTTTTTCAACTATTTAAACCGGTAACATAATGTAAATATTAAGAAAATATAAGGTTCTACAGTTGTAGACACACCGCATAGTAACTATTGAAATATCAAAGTATTTTTCTTCGAAACTAAGCGAATAAAGTCACCAGTATCGGCATATACAAAATTAACAACAAAACACAATAGATTTAAGTAATTTATTGTTCAGCCAAAATATTTAAATGTGCTCATGTAAATTATCGTCCTTCATTTAGTACTCGTGGTCTATTTAAAATTACCAACATTAATTCAGCGAATTTAAAGTGCCTAGCGACTACAAAAACAAAAAGATTTATAACTGAATTGTGACAAGTTTGTACGGACAGGATATATGAATTTACACACAATGCTTATATTGTCTTTGAAACTGATATATTGTAGCACTGTATTAGTATGTATCGAGCATATAATGAAGAAAATTATTAATACAGCAACTACCTTTAGTACAAGTTTTGCTTCAACAACTTCATATATATTGGCGACATTCAACAACATCATATATGTATATTGGCGTCCATATTATATTGGCGACACAAATTTACCCGATGATTTAAAAACAAAAAACGTTGGAACTGTCAGTAATTGGTGAAGTGATATAAACTCTTCCTAAGGGTGCATTTCATGCTTATTATCATTTACTTATTTGTTCACGTTATGTAAAAGGACAGAGACATTTCAACTACAATGGAACGTTTAAGTATTGTATTAGAAATATATCTTTTGAAACGACGTTGCATGTATCTTCTTATTTCTATGCGTGAATGGAAAAACTATAGTGAAAAAGTCTACTTCTGAAATTAGCAGTATTTTATTTAAGATAATTAAATTATGAATTTTTATAAAAAAAAAATATTGACGATAATTTAAAAAGCTGAAGTCGTAGCTAATTCACTCGATTCGAGTCACCTAGAATTGTTCGTGAATAAAATAATTTTGGAAATTATAAAGAATAAGAAAATTTAAAAAACTTGTATATCAACGAAATGCATCCAAAATGATAACGTAAATTTATTTTGAATCAATTATTATTACTTCTGAGGTTTATTTTTCCTCCTTTCAATTTGTTTACAATTCCTAGTAGTTAGACAATCTGCAATACACAAGGACAGTGATTTCTTGAGAAGAAATTTCCTCCTTAGTCCAGAATCTTTGTTTATTGTTCATGTAATTAACGAAGTTGCATATTTTCTATAGTTTGGATCTGTAAAGACCAAGAGGAAAGTACGTGCTTAATCTTAGTTATATTCATTGTTAAAAATACATAAAATAACATTAATTTTTACGATTTGTTCTGCTCAGTTCATAACGTTTGTTGTTGACTAATTACGAGTATATGTATATTAACTGACGCGGTATATTATAATAAAGAATATTAAAATTTTAAAACCCTGATACACAAGTAACAATAAGAAAACAATATAAGGATCTCTATGTATTTATAAATAAAAAATTAAGTATCTGTATACAGACAGACTTTAAAACGTTATTGTATTTTATAATACATAATGAAAAAGTGTCGTCTTGCTAATTATTAATATCAAGTCTATAAAATATAATAAATATTTGAAATAGGATTAACATATTCACTAATATTATAAAGATTTGTATGCTTTCTGTTTGTGTAAATATGTTTATTAGTCCGTCACGCAAAATTACGGATTTGATTTGGTTGATTTTTATAGTGTAAATTTTAGAAATGCAAATGCATAAGAGGGACAAATCTTGTCTTTATTAAAAATCATATAATTCCCAAACCTAGTCATTGCTAATTAAAGGCTTTGTATTTCTATTTATTTTTAATTTGTAACCACTGATCATTATTCATACAGACATTGAAATAATTTCAATACATTAAAAAGAGAAGAACGTACGTTAAAAGAAGAAGAGATACCCTTGTAGTTACACCATTTTCAACTCTTCTTGGGTTTGATTTGGCGGAAAAGGCATCCATCGTTATATATCAATTTGTCGAAATATTTTTCCTTTAAAAATTATCAATGCTGTTACAAAGCAATTAAAATCAAATAATAATATCTACTGTTCTTTGGAACAGTGAAAATACTAAGTTATAACAATGCATCTTTTAATATGTACTAATTTTACTTTAATTCGTTTAGACACAAAACAAACAAAATCTACAGCGGACTTCCCCTAACGTAAAATTATAATATGTTTCACAATAA